AAAAGACAGTGCAGGGTGGCAGAGCGAAGATGGAGAAAAAATAAAACGACAATCAATCACGAAATATATAAAAACCAACAGCAAATTTACAACAACACAATCAGGAAAAACAGGAACAATTACTTTGCAAAACTAATCAGCCAGAACAAAAATAATCCAAAAATCCTCTTTTCAACCATCGACACCATTTTAAACCCTGATTTTAGCATGTCTCTTTTAACCCCCACAGACTCCCTCTGTGAGGATTTTGCAGTCCACTTCATGGGGAAGATAAATACAATCAGATGTAACATTTTATCCAACCGCACAACTGTTTTTAACACATCTGATTGTTTGTCTTCACCAGAGGAAACACTGGACAGTTTTGTCCTGGTTGATGCTGAGATGCTTGATAAAGTTTTCTCCACAGTGAGGCCCACCACATGTCTTTTAGATCCAGTCCCCACTCCATTTTTTAAGTCATTTTATGAATCTTTTAGAGAGGAGCTTTTAAACCTGATGAATTGCTCTCTTCAGACTGGGGTCTTTCCTGCAGCCTTCAAAGCGGCTGTGGTGAGGCCCCTTCTGAAGAAGAGCAATTTGGATTTTAATGATTTTAACAACTACAGACCGGTATCCAACTTACCATTTTTAAGCAAAATTTTAGAAAAACTTGTTTTTACCCAGCTCAATGCCTTTTTAGATCAGCAGCAAATTTTAGAGAAATTTCAATCAGGATTTAGGGTGAACCACAGCACAGAGACTGCTCTTTTAAAGATTTTAAATGATTTTAGACTAAATTATGATTCTAAAAAGGTGACCGTGTTGGTTCTACTGGATCTAAGCGCTGCCTTTGATACAGTAGACCACACAATTCTTTTATCCCGCCTGAAACACCTCGGCCTCTCTGGTGCTGTCCACAAATGGTTCACTTCTTATTTAACAGACAGATCCTTCATGGTAAGTTTGGATACCTGCTCCTCTCAGGTCCATAAAATCACATGTGGTGTGCCCCAGGGTTCCATTTTAGGTCCAGTCCTTTTTAACCTGTACATGCTCCCTCTTGGCGGTGTCATCAGGAGACATGGAATTGACTTCCACAGTTATGCAGATGATACACAGCTGTACATCTCCATGTCTCCTGACGACACCAGGCCAATGGATGCTCTTTTTAACTGCATTTTAGACCTGAAATCCTGGATGGCAGAAAACTTTCTCCAGCTCAACCAGGACAAAACTGAGGTTTTAGTCATCGGTCCTGAGGCCCAGAGAGAGAAACTTTTACCGAAACTCCAATCACACTCTTTTAATCCATCATCACAAGTGAGAAACCTGGGCGTAATCTTTGACTCTGAGCTGACTTTTATTCCTCACATCAAGAACATCACAAAAATAGGTTTTTATCATTTAAAGAACATCGCCAGAGTCCGCCCCATTCTCTCTCGGGCCAACACGGAGACGCTGATGCATGCTTTTATCACCAGTCGCATTGACTACTGTAATGCCCTGCTCTCTGGTCTTCCCAAAAAGAACATTTCAGGTTTACAATTACTTCAAAACTCGGCCGCACGTGTCCTGACTAAGACCAGGGGGCGGGACCACATAACACCGGTTTTAGAATCGCTGCATTGGCTCCCCGTGTGTTTCAGGATCGATTTTAAGGTTCTTTTAATGGTCTTTAAATGTCTTAATGGTCTTGGGCCTTCTTATCTTTCAGATTTGCTTTTATCCTATGAGCCTTCCCGGCCCCTGCGCTCCTCCGGCAGCAGACTCCTAACCATCCCCAAAGTCAGGACACACACTCACGGCGAGGCATCTCTCCAGCACTACGGCCCCCGTCTCTGGAACAGTCTGCCGGAGGAGCTCAGGGCCGCAGAGAACGTTCATATTTTTAAGAGTAGGCTCAAGACGCACCTTTTTAGAGCAGCTTTTGATTAGTATTTATTATCTATTATTGCTTTTTAGTACATCTATTTATGTTTTTAGACGGATTATATTTTTATTTATTTTTATTATTTACTATTTTTAATTATTTATTGTATCTACCCATTTACTATTGTTATTATTAATATTAGGCAGCTGCCATTTTTCTTTTTATTTTCACATTCTATTGTTCTACTTTCTATTGTATTATTGTATTGTTTTAGTGTCCCCAGTGTTTCCTCTGGAGGAGCCCTCTGCACTGAGAGCTGGGGTCTGCTGTGGCTTCGGGGGACTGGCTCTTGGATCCGGTGGGGGTCTGGGGCCTCCTCTCTCCTCTGGGTCCTATGGGGTCTGAGTCCTGGGCCTGGTGGGGTCTGGGGCCCCTCTCTCCTCTGGGTCCTGTGTCGTTGCCTGTGGCTGCAGCCGGCTCTCTGCTCCTGGTGCAGATGGCTCCTTGGATGACGCTTCTTCAGCCGGTTACATCTGCTCCCAGCCCCATTTCTTTTTATTGTTTTACCTATTTTACCTGATATGACTTTATACTTCTGTATATGTGTGTGTGTGTGTGTGTGTGTGTGTGTGTGTGTGTGTGTGTGTGTGTGTGTGTGTGTGTGTGTGTGTGTGTGTGTGTGTGTGTGTGTGTGTGTGTGTGTGTGTGTGTGTGTATTGTATATATAATTATAAATGTGATTTTGGGGGGTCTGTGGGGAGGAGGGTTTAGGGCTGGGCATGTTGGATTGTTTTTAACTAAACTGTAAAGCACTTTGTGTTACACTTTTTGTATGAAAAGCGCTTTATAAATAAAATTTGATTGATTGATTGATTGATATGAAAACTAGTAATAGAACAAAAAATCTGAATGAAAGATGTTTACAGTGCTTTTCCTTCTCTGTGAAAATGTATGTTATATATAGCATGTAGCATTATGAGTGGATATTTACTTATTGCAGTAGGAATACAACATTTTGTGATTAACGTGCACTTGAGAGAATTCGTGTTGGGAGCAAGTAGTATTATTGTGTAGTAATTATATAGTTGGTAAAGCTTAAATAAGTTTGGTTTTGTTGTTTTATTGTTCTAATTTTCCTTGTTTAGGGCACAATATGATACAGTCTTTAAATTGTATCAAGCAGTCTGACTTCCGTCTTTTTGGAATGGACTGCTTATCCTGAATATCAAAGTCACAGACACATATTGACTGTATTTATAAATAAAGTAGTGTTGCAAAATTCCCAAAGAAACGGTGACGGTGACATTTCTTATATTTCCCATTGCGTCCTAAACACAACTATCCATCACATATTCCAGTGAAAAAATACCAGCTGAAATATATATTTGCAGTCCGCGGTGAAGCAGAGCAAGTGGAGCTAAGGGGCGAACGCTAGGCAGGCAGCCGCTTGTTGAGCTGTGATTAAAAAGTCTCCTACAGGCAACGCCACTCCACGTTTTATGTTGCCTCCTGTTTCGTTTGAGTTATGGCAGTGGTTTGCAAACAGGGGTGCATGAGCCACTGGTAGGATATACAGTAGGCTTAATCGTCTTCACTCAATTTTTTTTGTTTATTTATAGTGATACTCCAGTCTTTTGTTTTCCCATTTAGTTCTAGTGTCGATGCTCAAACCGTTCCCGAAACTATAATGAAGCTTTTGTACCTGATTTGGTCAATTTTGTTGACTTAGCCGACCTACTTTAGCCTTGCATCAGCTTAGTCCTTGTTTACCCATATATACAACATATATGGGAAAGAGATTCCTATATCTCAGTGGGACTTTCCTGGTTCATTAAAGTTTACCAAAAAACAAAAAACAAACAATATACAATTGGCAATACAGTCTTTTTAATCTATACGTGCTCACACAGCGCACATGTAAAATGAATAAAGTTTACAATGTAGTGTTAAAATAAACAGTGGCTTGTCTACTGACTTGTTTTCGTATGATTTATTGTGTTTGAACCAGGCACTTACAGTCTTCATCGATACTGATGTCTAAAGTCATGTTTAACTATTGCATAATTGAAAAGAAGAAAGACAGTGACTGAATTAGTGTGTTCCATCAGAGTAGAAGAATTTGGACAACTTGTCTAGTCCAATTTAAATAACAACAAGAATGTACATCTGGGCGCACCAATTAAGGTTTGAAAGAAAAATAGTCAGAACCTTTCTTCATCAGATTTCCACCTGCATGTCTGGGAATACAAATAATGTGGCAAATGATTTAATTGAAATGATTAAATTGAATACTTCTATTTGTTCTACTGTTGTTGTGTCCCTGGGCTAGACACTTAGCCCTGCTGAAAGACCAAGGCCATGTCTTTGATGACGGAAAAGCCTGTGGACCCACCAACTGCAGGAGGATCCGTGAGGGACTGGTGCTATGAGCATTGGGTGTAGCTCTGATTGTCATCCCCCCCTTTACGGCAGCAAGTTCTAAGTAGCTCTGAAACAGTTGTTGTTTTGTGCTTTACAATTTTTTGTTTTTATTGCTTTTTTCTGCCTGAAATGTTGCTGCAGTACAGTGTTTATGGTTTTGCACTGGTCCAGACCAGAGCGGAGAGGATTCATGGTCCAAACCAAGCGGACCAACTTAAAATCCACTGAAGGAATGCTAACTTTTTGAAAAATGCGAATGAAGAATTTAGCATTTTACTTTGGATTTGAGCAGTGAAATTGGTCCAAACCAAGCGGGTACTCCACCTTTTAAACTCTCCTGCTCCACCCAGAGGCTACTCCATCTGTGCTGCTGTGACCCGTCCTGCTCCACCCAGAGGCTACGCCACCTCTTCTGCTGTGACCTGAAGGACTGTTGCTGATTATAACTATTTTTAACTTTTTAGAATGATCTATTTTATTTTTTATTTTTGCTGTGACTGGACACCTGAATTTCTGCTGCAGGGATCAATACAGTATCTATCTATATATCTATCCATCTATCTAATTATCTATCCCATCGACCCAGAAATGGATTGAAGGGGAAGCAAATGACATGACATGAGATGACATGGCAAATTTATACATTACATACTGTATCTATTGCCTCCTTTTACAGTTTGAAAATCATAATAATAACCACCAGTTTGTTGTTCCCACTCTTTTGCAGACTCCTCTTGCCTGTGGAACCAGTTTGCATGTTCTAAAAACAAGTGCATTGCAAAGCAGTGGCTGTGTGACGGGGAGAACGACTGCGACGACGGTCTGGACGAGAGCATGCAGATCTGCGGTGAGTCCGGGACAGAAACTGACCAAGGAACTGAGAATCTGACCCAACTCCACTGTGCCTCCACATCATGTCTGTGGGATAATACACATTAGTAAAAGTAGGCAAGACAAGATTATGAACTGTACATAGCAGTTTGTACACAAAGCAACTCAAAATGCTTTACAAAACAAGAAACGCAAGGAACTGAAATCATAAATCATCGCAGTCTATTAATATGAATGAAAATACAACCCTTTAGTTGTATGAACGGACAAACAAAACCATGCTCAACTTGGATTTGAAGATTGTCAGAGTAGATTGCTGTCACACATTTTCAGGAAAAACTTCTAGAAGTATGATCCTCTTCTATAGTTAAAAATCAAATTGAATGGGTTTCCAGTGTTTTGAAAATATTTTTCATCACTTGATAATCCTCATCCTTTCCTCAACCATTTCTTGAGATTCCTAATCATATTACAATCCATGCAACCTACAAATGTGCAAATGAAAAGAAGAATTTAACGTGTTTGACATATATATTGCATATATCGGTTAAGCTGTGGAGGTTGCATTGTTTTTTATTATAACATTGTTATTAGTGTTATTCTCTGCAGCTAAAGGCCAAGATTTTTACTTACAAATATATGTTGTACATTTTCTGCTAGGTCCAGTTTGATGAGGAATCCAGGCCGCATACGTTTGTCGCATTTACACAAAACGAGCGGATGCAAAATGAAAATGAGCTTCAAAGAGCCATCAATCTCTGCATAATTTTATTGTCCCTAATGTGATTGGACATTACATTACAAGGGCTGAACAGGCTTTTCTGTCACTAAGCTTTATAGACCCCAGTTTGGTGACACTGGTACATTTTACAATCATTTGATGAGATGGCAACCTAAAACATAAAATTGGTAGGAGACATAAAAATCAATGGTCCTCATGTTAACTGGGCTTTACCCACATTTATATATTACATTTTTTATTACACACATCGTTGATGGATGGTCAATGCATTACACATCACCCTGTATTGGAGTGTTCATATTTCCTTAAACCAGAAGTTACGATCATACACTTGTATCCCCATTCACACCTCTAGATGCCTCAGGCAGGCACTACTGCTGCCCTGTGCCACCATGGCGGGGTCATGGCCCTGACTTACTTAGCTTAAAGCCTACAGGAAAACTTGTGTACCCCCTCGCTTCATGGAGGCAATGCACAATCACTCTGCAAGCTTCATATCTGTCTTGTACAGGCAAAGGCATGAGGGTGCTGAAGGAGGAGCAACGCAACTGATTTGTTCAATACCACACACGATAAAAAATCTAAAAAATATACTATAAATTCCTTCAAAAAATGAATTCAGATTAGTTGTTATTGTCAGAAATCCAGATTCATTGATGGTCTTGATACACAAATAGCATGCATAAGAAAATAAAAATGCCAACAAAATAAGCTGTGCTTGTGTAGACATATTTCGCGGTTCATTTTTAAAACTATCTCCTCTTGTCTTTCTTCCCTCTCAGGATCAGTGACTTGTGCCCCTGGTCTGTTCAGCTGCCCCGGCTCGTACGCCTGTGTGCCCAAGCGCTGGCTCTGTGACGGCGAGAGGGACTGTCCCGACGGCAGTGACGAGCTCTCTGCTGCTGGATGTGGTAAACCGAGCCTCACACGGCAAAACAACAGCATGTGTTTACAGACTGCAGTGTGCATTTCTGTTTCAAACTATTTTAAAATGGACATAAAGGAAAAATCAAGCCCTGATTCATACATTTCTTACACACAGTACATGATTATTCTCCCTTGAACTCTCGGCCACCGCCAACTAGAAACGATCACCTTATGAACTTGGTTTTCTGATTTTCTCTGTTCAAACTGTGATAATGTGACGATTTGGCAGTGTTGTGCAGGCATTTTTGCCAGGAGTGCAGATCTGTGTGAAAGGTTGCAAAATTATCATATCATAATATAATAATGAGTCATTGGGGACATAGATTACCACTATATTCCGGGCAGAAGCATGATTTCCTTTAAGAAATGTACACTTCCTACACTTGTGTGGTTGGAAGTCAGAGCGTCTTTGCTGCCCTTGCGACCCGGAAGAAAATGGATGGATACACAGAGGCAAAACATAAATCATTTGCTTGCCATTGTGAACTTCTACCATTTGTAAGAACAGATCCAATGCATACATTTAGAGTGATGCAGCATAGAAAAATGGCCCCGGTTTTAGAACTCACAGAAAACAAATCAATAATTTCTCTAAAATGTCAAAAAGTATTAATAAACCATGCCCTTTTCTAATAATTCTTGAACTGTTAACAGTAGTTCAGCCGAGATATTTGAATTTCAAAATTAGCTTTACAGCCCCTAAATCTTGTTATTGTTTTCATTTCGATGTCCCGCCCTCCATCCTTTTACTCACCAAACTCTCACTGGTAAAGTAGCATGTGGCATGTCTACTCAGTTATTATGATCCCAGCTGAATTTGTCTGTATACCTGGCAACCTGAGTACCACTTTGTACATATTGCCCCTTTAATTATCCAATTCAATCCATTTATAAAACAATCTATGCGGGCCATTCATTATAATTGATAGCAGGAAAAAAACATATTCATATAGTGTAGAGTCAAGTATAACCATGTCCTGTTCAATAAATATAGTGCAACAATGCGTTCATTTTACCATTTACCTGAGAGTCACAGAGATTTGATATTTAGTCTTATGCCTGAGTAGTGCACATGCTCTTCTGTCTATAGGGTTATGCAGATTAGTGTGTTTGTCCATAATCAGATTCTGGTGCAGCCATATGGCATGTCATGTTTTGAACAAAAAATAATCATTGTTTATCACCTTTTTTTTTCCTCAGCACCCAATAACACATGTGATGACACCTCATTTCGCTGTCACAACAAAGCCTGCATCCCTCAGAGATTCGTGTGCGACCACGATGATGACTGTGGAGATGGATCGGACGAGTCAGTTGAATGCGGTATGAGGAATTACCAGTTATTGGATATGTTGTTATTATTGTTCATCACTTTTTGAGTTGGACAACCCAAGGTAAGGCAAGTTTATTTGTATATCATAATTCATACTCAAGGCAACTCAAAGTGCTGAGCAAAGCAAGATAGAAACAATCACACGAGGCAATACAATCATAGATAATCACAGTACATGATGATTATCTTTACTCTCACAAGAGTAAAGATACAATCCTTCAGTGGTATTCACAGAACTGTTTTTAACCTGGATTTGAACATTGTCAAAGAAGAGGCCAAACTCATATTTCCAGGAAAACTGTTCCCGATTTTAGCTGCATAAATCTGAAAAACTGCCTCTCCATGTTTAGTTCTGACTGTGAGCGCCAGCTGGAGGCCGGTCCCTGTGCTCCTCAGAGTCCCAGTTGGAGCAAATGGCACTAACATGTCGCATATTAAATGTACTCTATTGTAAAAGATCCTCAGATCTCAACCTTCTTTTCATTCCTTGTGTAAAACTGAAACTGGAATGAGCTTTTTTATTTCAGTATATTAACATATATTGTGTATGGCATATGTATATTATAAAAATGCATCCATTTTTATCCGTTGTTCTGTTCATGGGAAATTCCTGGAAAGGTGAAGTGTTATTATTTGCTACTTATTGCGCAAATCACATTATGCTTGCCGGATCTTTGACGGATGTGCAATAAGTGCAGAGAGAGTTGAAGAATTGTGTGAGTCCCGTTGAGAAGGCTGGGAGGAACACTACTGGAGAGCTTGAAATCTCAAGGATCACTGGGACACTTATTACCTTTTCAAAATCAAATCAAGTAAGAAAGGGGTGAATATTTCAAAAGTTAATGTAGTTGATGTTGCTCTGTCGGATCATTTCTGTGTATTTTTTAACATGTGTTTTGCTACCAGACCACCCGCTAAATATGAAATTGTTAGAAGTAGACACTTAAATGAAAACACGGGTGAACTATTTATGGGAATGATCCATTTTGAGAACACATCATGTTCTACTGTAGATGAACTGCTTAACTCTGTCACCTCTAGTGTGTTGAATGTTCTGGACGCCATTGCCCCTGTGAAGGTAAAAATGGTCACAAATAAGCAAAAAGCCCCATGGATAAAAGCAGGCCCGGTCAGGGCACAGAAGCAAGAGTGCCGGAGAGCAGAGAGAAAGTGGAGAAAGTCCAACCTCCAGGGTGATTATAGACTCTTAAAAGAGAAGTTGTGTGAGTTTAACAGAGTACTACGTAGAACAAGAGAATTATACTTTTCTGAAACTATTGAAGGCTGCAGCAACAACCTGCGTGTTCTATTTTCAACAATCAATAGATTAACGAACCCCCCTGTTGAGTTGCCATTAGAACACTACTCCAAATCCAGGTGTAATGAGTTTGCACAGTTCTTCAGAGACAAGGTTCAGGGTATCAGAAATGCCATCACCTCTACAACACAAGTAACAATGCAACATCCAGTGAGGCTTTGTGAGCTAGCTCAATTTGCACCTGTCAATGATGAAACTGTTAAAAAGATAATCACAGGTCTTAGTTCCTCTACCTGCAGTCTGGATGTACTACCTCCTAGATTTCTGAAGTCTGTTATGTGTAGTCTATTACCCTCATTGACAGAAATAGTAAACATGTCTTTTTTATCTGGAACATTTCCAATGGCCCTGAAAAAGGCAGTCATTAGGCCCCTCCTAAAAAAGAGCAGTTTGGATGCTGCGGTACTTGAAAATTACCGTCCCATCTCAAATCTGCCTTTCATGGGAAAAATTCTTGAAAAAGTTGCCTACCAACAACTTACTGAATTTTTAATATCTAATGACTCATTTGACATGTTTCAGTCTGGCTTTAGACCACACCACAGTACTGAGACCGCTCTAGTCAAGGTAACAAATGATATTCGGCTTAACACTGATGCAGGAAAAGTCTCTGTTTTAGTCATGTTAGATCTGAGTGCCGCTTTCGACACCGTTGACCATGAGATTCTCATGCAGAGACTGGAGGACTGGGTTGGTGTTGCTGGTACCGCCCTAAGCTGGTTTAGGTCCTATCTAGAAGAAAGGAAGTATTGTGTGGAGATTGGAAACTATGTCTCAGATAATATGGCCCTGACCTGCGGAGTGCCACAGGGGTCGATTCTGGGACCTCTCCTGTTCAATATTTACATGCTGCCATTAGGTCAGTTAATTCAAAGTATGAAAGTGTCCTACCACAATTACGCTGATGACACTCAGATCTATGTCTCACTGACTGCAGGAGAGCATGGGCCGGTGGACTCACTCCTTCGCTGTATCCAGCGGATCAGTGAGTGGATGCAATGCAATTTTCTCCAGCTAAATGCGGACAAAACCGAAATGATTGTCTTTGGTCCCCGAGAAACAAAGAGAGACCGTCATTTGTCACCTTCAGTCTCTCTCCCTAAGGCCCTTAAATAAGGTCAGAAATCTGGGAGTAATAATGGACTCTGACTTAAACTTCAATAGCCACATTGGATCGGTAACATCAGCAGCTTTTTATCATCTGAAAAATATTGCCAAAATTAAAAATATTGTGTCCAGGGCAGACTTGGAGATTCTTATCCATTCTTTTGTTTCCAGTAGGCTGGATTACTGCAATGGCCTGCTCACAGGTATCTCCAAACATGCAGTAAGACAGTTGCAGTATATTCAAAATGCTGCAGCCCGAGTCCTGACTAGAACCAGGAAGTACGACCACATTAGTCCGGTCCTCAGGTCTCTGCACTGGCTTCCCGTGGCCCAGAGGATAGACTTTAAAGCAGCTCTCCTGGTGTACAAGTCTCTCCATGGCCTTGCACCAAAGTACATCCATGATATGCTAGTCCCATATGAACCAGCCCGGACTCTGAGGAGCGCAGGGACGGGACTCCTGTTAGTGCCCAGAGTCAGGACTAGACAGGGGGAGGCTGCTTTTCAGATTTATGCAGCTGGAGTCTGGAACGGTCTTCCTGAGGATGTGAGACTGGCTGCCTCTCTGTCAATGTTCAAATCCATGTTAAAGACTTTTCTTTTTTCCCGTGCATACAACTAGAGAATTTTATCTTTTTAACACACCTTGTTATTTATTGTTGTAACTTTTTGTGTTTTTAACTATTTTATTGTTTTTAATTACTTGTGTGATTTTTATGTTTTTAAATTACTTATGTGATTTTAATGCTTTTTAATTACATATGTGTTTTTAATTGTATTTTAATGGTGATGATTTGTGCATTGTGTGGTGTGGACTGTGAGGCGCTTTGTGTTGCCCTGTGCAGGAAAAGCGCCCTATAAATAAAGATTGATTGATTGATTGAAGATACAGATATGTTTAAGCTTGGGTTTTGCTTAATTCCAACATCTTTGAAGGGTTATGGAAGCTATTATTAGGGTTTTACATAAAAGTTATAAAGTAGATTGATAACACTGAATTGAATAGGTATTATCTGTATTAACCAGGCTAGTATCAAACAGAAGTTTCTTGATGTACCTCCGTAGAGCCTTCATTCATACTTTTGTCATAATGCTTGTTCATTTAGAATCTGTAAGTTTATAGCTAAAGCAATCAGTGTGAATGGTCAAATCACGCTGACATTAAAGAGAAATGCAAAGCCGCACTATATTACAATGTCTCCAAATTGGCAGATCATCTCAAAGTGTGATCACCATTTGCTTTTATATCACCATTCGCCCACTCTTCTTCCAATGTACTGTCTGTCTTTTCTCGCCTCCATCTCATCTCAGAAACAGGAGATAGGCCCTATAACTTTCTCTCTCCCAGATATCTCGCAGCAGTTTGAGAGCAGGTTAATGAGCATAAGTCTGGTGTCTTTGTGTGTGCAGCCTATCGCACATGCCGATCAGAGGAGTTTCGCTGTGGGGACGGTCGCTGCCTGCTCAGTGCTCAGTGGGAGTGCGACGGCTACGCGGACTGCCCCGACCACTCTGATGAACTGCCTCTCAACCTCAAATGTCTGGCCGCAGGTAAGACTGCTGCTTGGCTCCCAGCTGGAAACTCTTCATCATTGTCGCCGGGAAATCTACAGGGACAGATCGGCGCAGATGAGAGGGAAGCGAATGTTTCTGATAGGAATTAATCTGCCACTCCACTTCAGAGCTCCAAGGCTTGTTCAAATCTGCCAGATAGGGAACATAAGTTTTGCAAAATATGAACTATAACAAGACTAAAGAGATTGGTTTAGGGTGGCACAATGCAATGCTAAATGGTTGTAATTGAAGAACAATGCAGATTTTTTTTTTTATTTGCCCCCTCACCCCAACCTCTGAGTTGCCACAGATTTCACCCAAAACTGTTTCAGAATCAGAATCATTTTTATTGCCACATAAGTAACAAGGAAATTGGAAATTGCTTTGGCTCAGTGCAACAGTCAGAAAGAGAGGTAAAGGTAGAGAGGCATAATACAAAAATAAAAATAAAAAGCACTTCTAAGGAATAAGTACGTTTCTAGTATTTGTACCCATGTATAATTACATCCCCATATATAATTACTGTCCTTTTTTCATTTTTTTTAAGTACAAAAAACAAAAACAAAAAAAGAACAAAAACACAACATTTAAAAGGATAATGATTATCGAATTAGGATCATTAAAATGGGAAATAGAAAAATAAACTGAAAATTAAAAAACTCACAAACTTTATTCAAAATGTATCTCAACCTTTATTCTATATTTGATATTTGGTAGTGCTTTAAAAGTGGCTTTCCTTTTTCCTTGACTTTACTTAGATGTATTTAAAACCTGCAGAACATTTCCCATATCTTCTTTGACTTTGACTCGAGATTAGCCATGTGCTCGTGACGCATTCATCATGTGTGTGTCTGTCTTTTTATGTGTTTTTATGTTCTTTAGCATTTGGAACTAGAAAAAGATACACACAAAATTAGCAGGATTATTGAGAAACGCTATTCGTTGTTTGTCTATACTGTAAGTATAGCATTTGGTCTATATTCATTCTTTAATGTTTTATAAGATACATGATGAATCCCTTACTACTCATAATGTGTCTGTATTAAATCTGTCCACGTTTAGTCCAGCAACTATATAATGTCAATACATGAATAATAAGGCTATACTTCATTCATCCACACTTCAAAACAGAATCCACAGACACAGATTATGGCAATATCAGGAGCAAATGCAAAACAGACTTGTATCGCTTTGGTGCTAATTGGCTACAGCACACAGCCTTTGAAAATGAAAGTCGCCGACAAAAACACATGCATACATTTATCTGCGCGTTGATTTGGGGATAACTGGTTGTCACATACTGAGTAACGTCACATGACAGGGCACTAACAGCCTGTCTGTTTTGACCCATCCAGGAAGCTTGTGCAATGGCTCCTTTTTCATGTGCTCGAATGGTCGCTGCATTTCCGAGGGCAGCCTGTGTGACGGGCGAGACGACTGCGGCGACGGCTCCGACGAGAGGAACTGTAACGTCAACGAGTGCTTGAACCGAAGAGTGAGCGGCTGCACCCAGGACTGCCAGGATCTGTCTGTGGGCTACAAGGTCCGTGTGAGATTAAGAAATGTATTTAGAATGTATGTACCTGGTCGTTTACCACACAGAGATGGGAACAAGGTCGCCAATTTGTACATGTTTTTAGTGGGAGGGGAAACTAGAGCACCCAGTTATCTCGGACGACCGTTGAATTTGCCCACACAGATCAGAGAATTAAACTGTTCAGACAAAATGAAATGCAATGATGAAAAAAAAAATGAAAAAAAAACATGCATTGGGCCATAAGGGGCAGATGACCAAAATCCATAAATGGGGATAAATGTCCATGAATGTTGTTGAACGTTGAGTGTCCTGGATCAGCAGAACATTTTCCATATTATGCTTGTGGATTTTTACTCCCATGTAAGCTTGCATGTTGTACTGTTGCTTGTTAGTTTAAGCCCTCAAGCCATCTACTCTTTCTGAAAGCTAAAACACATGCTTGAAATATGCAAGAAATGATATACGTTCAAGTCGCATCTTAAATTATGCACCTCATGGCTTCAATCTCCGTCCTACAGCCTCAGTCCTGGATCCATCCATGGGAGCAGATCCCTCTCTAATTGTGGACCTCCTCAAGGTTTTTCATTTATTTGGTTTTCGAGTCGTTCCTTCTTTAAGCAAGAAGGTCTAAGGACATTTATGATGAGCAATATTAACCCGCTCCTTATGGATCAATGGCTTCTTTGCGTTTGTTATTGCTGCATTTTCTAATAATATATTTTTGACCTGTCCTCCATCTCTATTATAAACTAAGGGCCGTGGAGAATGATCTGACGTCCACCTTCCTATTAGAAATGCTGCTGCTGACTACAGTTAATCCATGAGGCTAATTCACTCGGACAAGCTGTGTTCAGAAGAGCAGAGAAAGCAAGAAGTCAAGAGTGGCTAAACCTACAGTGTGTCTGTGTGTTTTAGATATAGAGGGTAAAATATTGGACACTTCGGCACTTTTATCGTTCATTTGGGAGTAGTCCAGGATCTGCACGATGGTGTATAAATATATCATGGCAGACTTTGGAGGAATAATGGAAAAACAGCAGGAGTTATTGTATGTGGTTGTACATGGCTACTGGCAAACATGCAAATAATTGAAAGATTGGGATGTCATTATAAGACAAACCTTGAAGCTGTTTTTAAAGTAGACTAGAATTATGAAACTACTAGAACTCCCAGAGCCGTGATTTTGACTGCTCCCGTTTAAATCAATGGAAGATAGTGAGTTTACCATCTTCAAATTTACCTTCACTCTTCACCTTCACGTTTGTTGAAAAGCTAAATGCTAACTGGTAGCAAATTAACACTGTTGCTATGGTTACTAGAGCTTGCTCTTCTCCACTTTGTTTATTTATTTTATTTATTTATTTATTTGGGTTTTAAAAGGAGGTACAATGCATATTAATGAACATTTAATCAATGTAAATATGCCAGATTATAGCCTTAGGCTAATTTCCATCTGCAGACCCCCTGGCAGGTTGATGTTAACAAAAAATATAAAAAACAAACAAGACATAACAATACAAATCATGCAAAGAATACATGTTACTGTTTTTCAAAGTTAAAAGATAAATTCGTGAAAAATAATGACATAGAATTAAAACTACGTAAAGAAACGGAATATCCAAAATGACCATGAATGTGTCTTTGTGCTGGTCCCAATCCTGGATAAGGGTACTTGGTGAACTTTAATGTTTATGTCCATTACCTGCTCATCTGACATGTATCTAGTCTGCTCAGGAATAGGCTATAGCTCTTGCTGGTGCTTGCATTATAAAACAAAATCTCAGCTTTTTGTTAGTCCAAATAATAAAACATGCATGAATCACACAAAAAAAACACATTTTTTTATTTTATTTTACATGTTATGTCCCCTTTAAGAAAACATTGACCTATCTCTTTTTTGTATCAACACACACCACCAAAACAATAATTACGGCTAAAGCAGTTGTCAAAAATCTGTTTCGCGTTTTGACTGACTGCCGGTGTGATTTGTAGACGCAACTTTAATAAAATATTCATCGAGAATAATTAAAATTTAGCCTGTAAACTTGAGCAGATGGATGGAAATGTTATGCGGTTTCTTCTAAATAACCTTGAACACAGTGCAAGGAGTTTAATAATATGCCAACTACTGCTCCCATCCCCGACTGTGCAGGGCGACGGTGCCATGCCTGGCAGAGATGGCACTCCATGAAGAGGTGGGGACTGGGGTCAAGGCCATATTGGCAGGACTCAGTGGCTATCGGTGTGGACAGGCGGCTCTAGTTTATCGCACACTTTCTTGTCTTTTGTTGTTTGAAGATGGAACGCGGTCAAAAAAGTGTCTCAAAGAAGCCCCCTGGACCAAAACAGCGAGCCCAACTAAATTTTAAGCACTTCTTTTCAAAAGCGAGGCAGAGGAATGGGAAGTTGCTTTACAGTACAGATCAAGGTGTTTGCGGAGATAAGTCGTAGGTTTATTCAGTTTTTTGGGAGGTGGGTTGCAATGTTTGTCAATGAAATAGGTTTGAGGCTTAAATAACTTTTTTTACATAGCAGTATTTCTAACCCATAAAGCAATTATTGTCAAGCAGATATGGCAATGGGATGTTTTATATGGTCTTACATGGCTGCAAGTTTAACCGTAGGGAGTGAATCTTGCTATTTCACTTATTTTGTTGTGGAGCCATGGGCCTTAACCCCTAATTACAGTAGTATCTTTAAGTATTTTAGAGTCTTGTTTAATGTTGTGAACAAATCAATCCATTGTATCTTAAGTAAGTAAGTAATCTTTATTTTATATACCGCCTTTCACAAAGCGGTTTACAATTATTATTTTTGGGTATTTGTCTCTCTCTCCACACAGAGATGGAAGCGGGGTCGCCAGTACAGGAGGTGCATGCCAGACCTATTTTTTAGTGGTAGGGGAAACCGGAGTACCCGGAGGAAACCTATGCAGACACGGGGAGAACATGCAAAGTCCACTCAGAAAAGCCCTGTTCCGACCGGGATTTGAGGATTATACACTCAGCCACCGTGCCGCCCATCACATTCTGAGAGCTGATTGGCTGAGTGAGGGACCAAACAGTTTTCAGACCTAGGAGCTAGTTACATGTATTGCATCGTTATTTTTTCGGTAGTTTCAATATAAGGTTCTCCAGTTTTTTTTCTCTAAAATACTACTTTAGATCCACTATCCCCTGTCTTAAGTATGAAGCCAGTGCTGTTTATGTGCATTTACACCAAATTAAAAAACCCTAACCCTAACCCTAACCCATATGAATACAAAGTCATAGAAATGCAGCTTTTGCCTTAGTCTTTTCTGAAATAAACCAGTTGACATCAGTGCCTTCTCTTGGCTCATATGTTTGCGATCTTTCACACCGAGCCTCTCTCAGGGCCTCAGGGTTATAACTGTGGATAAGAGAGGGATTTGAACAGGGCCCTTGGCAGCTGATTCTAGCGCTCCAGAGTTATTTTTGGTTGGACCTGGTCACTCAAGTGTGATGAAATACTGAAGCCACCAAATCCAAGACGCACTGGCCTTTTATTGCATGCCTGATCACAGCAGTGTTAGCTGTACTAATAAAAGATATACTATTTTTGAGCAGTTGTTTTGATGGTAAGCCCATATTTGACGTTTGTGGGGCGACAGTAGCTCAGTTGGTAGAGCATTGGCAGAAGGTCGTGGGTTCAATTCCCACCTCTGCACCTTCTCCACCGACTCCCACTGATGACTGCTGTCGTTGTGTCCTTGGGCAAGACACTTAACCCCACTTTGCCCAAAGCCCCCACTGAAAGATCAAGGCTATGCTCACACTCAGAGAGCAGCCGTCCTCCTGTGGACTCACCACCTGCAGAGGGTCAGTGAGGGGCTGGTGCTATGAGACTTGTGTGGCATCTCTGACTGCCACCCCCCTGACCCAGAAATGGATTAAAGGGTAGAAAATGGATGGATGGAACTGTATGTTCGGACTGATATCTTGTCTTTGGATAACTTCTTTAATTACTTTCACTTTCATCTTGTCACATGTCTTTTGACCCATCCATCCATCAATCAATTTTTTTCCCCTTCATTTTAGTACTTATGCCAACCTGATCTCACATGTAATGCATGCAATATTTTGAACTAATGTCAGAATTTGCAGTATAGGGCCCCACGTGTCACTACAAGTAAAGATGTAAAAATACTGCTGCTAACATGGACAGATTTAAAGTTACGGCACGGTGGCTGAGTGGATAGCACTATCCCGGTGCTCCGGTTTCCCCTACCACTGAAAACATGCACACAAGGTTAAATCCTCCAGCTCTGGTCCTAACCAAGCCGAGCATCAACCTCTGGAGATGGGTTCCCGTGCGCTGTTACTACGGCGACTTCATGTACATGTACATGCTAACATATACCTACATAATGATTTCTCTAGAATACACATTACTTTGTACTTGCCTCTTATTTTGTAGATTATGTATTCTGAAATGATAGATATTTTATACTTGGTTATTTGATGTCAGAGGTGGAGATTTTATTGTATTTTAGTTAGTATAATTATTGTTCATTAATCTTGTGCTGTGCCCTCCTCATGCCTACTGTTCTGTAACTGATGATGCAACACTAATATTGTCCCACTGTCGGATGAATGAAGGATCTCTTAATCTCTTAAATAATGCCTTATCGAAAGGGTTGGGCTGAAGTCCAGACTCATACTACCCAACCCCTATTGCAACTAGGGAAATATATCTAACAAAGACACATTATACAGATTCTCATACACCAACAATGGTTACAAGTTCAAAATACTAACTCTTACTAACATCTAAATTCTATTATTTTTCCTCCCCAGTGCAAATGCTGGCCTGGTTTCCACCTGAAAGATGACGGTAAAACCTGTGTGGATATCGACGAGTGCGCCACGACTCTGCCCTGTAGCCAGCGCTGCATCAACACCTACGGTTCCTTCAAGTGTTTGTGCGTGGACGGATACGAGGCCCTGGAGCGCAACCCCAATATCTGCAAGGCGGTGTCAGGTCGGCCTCATTACACTAGCACTCGCAGCCTCATGCATTCATTAGCGAGCTCATACCAATGTGTGATTCATATTGCAGCCGAAGAGCCTTTTCTCATTATGGCGGATCATCACGAGATCCGCAAACTCAGTGTGGATGGGTCCAACTACACCATCTTGAAGCAGGTGAGAAAGAAGCTTTGTCACTTCCTAATTGACCCACATTGGCAGCTCTGTTCACAGATACGAGATCGGTAATGAAGCAGTGATGAGACACTTTCATAGGACTAACTTGAAAAGATTCAGTTTGGTTAGTCATTGGTGATTTTTGTTTTTGTTTTCTGACTTTTTATCTAAAAAACAAAACAAAGATGGAGGTCTGAACTGTTCACCGCAGAAAATGATAAAATATGAGTTTATAACGCTTGGATCTTGCGGTTTTTATCTTAACTCAATGGTGTAGGTTTGGTTCCAATCTTGGTGGGGACATTCACTACGACCTGAGTCTACACCCATTGACACGGGGTCCAGAGTTTCTCCCCCAGAATTTGTTGTGTAATCACACACTATATTTGCAATAGTGTGTTGCCTTCTATACTAAACTCAGCTGTAGACTGAATGAGAAGCAGTTATGTATGTTAACAGAAGATTAATCATCACAATTCATAATTTGCTATTACTTGTGCTTTCTCTTACTTACTTTCCAACTGTTAAAAAAGCTCCTGATATCTTTTATCTTATTTGTGGAGGTGGCATTTTTTCTAAATTATATAAGAAGGTATAGACAATCAAAAACAGACATTCATATACATGAACTGCAGAATCATTTATATAACTTGGCCAATGTCAAAAGTTACATAGTATTTCTCAATACAATGAGTTAACAAGAGTTTGGCAATAAGTAACAGTGTGGATTTTTCTATATTTTCTTTTTTTTATTCCACTCTCTGCCCAAAAAGGCAAGTAATGACTCACAGGGCTCTCAAGTATGCAAAATAAAAACTTAAATGACCTGTTGTGGTGTGTTTTGCGCACAACCAGCATGCATCGTTAACGCAATGGAAAATTTACTTATCCGAGCTTTAATTTCGGGAGCGCTGGTTGCGCTTTGGGAAGAGTCAGGGGAGAGACATGTCAGAGACACAGGGGAGAAACGCGGGAGATACGAGGGAGACCCGCACTTGCAACATGGTTCTGTCTGCATATGGTCCGAGCTTGGTACCATGTTAGAGCTGTGCTTTCACTGAGCGCCGCGGCTGTCATTACAAAGCGGCAGCAGCTGCACCAGGACGTGCACATTCGAGTGCATCTCTTGAATGTGCTTAGAGCAAATAACAGCAAGTGCCCGCTGTCACACATTTCACAGAAATTACATTATCAGCAGATAAAGGTTGTAAATCGTGGATCCGTGGAATATTTTCATCCCTAGTTTATCCTGATTCACACAACACACCCACTTATACATTTTGGATAGTAAGAGCACAATAAGTATTTTTTCAGCCTTTCAACCAACCTGTTTCTTTATTGGAGCCAGTTCTGTTCTGTCTCTGTGCCGTGTGAGCTCCTCGGAACATTAAACAGTGTGCTGACAGATTAGAAATAACGTAAGTACTTTGAATGGTAATAGATCTACAGTACTTTCCTCTGATTACTCACGTGCTACAACGCTCAGGGAACGAAAAAAAACACTTGCTTCACGCTGGCTAACTTTTAAAAATTAAACAGTTGCTCAGTGCTTCAGTTTGGCGCTGAAGAAGACAGCCAATCACTGCAGAGAACGGAACGGGTCACGTGCTGCTGCTGCTGCTGTTGCTCTGGAGGCGAGGAGGAGGCGCGACGTATGCACAAACGGAAGACATGTGTCCCGGACCGTCCGGGTCACGGGACATCATGTCATTTTGGTGGGGACTTTTTAGTCCTCACCAAATATTGGTGGGGACATGTCCCCATGGTCCCCACGCAAACCTACGCCCTTGTCTTAACTCATTGACTGCCAGCCGTTTTGATGATTTCACTGATTCTCAAGACCCACAGAATATTATTTCCTAAAACTATGTGAAAAATTAAATCAGATTCTGAAAGACTGGATTGTCTACTTTCATAAGTAAAAATAAGTTTATTTCTATCTATTTATATATTTCTGTGTGCGCCTGTATTTGTTCTATGTGTGTCTCCATGTGATTGTGTATTGTTGTTTGTTGAACGATGTGTGACTGAATGTTTTACTGTCTTGTCCTTGTAAATATTGTATATATCTCACATTATTTTAACTGTGTAGCAAACATGTTTTTATCTTTTCAGGAGACATGGGACTACGGATGAAAAATAGCCGTTTGGCTAATTCTGGCATATTTACAGAAATGTTCATTAATATGCACTGTCCCAGTAATAAATAAATAAATAATAATAATAATAATAATAATAATAGAGGGTCTCAGAAAAATACATCAATGGCAGTCAATAAGTGTTAATCTGAGACATTCTGACTGTCTTAAAACTAGATTCATTATTTTCTCATTCCACGGGAGACATTTCTTGTATCTTTTTGAAACAACATCATTTTTGCTTGTCCCACTGGCAAATCTTGTTTTGAGGCTCAGTCATAATGTGCTAAAAACAAGATACAGTTGTTTTTTTCCTAATTTGCCAAATTTGAGTAATTTCTGACTTGCTTTTCATTACTTTTTGCAGTGTATGATAGGAAGCAGACTACTACATTCAATAAGAGAAATAAGTAAGAGAAAAATATGTGAGAAAAATGTGGTTGGCCGGGTCCCTGTATAGAACTTATCCTTTATTATGCTTGCTCTGTGTCTGAAGCTATAAACGTGGATCTTTTCTGGAATTATGATAATATTTCAAGGCCATGTTACTAATCTAAGTACCCATATTAAATTTATGTTTCACAGTTAAGTAAAATTGTACTAGAATACAGAGAAAATGTAGAAAAAAGAAAATAGAAATGTCAAAGCAACTGGCTTAATGGTATCCTTTTGTACATGCACATAATCCACACACACACACAGACATTTGTTATTTTTTTCAGTATGCTTTACTCTGAAATCTATGCTCTTTGTTCAAATGTTCTTATCTAAGGTTGGATAATTTGTATTTATTTGGATCCACATAAAACATTTAGAACATACAGTGTACAAAGCATTTATGATACAAAAAAAACATTTCACGTCATCCTTAGACCTTCATTCAAGCATTGGTTCTTAAAAAATAAAATAAAAAAATCTGTACAATATATATATTATTAGTTTCCCTTAGATGCCATAGAAAGTTGATTCCAAGCAGCTGAAGATCGAAACAAAACTGTTCTCTTCATACAGCTCGACTTTGGAAAAGGAACAACTAGATCTCGAGAGCTGCTGAGTCACATGTTGAAGGCACTCCCCGCTGTAATGACGTCCATTTTACACTTACTGTTGTTGGTTTTCTTTTCTGAACTTAAGGGCAATCATCCCCTATACATGAGGAGTTTCTTTTTTTTACCCACTTAGAACTTTCCGTCATTGTATTTGCAATAGTGGACATTTAGTAATCAGAGAGTGAATGCTGTACTCATTTCCACTCATTCACTGAAAATTACATTCTACACAATCCTTACAATGTGGCCTCGTGTTTTTGTCCTGCAAATCAAAAGCTCTTTCATGTTACAAAAATTGCACTTGCTTATGCAAAATACATGCAATTTCTATACATCTAGCTCCATGAGGGGTAAATAATTTTCTTCGGGAGGTTAGTTTAACCTAAAATATAATTTTGCAAACTTGAAGCTATCCTGTGTTTTCTATGTGTTTGTGGACATTTTGTTTAGCGCTAGTATTACGTTTTGGTTTCATTAATGACACCAGAACACATTTACAACGTGCAAGTGGTTTCATATAGCAAGTTACAGGCCTTAAGTGGGTATTGACTCCTGATTCATTCAAGAAGAAGGAGAAGAGGAAGAGAAAGAAGACAGGCTTTTTTCTTCCCACAATGGGGAAATTTCAGTTTGATGAATACACATACAGGCATGCAGCGTACAGTTACTTCCATGCTCCTTATTGGCAAAGTACAGTATCGCGTCTTGTCCAAGGACACAATGACAGAAGACATCAGTGGGAGTTGGTGGGCCCATGCTCTACCAACTGAGCCACTGTCGCCCCATTTTAAAAAGCAACAGACCGGTTTGAGGTTCATGGCTGGGGGCCGCATCAAAATGTAAATTGGGCCGGATGTGGACCCCGGGCCGCACTTTGCCCAGTTCGGATCTATAAGAAGGCTTTCTCCTAGTGATAGCGAAAAACTATGTCCATCCGATTGCTGTCATTGTTAGAATATGTGTTCATGTAAGCCTTGGAAAACACTGCATGCAAGCTTTTAAAGGTACACAAACGCACAAAGGTCTGTCTGTCACTGCTCCACTGAATGCGCTAATGGTACAAGCCTTTCCCTTTTTACAAAAACACAACCTATATTCTCTTTATCATGCAGCCCTCATGTCATGCTAAGTGCTGATTAATGTTGTGCCTGGTTAGTTTCCACTATGTCTTGAGGGAGATCAAATTGACAGAGTGGCTAAGGATGTAGAGGCGTTGATAAAAGCGCTGCGTCGCGGTTTTCATGTGTATGACTGGAGAGCGGCAGGACTCCCGCGGGACACTTTGGCGCCTGTCGGTGAGGAAGCTGATGATCTGATGAAAACATCTCATTTCTCCTGTCAGATTACCCCACACCTTCACACAACCACCGCCCTCTCCGAGAACCAGCCTGGGGAGGAGGAGGTGTGTGGGTGGACAGGGGATGAGGAGAGAGATGTCTTTCGAACTGTGGTCCTGATACAATAGATATACACTGCAAAAAATGATATAATATGAGGTGATAATTGCTTGAAGCGAGTGGTTTTTATATTTAATTTGAGCACAGTTTTAAAACAACATTCACCAATGGGACAAAGCCATTTAGTCTAATTTCAAGAACTGTTCTCATCTCATTCTAAAGGAGACATTTCTTGTATCTTTTTTAATTTGGATTATTTTGCTTTGTCCCATTGTTTTAAGGCAGTCACTTTTTGCAGTGTAGGGCTGTTTTATTTTAGTATGTTTATGAGGCTGTCTTTCAATTCAAGTCAATTTATTCTTGTATTGTCCTAAATCACAACAGAGGTCGTTTAAGCAGACTTTGTAGACCAGACGGATTTATGATGGACTAAATGCAACCCTGTCGGTAGATTGTTCACTAAACAGTGGATGTGTTAGTGGATGTGCTCTTAAAAAATATTTAGAATAAACAAAAATACATTTTATGACAAATGAACTGGTTATTCCTTCCCATTTCCCATATTTTATTTAGTTTTATTCCCTGGACTTGAGTGTCTCAAAGTTTGGTTCTATGCTATGGTTGCTATGTTTTCTAAACTTTGTTGCTTGAGTTAAATACATATGTAATGTCTATAAATAAACAATATTCATTAAATATGCAATTTTTTGGAGATAAGAAATCTTGTTTTGAAATTTAACAATTAGTCGACAAACTCCTTGCCCTTTTCTACCCTTTTTTAATATGTTTTATTTGTAAATAAAAAAAAGACTGTGATTAACATTGGAAGTAATTAGAAGTTTATGTTTGCATTGTCTGCTTGTCAAATGATTGTTTCTGAACTATGAGTTTATTTAAAGACAGGTTCAATAACTGAAGGAATTCAATTAGAATAAAAAAACAATTACAGGCACAGCCTAGGTCAATCATTTAATTGTATTTCATTGCATAAGTGATCCTACTTAGTTGATTGTTTCAATGCCACTGTTAAATCCCTTCTTTCCATTTTGCGTTCGCAATTACAAATCATAAAACCTCTTTACAGTAAGACACTGCTTGACTTGAAAAGGTATTCATCCAATTTTTTAAATGTCAGAAACCCCTAGTGAGAATATTCCAAATCAATACTGAGATACAAAGAGGTAGAACAAATTCACCTCTGAAGAGTGCAGATGGTATTTATTTTATTGTTTGTAAAAAAATCTCTTTGATCTGTTTCTGCGGGAATATTTCAGTGTTGCATCAGCAGTCACAGAGCAGTAGGAATGAGTAGAACACAAAATGAGTGCAAAAACTCTGAAATTATTATATACTTAATTAATTAATTAATGGATCTTTGTTTTTTCTAACCAGGGCCTTAATAACATCATTCATATTGACTTTGACTACAAGAAGGAGTTCATCTACTGGGTGGATTCGACCAGACCGAGCGGACGCAAGATCAACCGGATGCGCCTCAACGGAAGTGACCTCAAGGTACAGTTCTGCTACTACTCAAAGTGCTACTACTACTGCTGCTGCTGCTACAGCTACTATTACTGCCCTGTTTTTCTTGTGTATAACCGGAAAGAGCCGCCCCGCTGCTCTTTATATATTTAAAATTAGTGTTACATATATTTAGAAAGAGATCCATTATAACTGAAATTTCTATTTAGATCTTCATCACACTTCATCTGTCATAAACTTACAGTAAAAAGGCTTATTGTGACTGCACTGCAAAAACTTTTGAAAAATAGGTCAATAATTGTTAAAATTAAGAAAAATGTATCTGAATTTTAGCACATTTGGCTGGCTGGCAAAGATATCTTCTTTTAAACAGACAAAAAAATATCTCCCTTGGAATTGAATAATAAGACCACAGAATGGCTTTGTTCCATTGGTAAATTGTGTTTTAGGACAATCAGAATGTACTCAAATAGGATAAAAACACTTGATTCAAGCAATTATTATTTGATCATTTTTTACCATGTGGTCGTTAAGGATTGTCTTTTCTTTATCAACAGCCATATTGAGTTTCTGGATACATTTAGAAAACTTATATTTTTCCCACCCTCAGGAAGTCACATACTGGACGAGCACACAAAGCAAGATACAGAGTATACTTGTTTAGCTAATGCTTATTTAGCACACTGCCACGTGTGTGTGTGTTTTAGAGACATACTTTAGAAATGCCTTTAGGACGACAGATAATGTGTTTTTTTCTCACGTTTTGAATTTTGAAAACCACGCTTTAAGAATTTATAGCATCCTCAGTCTGTCGTTTTTTCCTGATTGCTCATCTAATGTTAGGCACTGTCCTGTGTTGGTCTTACTCAGCTCATTTTCCCTCGCAGCCCGCAGAGTTTGAGTCATTTCCACAGTTAGTGAGAGGACAAACTGTGTGAGACACCGATTCTCACGTTGTGTTAATTAGATGAGGCAGTGATACTCGCTGATGGGAGAGCAGGCTGGGCCACTTCTCAGGGCTAAAAGGAGGTGGCAGGGACGCAGGGAGTACTCTGCTACAGGCTCCATCTCTGAAATATTCTGTCTGTTTGTACTTTTGTCTTATAATAGACACAAAGTTTATTTGCCTCATACTCGGATAGCATTATTGGGTTTTAGACAATTATATATACAGTTTTAATCGGTATACTCCTGTCAATTATAATTTCCTACCTGTGGGTCTGGATCTGATTCTAGTGGCTGAAATTATCTCGATTGAATCCCCTCCGACCATTCAGCGAGTGGGGGAGGCGGGTGTTGTAGGGAGGTGTTGGTGACATCAGGAGTTTGCGCCAAATTTGCTGGTTGTAGTTTGGCAATGGTAAAGTAATCTGTTCTGGTTGGGCTCCAAATATTAATAAATTGAGGTTGGAGCAAGAGGAATGTTTGGAGAACAAGAGAAAGCTTCATTGCTGTCAAAGATGTTGTGTCTCTACTCCCCACGGGGTTAGTGGCAAAGGAGATGACTAAAGCTAGGCTAAATGCTTAGCGAGGCTAAACGCCTCACTCACTGGAGCGCATTACATACGTCACGGTAAACTTCGATCCAATCGTTTCAATCTGCAAAGAGAGTTAACCCCTCCCACCTGTTAATGGAGCTCAATGGAGCAAATCCAGACATAAGTACTAAATGAAATTAGTACGATGTTATGGTAAGACCAGGCAATAAAATATAGGGTTTTGTTTCTTGTGTATGATGCATGCAAGGACTGCGCTATTTTTTGTTCATTTCTACTTCATGTCTGCTCTAAAATTTGCGATTGTTTTGTAGATGAGATAAACCTTTATTTGTCCCTCAGTGGGTCAATGTCAATTAACAATTCAATGACAATTCAATTTGAAATTTTGATATTATTAGAGTATATATTTAACAACTGTATCATACAACTCTATCAATGATAGTACACAAGATACATAGATATATAGATACTTTATGTATCTTACCAGGCAAAAATAAGTAGCTTGTATAAAATGTTGTATTATTATTATTATTTTTTTTTTTTTAAATGTTCCCTATTTCTTTGGTCCTGAATTCCTATCTTTGTCGCAATTATAATAGCATTCACAATATATTTTACCGTATTGCATTGCATTTGATCGTGCTTGACCATAAACCAGAATTGTGTGTGAACCAAGCTTGCACCCAGAATAATGTGGGTTGAATGAAGCAAACCTTTAACAAATGGTCTTCCGAAAGTCTGGAAAGTAGCACAAAGATACGTTAAAAGTTTATTTGTGTCAATGATAACCCTATCCATAAAGCCTGGCCGGACCTCATGTGTCTCCCCGCGCTGATAAATGGACTGAAAGTAGAGATGCTATTGGATACCCAGACTGGGACAAACTTGATGCGGCCTGTATTGTCTTTATTGCCCGCGGAGGCAGTTTTGATGAAAATACTTCACAATGACTGACACAACAGTGACATTTTGAGGCTAAGTACGGGTCCAATTACTGCGTATAAAGGGGAGGCTCTGGTCTTTTTGCCAAGACTTTGCTTTTTTGCAAATGATGACAAAGAGGATCTAAAGTCCATCATGTCTTTTAATGACAGATTGTGTCTCTTCTGGGACTACAGAGAAAGTTGTTGTGTTTTTAGAGGATTGGCTTTATTCTGCCAGCTGGCATAATAAGTGTGCGCTTCGAGGAATATAGATGAGGATTTTGTTTTCACACTCTGCTGTTATGTTCTTGGAGTTCAACCATTTTTTGGAAACTTCGGAAAAATGCATACAGCGTTTTGTGCAGCACATACTTATGAACCAAATATCACAGACAAATAAGACGTTGTTTTGTTTTTCGAGAGTTAGCAATAGTTATGTGCGCCTGTGTCTCTACTTTGTTTTTCTCCTTGGTTATTATTTACGTATTGAAGCTGCCTTTTACATACATAAAACATGAAGGAGACTTTTAAATGTGAACAAATCAGACCACAAGATGCTGTCTATAGCTCATTAGAAAACATTATATATTTTGCATACTAGTCAGTAAGAGCTATGTGAGGCACTGTTCAAAACGTTGGGCTTAAATCTGATCTAAAGAAGACCAAAATTACATAAAAATCATGGAACCAACCTGTTAAGAGAGCGAGGAAATTGATTGATTTTGTTACATAGAGTTGTTCCATCTGTTGTGGTTTGGAAGTTAGATATCCCAGCTTTAAGTCAAGTCTTTATCAGTCATTTCAACTAAAAGTGAATACCTACAAGCCCTTTCCATCCTTGTTACTGTGTCACCCAAGGCAAAACAGTTATAATTTGTTTTCTATGCCTTTTTTTAAACTTTCACAATTCTTTTAAAGCAATTCTCCATATAGTTTCCAATTAGCCGTTTGGCATTGTACATTTATAACATAACAATTGTAAAACATGGTCCAACGCTGACATAACCACTATTCATCTTGCACTTTGACCATTTGTAAAGGTCATTTTAAATTAAACCACTCAATAAGGTTATGTCCTGCTTTTCCAGATCGTTCACAGGACCTCAGTGCCCAGTGCGTTAGCCGTGGACTGGATTGGGAAGAATCTCTACTGGTGCGACGCTGAAAGGAAAACTCTGGAGGTCTCCAAAGCCAATGGCCTTTATCCCACTGTTCTCATCAACTCTGGACTCAAAAACCCAACAGACCTCGCCCTGGACCCTCAAACTGGGTACTCAATGCTCCAATAACACAATAATGGTTACACTGTTTACAAAATGTGTGCTTAAGTTTTATTTGCTATAACATTTAGCATTACTAGTTGACAAATATGTGTTTGTGTTTGTTATGTATTCACTCATTACATTGGAGACAGCTAATAATAGATGGATAGATTGATACTTTATTGATCCGCTGTAGGAGAAATTCAGGTGTCAAGTAGCAGCAGGAACACATCCATCCAGACCAACAAAATAATTAGATACACACTTTTAAAAGTAGCTGACAATAGTAATAAAATGCAACTGCACTTATGGTCACAGCAGCAGAGGCGATGTAGCTGCTGGGTACTGCAGGACTGCTTGGATACTATAATATCATTTAAAACCAAACATGCTCACTTTCAACACAATTTTACACACAATTACCAGATAACTTGGAGTTTTGATTGTGCAAAATGCAGAACTTAGAGAAATTAAAAATGACTAAATCTATCTTTGAAGTTATGGGTTTAACATTTCTTTTGATTGGTGTTTGGTTTATGCTAATTGGTCCAAGCCTCCAGATATGATTGTTGTCTATTGGAAGGACTTGGACCCATTGGAATAAAAATAGGACAACAAATTATAACAATGCTCCAGATTTCCAGATCTTCGAAAACAATACATATCCCATAGAGTTACACCATCCCGACCTCATAAATAGCGATGGGAAACCTAAATCGAAGCATATTTTGTAGCTTTGAAAAACCATAGATAAGCCGTGTTGATTTCCCCGAGCCTGTGGGTGTGTTTTAGATGCTGAGAGAAACAATCATTTGCAGCTCACAAAAACTGTAACATGAAAACCTAATCCTTCCTCTTTTCCACACCTTTTCTTCTGCTTGGGGCGAGAATTGCTGTTTTGAAACATTTAACATGGACGTCCTAAATCCGGCTTTGGTTTCAGGGATTCTACTTCCCTGTCGATGTTCATTTGAATTCTTGCCGTGCTTAAACACTTTTCTTTGTTGTTTCAGGCTGGTGTTCTGGGTGGACTGCTGTGAGCCTGCGTACATCGGGCGTATTGGCATGGACGGAAGAGGCCAGACGGTTATCATTGACACAGAGCTCCTGAGCCCAACCGCTCTCACCATCGATTACACCAACAAGCGGCTGTACTGGGCCGACGACAACCACATCCTCTTCTCAAACATGGACGGCTCGCAAAGGCACAAAGGTGACTCCTCAAGGCCAGTCTGTGCAAGCTGTTAGCTGGATGAAGTATTCTTTAGTGGGATTGGACCTATTTTGAAAGGATATGATAGATAGATAGATAGATAGGTAGATATTGATCCCCATAGGAGAAATTACGGTGTCCAGTTGCAGCAGAAAAAATTCTAAAAAGCTCACAATTTTAATAATAAGCAACAACCATTCAGGTCACAGCAGCAGAGATGGAGTAGCCTTTGGGTGGAGCAGGACAGGTCACAAGGTGGAGTGGCTGCTTGGTTTGGACCATTTTCTCCGCTCTAGTCCAAAGTAAAATGCTTATTGGTTCATTAGCATTTAAAAAAAAAAAGTTAGCATTCCTCCAGTGGATTTTTTCTTGATCCGCTTGGTTCGGACCATGAATCCTCTCCGCTCTGGTCTGCACCAGTGCAAAACCATGAACACTGGACTGCAAGAACATCTCAAGTAGAGAAAAAAAGCAAGAATAATAAAATTTGTAACGCACAAAACAGCTATTTCAGAGCTACTTAAAGCTTGCAACCATTTCCAGCGCATTCAAAAGATATGAGGAAGATACAACAATTTTCCTTTTGTTTTTGATGTTTTAATTAACTCTGTGGTATAAAAGATTGTATTGTAAGCATTTGTTTTGTTTTCTACCTGAAGCCAAAACGTACACATATGTTGGTGATTGTACATACTATTATGAGAACTAGGAATGAGTTTGATTTTATGTTCTAATTGCTTTTGGCTTACTTTAGTATGGATAAAGACAACACAATGATGAATAAAACATATACTCACATAATATCCACACATAATATCCAAATTATTATATAATATGCCCCAGTGCTGTTTGCCTGAGGTACTTTCTGTAATCAACCACCCTCCTTTTAGATAATAGTTTACCATTATAAAAGATAGATGGATAAGTCTTGCGGCAGCCATGAGGACTGTCTCATATTTTCAAGAAGACTGTTCTATAAAATAAAGTCCCTCACAGTTTTGATATTTTCCAAAGTGCGAAAATGTTTCTACAACTTGGCATTTAAATAACTATAGGTTTTTCAAAGAAGCCATTTCAAATCCGAACGGCCTGCTGTGCGTTAAGTGGGTAAATCATTGCTCATGTCCTCTTGAAATGGCACATTGTTTTAGTTAACAAGCTGCATGAAACTGAAACGGCTCAAACTCACATTGCAACACCTCTCCTCAGTGTCCTACGACCACATCCAGGGGGTAATGGCGCTCACTCTGTTCGAGGACTTTGTGTATTGGACCGACGGCAAATCCAAGTCACTGCGTCGCGCTCACAAGACGACCGGCGTTCAGGGAATGGAGCTCCTCAATTCCTGGCAGGCCATCAAATCCATCAAGGTCTACCACTCCCTGCGCCAGCCCGAAGGTACACGCTCCATCTGCCCGTGTTCAGGTCCAATCCTTCCTATCCCGCTGTAGTTTATACGGGCTACTCTTTACCCCGCTATGAAGCAAATGATTTGTGTAATTTGTACTGAGCGCAGCGGCTTGTCCTCTTTTTTTTTGTCCAACTCTGCAGTTCCCAAGCACCAATGTCAGATCGCAAATGGAGGATGCAGCCACCTGTGTCTGCTGTCCCCCGGCGGAGAACACAAATGCGCTTGTCCAACTAATTTTTACTTGGCCGCCGACAATAAAACCTGTCTCTCCAACTGCACTTCCAGTCAGGTGAGTGGGATTGCTCTTTACTGCGGAGTCCACAAGCATCAGGAAAGCAGCTGTTGACATATATGTTTATTTATAGAAACAGGGCAAAGTCATTATTTGTCTTATTCAGTGTATTTCAATGTGAGAAATTAATCTTGTTCTTTAAATCAATATACAGTAAGAGATGATATATATGTGGCCATACCTGAGAAAGCCAGATCCTGTCAGACCTCTGAAGATAAGCAGGGCATGGCCTTGTTTGTACTGTGATGGGAGACCTCTGGGATCGCAAGTGGCACAGTGGGGCGGCTGTGGCTGTAAAGTGCCAAACTGCTGTTGTGCCCTTAGGCAAGGCACTTAATCCACATTACCTAGATTGAGTCTGGTGTGTATGTGAATGGTTGTTGGTGGTCAGAGGGGCTGTTGGCAAATACCGGTTTCCTCGCTTTTGTCAGTGTGCCCCAGGGCAGCTTTGGCTACAGTAGTATTTTATCACCACCGTGTATGGAGTAAATGAATAATGACATGTGAAGCGTCTTTGAAAGTCCAAAAAATGCAAAGCGATGTGATACAATATTAATGATGAAATGATGGATCTGTAGTTTAGACTTAAAGCCTGCACTAAAACCCTGTCTCATAATTAGCATGAGATGAATTTGATGTGTTGTTTAGTTGAAAGGTACAGGTTCTCTCTCTGTCTGTGGCAACTCTTTTTCTCCTCAAGGCAAGTTGCTTTGTTCTGTGCTTTATTCTCTTCTGACATATGTTGTGTGAAACGTTGTGCATTGATTTGACTTTGACTTTGAAGGAGGTTGAAGCTAAATGAAAAACCGGTGTGTTTATGTTGACTTCAAATGCGTTTCTGTACCTTTTGCCTCCAACAGTTTCGCTGCGGGACTGACGAATGCATCCCGTTTTGGTGGAAGTGCGACACGGTGGACGACTGTGGCGACGGATCAGACGAGCCCGCAGACTGCCGTGAGTGTGACGCAGTTATGAAAATGACCTCTACAAACACCCAGAGAAACGCATTTAGGGGCACTGATTGCCATCCCCTCACTTGACCCAGATATGGATTAGTAAAGGAAAATGGATGAATTAATAAATGAATTAATGAAAGAAACGTGTTTAGTTTTGCTTTGAAAATAACATTGAAGTGTATGTAGAAATTTCTGTTGCAATTATGTTTTTACCTACACTGTAAAAATGATGAAAATTAAGTCAGAAATTGCTCAATTGTTTCATTATTTGAGCACCTTTTGACTGCCTTAAAACAGAATTTGCCATTGTCTGGAATGATAATAAAGAGCAACAGTTCCTGGGACAGACAGGGTCTTTCTGAGTGGAATGTGCATTTTCTATGTACAGTAGGTAGCAGAAAAGTTGAGGACCTGAGGGATATTGTACAGTAAAAAACATGTCCTTAATTATTACAGCGTGGATAGCATGTTTTGGCTACTTTGTGTTTCAATCTCCAGAGTTTGTCTCTCAAAGGAACTAAAAACATAATCACTATAGACAAAATTAACCTTTGTGACACCTCTGCCATAACCTAAAAAACCTCTGTCATGGCCATCAAAGGGTATACAACAAAGTATTGAGGTGGACTTTTGTTATTGACTAAATACTTTTTTTTTTTATAATTTTTGTCTATCTTGTTTGAGGTATACCTATGATGACAATAACAGACATCTCTTGTCTTTTTAATTGGGAAACTTGCACAATTGGTGGCTGATTAAATACTTTTATGACCCACCGACAAGCCCTATGACAACGTGCTAATTCAATATAATATCAATGGTTTGGTTCTGTGCTGATTTATAGAAGAAATTTGATTTTTTTTTGTATGCTAATTGGTTAAATGGTTGAAAATTTGTCAAAAAGTCAGACATTAAACAAGTCCTCACTGAAACCAGTCGAGGGCTGCACAGAACATGAGACGTTCCATCAGTGCGTGTAATCTCTCAAAGGGTTAAGTTCTGTCTGTGCTCTCCTCATGTGGTGAATGTGATTGTCTTTTATCTTTTTTTCCTCTACAGCTGAATTTAAATGTCAGCCGGGTCGTTTCCAGTGCGGCACGGGGCTCTGTGCGCTGCCTCCTTTTATCTGTGATGGAGAGAACGACTGCGGAGACAACTCAGACGAAGCCAACTGCGGTACGCATCATTCCCGAGCCTAATGAGCACTTACGCAGCTACAATTAAACCACAGCCAGCGACAAACACATCCTTATATCACGCGGAGACTCTGGACTCTTTGCAAATGCGTGCTTCTGTAAATCCCAGTTGTTTGTAATGGACTTGTATGTGTATTGTAGTGTGTGTTTTTAAAATTGTCATCCTAGTTTGTGAAGGATTGATAGAAGGATAGAAAGATAGATAGATGTATACATTGTAAGATAGAGAGATAGTGGGACAGATAGATATGCAGGTATATAGACAGATTGGTAGATAGATAGACAGATACTATATATATAGTAAGAAAGACAGTAATATAGGTTGTCATGTAGATAGATGGTAAGATCGATAGATGGATAGTAATGTAGAAAGATAGATGGATAGAAACACATCCATCCATACAAAAACAGAGATAAATAAGGCACTATATACATTTAATCAGTTACGTATTTACTTAGATACAAAATGAATGTGGGACGACGGATACAAATTTGCCCACGGCTACAATCCAGAGAGTTATGCTCATCAACATGCACTGTCCCAACACAATAAACAGATTTGTAGTTATACATTAAGTTACATTAATAGATATAACATTGGCCATACTATTTAAAAGTTTGAAATAAGCCAAACATACTGTAGACTATCTGAAATAGTTTTCTAAATCAGTTTTTTTTATTCATCCAGTGTGCCTTGAGATGTTGTTTGGTCTCCTTTTGGAAATGATCTAGTATCACCTCATTAGTCAAAATGTGAAAATCAAATGAAGTGAGAAGATTAGAAAGACGTTATTGCACTTGTTTGATTTTCTATATCATTCACTTGGATGAGAAGGACTTTGTGTTCTTACTAAAGGCTGCAGAGTTTCTTGTCTCTATCAGTTTGAGTTAGTGGTGTGCCTTATGACTGTTTTCACATTTTATTTTCCGCAAGAGGATGAAAAGTTTTAAATCTGACCTTAACATGATGTTCTTCTCTAATTGGACTGGTTTTTATTTATTTTTAATGTGTTCATTCTTGTAAAAAGAGCCCTGTGAGGGACCATCTGGGGACCTTTGGAAGAGAGCTGATTGGCTGATTGACGGTCTCCTTTTCATATTTACGTCTTTACTCTTTAATGGACACCATTAGACCACCAGTCACTGTATCTATTTCATTGGCGCTTCTCACTTGGTTTTGATCACTTTTATCATCAACCTACGTACATCTCAACCAGTTGGTAAAGGCCTACAATTAAACATTTAGGGGTTAAAAAACAACAAATTGTTTATGGTATTGTTCATATATCTCAGAAAAGAAATAAAAAGTACATTGCATTCTTCAAGGAGAGAACCTTAAAACTGCTTTAAAATGTTCTATAGTGAAGTGACAGAGCTAATGATATATTGTTTTGAGAGCTTTCCTTATTTATATGAATTTTCCTATCCTTTACTATAGAGATCGATATGCAGGCATTTAGATAAGGCATTTGATGAATGTGAATGTTGTTGTTAAACCTGGGGATACTATATCTCTCAATGGCATTCTCTAGTGTTTCCTGCACCACATAAGTATGCTTGAACCAGAGCTGCTTACTTGTAACGATTCACACAAGTGACCCAATATGTCTATGTCAAGGGATTGAATAAAACAGGGAGCATCATCCACCATTTTAAAGAGTGAATTGCCTATGGCCGGAACTCACCAAGCTTCAAGTTGTTTTGTTTTTTTTAAGTTTGCAAATGTGTCTCAACACATTTGCAAACTTTAATGCAAACTTTCATTCATTTACTTTTGAACGCGCTGGAAAAGGGCTGCAAGTCCTAAGTAGCTCTGAAACAGTTGTTGTTTTGTCCTTTTGAATTTGTATTGCTTTTTTCCACCTGAGATCTTGCTGCAGTACAGTGTTCATGCTTTTGCACTGATCCAGACCAGAGCAGAGAGGATTCATTGTACGAACTAAGCGGATGAGGTGAAAATCCACTGGAGGAATGCTTACTTTTTGAAAAATGCTAATGAAGCATTCAGCATTTTACTTTGGACTAGAGTAGAGAAAATGGTCCAAACCAAGTGGCTACTCCACCTCTTCTTCTGTGACCTGTCCTGCTCCACCCAGAGGCTACTCCATCTCTTCTTCTGTGACCCGTCCTGCTCCACCCAGAGGCTACTCCATATCTTCTTCTGTGACCTGTCCTGCTCCACCCAGAGGCTATCTATCTATCTTTCAATACTTCAAATTGGTTTAAAGCAGGGGTATCTAACCTTATTATGGCATCAGTCGGAAACATGTAATAAAATGAATCTAACTAGTTCCATCACAAATTGTCATTTTCAACCGCTGTCACTTCTTTGGATCAGATTTTTCAGACAGAAAAGTGAAAGTAAACCAATAGACTTTCAATCCAAAGTGTCTAATAGTAGCCTCCCCAAGATTTGTCACTTTGCTTTTTCCGACTGGGTTTTGGAGTTGTTCCTTTCCGATGCAGGAGGGTCTAAGGACAGTGATGATCCTGGACGTTTATGGACATGTATGGACATTTAGTAACATTTATGGACATTGAGCTATACAAAAATACATGAATTAAAGATAAAGACATTTCTATTAAGGAGAAGGCAGCATGCTCTTTGGTAACCCACCTTTAACTTAATCAATTCCATTCATTTGTAGTGGGTTCTGTATTTGATCTTGTGTGAGTGTTTTGCACCAGAACAGCGTAACAAAAGGTTCGGATCAAAGTAGACGCACATGAACACAAAATCCCACCCAGGAAGTGCCACTAATCGACCCCCAGCAGCTCAAAGTGTTACTGCACGTCTTTATTTTCACTCGTATTGATCCAGCTCCTGCTCTCTCATTCACAGAGACGTACATCTGTCTGTCGGGCCAGTTCAAGTGCACCAGAAAACAGAAATGTATCCCTCTTAACCTGCGCTGCAACGGCCAGGACGACTGCGGAGACGGAGAAGACGAGACGGACTGTCGTAAGTCATTGTCTCTGTGTTACAGCTCCGAGCTTTTAGGAGAGTATGAAAGATTCGATCACGCTGCTCACACTCTTTGCATCTAATATTACTGCATCCTGTCCGGAAATATACAGTATACACATAAAAATATAATACTGATGATGGCACGTGTGTGTGTGGGGGGATAGGGTTGTCAAAAGTATTGAGAATCAGGCATTTATTGCTTTGTGTCTCAGTAACTAGTATAAAAAATTTATGACTAGTGTAATATTGAGTTCCAGGATAAGGTTTGTATGTTTACCTATTATTGCTGGATTGCTACGGAGGGAATGTACTGCAAAAATCTGTGAAAACTGTAAAATAGATTGAAAGGAAAAAGAAAAAGAATAACCATTTCTATTGTTGGTTGTTGTTCGAGCAGCAACCCACCTCCTCCCCATCACTGCCTATTCAGCGGAGTATCATGTCATGTCTTCGGCTCATTGTTCATCTAGGCCCCGGGGGATTTGCCAGCTCTTAATTTCTATTAAACTCTCTGTTTAAACTGTATAGTATTTCTCCCGGGGTATCGCCTAATCAATGCGAGTGGTGGAGACTAGTCATGCAATATGGACAATAAATATATTTTGCAATCTTTGCAATCTTTCTATGCATCTATGCTATCTTTGTCTTGATCCTTTCCAGATTGAAAAATGTACTGACCCCCTTAGGTTTTCACTCTCAAACAGAGCAGTAATTACGAATACATTACAAGACATGGAATGTATAAATTATGTCTCAATTTAATTAAGAATAAGTAGAATGTTGTTTGATTGATTTGAATGATTTGAACAGAAAATACACTAAATTACAATATTTACATTAGGCAGTTTATGGAGATACTTGTACATTGTTATGTTGTAACTGTTCTTACAGTATACACATGCTCACACACATATTTATAATCCTAAATATACAAGCTATAGTTTCACCATGTATTCATATATTTACAATGTCAATATCTATTTACAAAGATATTTCTATTTACAATTCGTCAACTCTAAATAGAGCTGGAAAGTATGTTCACTTCACTTAAATTCAGATAAAAGTAATACATTTACTTATATAGGCTATACACACATCTAAAAGATAATTATATTGTTTAAACAAGGTAAATAACATTCTGATCTATCACTACATGAATTTGGCTTCCTGCACTATCCTCATCGGGATTTCTTCTGCTATCACTCATCTTAAACTGCGTAACCTGTATCTTTGAACCCATTACCATCAGCACAAACACCTCTTCCTCTTGCAGCAGCAGCAGCAGCAGCATCCCCTGCTCCAGCCGGTTCCTGCTGCGTGGGGATTAGATATTGAATCAGTGCGAGCAGATTTCACCGTTATGATGCAACTCATCAGAATATCACTCCCCATTCAAGCAGTGGAGACGGCTGCATTTGTCTTGCATGTGATTGCAGAAGAGCTCGGTGTTGAGAGAGGGAGCAGGAACACAGTGCTGGAGAAGAAAGACAAGCTTTTTAAAAAGAAATCTTTGAAAATGGTTTAATTAAAGAGCAGCTTAATTACTTCCGACTTTACAAGGCTGTGATTGGACAGACATTCTTCCGTATGATGCAGCCAGCACTGAAATTAAAACACGGCGGCTACAAAAATGGTTGTAACAATAAGCTTGTTCTAATGAAACAGTAATAGGATATGCAGATGTTGTAAATGCTCTGTAGGACAAAGGCTTTCTTCTGAATAGCTGTTGGCAATGTATCCGATATTGCCACATAGTCCCTCCAGCTCATCCTTAGGTTTTCTCCAGGGCCTGCTTTATGAGAGCTACATACAAAATGTGCATTATCTTTGTCCCTTAAGCACACTATTGAGAGCATTTACTTTGTATGTTCACGTTTTAAAATGTTCTGAAGTAGAACAAATATGGAGGATCGTATATAATGAATAAGGAAACTATCCCAGCATGTGTTATTGTTGTCAACTTCAAACACAGAATGCAGGAATTGAACAGATTTATTTCACAGAAGAAATATCCCAAACTAATTTAGAGGCTTTTTATAACATACGATAATACTTTAAAGCTACTGTTATTGCGTAACACAGACATGGGAAAAATGCGGCCCAGGGATCACATGTGGCCCGATTCACATTTCCAGACGGCCACCGGACCCTGCCCAACTCAATACTCATTTTGCCAATAATGAAAGCTTGTTCTTTTATACATTAATTCTGTTCTCATTAATTGATTTTGGTAAGTATTCTCTCTAGACAACAAGTCCACAAAGAAAAATGTTAATATTGAATTATTTTATTTTTTTTCTAAATTAAATTAAAACTTATCATCAGAGCAATATCCTAATGGGCCCCTCTGAAGAAAATAATAGCCCGGATAGTAGTCGGACATGACAAGTATAGTTAATACTACTACTTTTCCGAATTTGAATCGGAATTCTATCTATTCTACCTGTAAAACCATTTCTGCTTGATCAATCTTCTCCTCTGTTTCTTGCAGCTGAGAGTACCTGTTCTCCGGACCAGTTCCAGTGCAAAGCCTCCATGCACTGTATTTCAAAACTGTGGGTCTGCGACGAAGACCCAGACTGCGCCGATGGCTCCGACGAGGCCAACTGTGGTGAGTTCTGCCTCATGATTCCCCACGAATTAGCCTCAGTTAGACATCATTCTGTGTTTGACTTAAAACAGAGAACACCTGATGTACTCTGCATTCATTTTCCACTTGATTTGGCTCCGACTCGACTCCCTCCATCAGAATGTAGAAAGGTTTTGGTGGAAGAGAAGCGAGTGTTTTGAAGGACAGCTGAGCATTATTATCTCAGGTTTCTGGCATTTTAGGAAGACGAAAGTCCAATCTTCAAAAAAAGGCACTTGAGACTCCCCCGCCACACCGCCTTCCACATTCACTGACTCGTACAAACAAATTGAGTTTAGGTCAAACCCACTATTACTGGAGCAAATAAACAACCTTGGGGACTTTTTTTTCTCTCAGTTGAAGCTGGCAGAAAGAACTTTCATACAGGATGTATATCAGATTATTATGCTGGTGTGATGCCGAGATTTGATACTAGTCTGATTTGTAACACACAAAGTACATGTACACACATTTAATTACAGGCCTTGTATTGTTTTATTTCTATGTAAGTATAGCTAATTATACTTTTCCATGCTATAAATTAAGTGTAAAATTAACCATATTGTGAAAATCTGTTTGTCTTTTAATTAGAGAAAATGAACATGATGGAATATACGGCAATATACAGCATATGCCTTACTGAATTCTGTGCTCTCAATTTTACCAAATGCCATAGCACCTTATTGAACAAGCCTTTCAAAGCAGTAATACACTGGGGAGTGTAATTAGTAGCATATTCAAAAATCACTAAAACTAGACCAGATCTAATTTTGTTAAAGTGTCTTGTTACTTTCTTCCACGGGTTTCAAAGCACATTCTTGTCAGCAGTCACGGTGCATTGGTCAGTTCTTATATCAAAGAGTCAGATTCAGGCAGTTACCTCTCCATGTTCTCAGAGTGGATAGTCTGTCTGGCGCTTTGTCGGCCGTGGTCTGTTCCATTGTCTCTTTCTTTGGTTCTTCTTTTGTCTTTAGATCAGTCACAACATAACATGAAAAAGCTCAAATGTCTGAAATTCAAAGCGCTGGGTCTGAGCTGTCTTTTTTTCTCTTCTGAGAATGGCTGCTTTCATCACGCCTTCAATTTTTAATTTGCCGTCAAATGGCTCGAATAGTCTTTTTGTGGTTGTGCTCCTAACCTAGGTAGACAGATAAACACATATTGTAATTATCTATTAAAGTTGTGACACAAAGTGACACCTGCTCCAACCATCTTATCAAGAGCAAGCATTTTGTATAAAACATGTTGTTGAAGTAAGTCATCTTGAACCAAACACTACAGTATGTATGAATACTGTACTATATATTATAGTTGGGGTGGTTAGCAGTGAGGCCCAAAACAGGACCTGCAGGCCAGATTTGCCCCTAAATGAGCATCTCATTTATATGAATAATTTGGCATGGCATGTTATACATCAACCTAAGGCTACTTGTCTCAAGTATCATTTAATTCATGTTATGTTAGCTACCTACCTAGCTTCTATCTGTAGGAGCTAGTGCCATGTTCTTTGGTATTCTGTGTTGAGACGGCAGACTGACCTTGAGAGACAGTATCCTGCACGACGAACAGGGTGAACAGGAAATGTGTTTCTGTGATGGGGAAAACATTGTGTGCTTTAAGAATAGACTTAAAGTTTTTCTTTTCAATTTACTTACATTTCCCTTTTCTTTGGCTTCACTTGGTTTTTTACAATATACCCTTATATTCGACTTCCTTGCATGGCTTCCAGGAGCTGAATCTGTATGACTTACCTGTAATTGAAAAACATTTTTAAACAAATTTCCATCTCATTCCAACCCCCAATGCCCAGAAGGCCCTTTCTTCTCTTTTACCTGATCACGGACTGCCAGGTGTTGTGAGTGACTCTGGGAAGATAATAGCAGTAGTTGGCGATGCTGTTAGTGTGTGCCTTGCATATAAGAGCCTTTAAAGTAGCATTAAAAGACAGTACCTGCTTTGATGCCTGATGTTTCACGGCCTCCAAAATATCCCTTTGTACTTTGCTTCTGCTAATGGTGAACAGAGGGAGGCTGCTACGAGATCAGCCTCTTAAACTCTTTGCCACCAAAGTACGACCTAAGAAACTAATAGGCTTTCTTAAATGGACTTGTATACAGACTGGATATAAACCAGACATTGCCAACGCTCAAATAAGATGAGATTAAACAACGTCTTGGCTACAATTACTTACACTGTAAGTGTAAGTAATTCTCGGACCTTAGGCTAGCTTCTGCTTAACAGTTCACAGACGAGCCGTAAAGGATTTCGTTGGCGAGCGCAGTTGCTGGTGCTTTGGTTCACCGACGCTGGGTAAGTCCTTACAGTCTTACCGCTAAGCTATTATTATTTTATTACCGGAGCAGTGACCGCGTCAAGGCGAACTGCTCTTGTGTTTACGGGAACAGATCACATTAAGTTGCGGTCTGTCCTGTCACCTTGCGGTTAGCATTCACTTGTTAACCCAGGGCTCTCGCGTAAAGCGGAGTCCTTCTGTTCGGTTGGTTAGTATTAATTTACTGGCCAACAGATTGTAGTGCGCGGTTCTGTTAACGTGTTGTGGCAAACAGAATCTGCCTGGACTTGATTTTTCGACTTAAAACCCGAATTGTCTGGTTCATACAATCGTGCTCACTCCAGCTCTGCTCTCTGTCAGGCATGTCTACGGCTACCACCCCCGCCAAAGGGTCGGATCCGAAGCCGAAGGAGGCTGCATCCCGCTCATGCCCTGCGTCATGCGGGTCTGCCATCTCAGGCAGGGACCCTCACCCAATGTGCATAACCTGCATGGGTGCTAAACACGCTAAGGCAGCGCTCGCTGACCGCGAGTCCTGCGGGTACTGCTCATCTATGCCTGAGAAAATATTAGAGAGGAGGCTCAGAGTTGCGGTGGCTCATCCCCAGGACCCGTTGCTGGCGGGGACCACCGATAAACCCACAGCCGTCACTCAACAGCCCCGCAAGACTGAACTATGGTCAGATATGCTGAATGACGATGACGCTGATATGCCGCCATTATTCGAGGATCTGCTCGATGTGGACCCAGGCGACGAGGGCGCAGACGGCGATGATGCCGCTTCTGACTTCCTCGAGGCTGTGGATATGGATGATGTGGAGGAGGACTCTACATTCCCAGCGGCCCAGTCCCGACCCTCCAGCGCATCTGAGGCTGCGACTCCCGTCGATAGCAGCCTATATGATGTGTGCAAGCGCGCTGCCGCCAAGCTTAACATAACCTGGCCAGCCGCTGTAGATGCGGAGGATGGGGAAAGGGATTTATATGACGGTAAACGACTCCCGCCAGCGCATCCACCTCCGAAGCAACTTCTCCCTGCTGTCAGCGCGTGCATGAGAGAGGTGGGGAGGTTTTGGAATAACCCACTTAGGAGCAAGCTTCCTGTACAGGGCTATTCAAAGCTGGAGATCCATGGGATGAAGGAGGTGGGGTTGGCCGAACCCCCAGCGGTGGAGCCTTCAGTGGCTTTTCACCTCCATCCTAATCGCCGTTCCGTCTCAGCCTCAAGTCAGGTTTCCCTCCCCACAAAATCAGAGAGAGTTACATCCCCCATTCTGCAACGCATGTACAGATATGCTTCTCAATCTGCATGCGTACTGAATACTGTAACTTTACTGTCCGGTTATCAAGGGGAACTACTTGAGGAAATGGGACAACAGCTGGACTCCGGGTCTCCTAACCCGGTCCTCTGGGAGGAAATCTGCGTGGTAAATGATCTCATCCTACGCTCTACTCGTGGAGCTGTCCAGGGCTGCGACCATGTCATGGGACTGGCCGTAGCGGGTGAGAGGGGTCTATGGCTCAACCACTCAGGTCTGACAGACGCTCAGAAGGCTGAAGTTATGGACACTGCTTATGACCCTACCAAAGGTCTATTTGGTCCGGCCCTGGAGAAGATGAAGGAGACCAGTACCCTCCGTAAAGAGGAGGGTGCGGCCTTTAATCTCTGTCTGCCAAGGAAACAACCTCCTCGTCCAGCGCAGCCCCAGAGAGCGGGCCCCTCTGGACAGACAGGCCCAAGGGTTCCCAGGGCGGGCCCTGGGCCGCAGAGGGGGGCAACCCAGCACCCTGGCCAGCATTCCAACCAGCATTCTGGCCAGCAGCAACGGTCAGGCAACTCTAGACCATGGGGAAAACACTCCTATGCTGCGGCTGCAGCAAAAAACCGCTCTTCTCAGCCCGGGGAGAGCAAAAAGAAGCGCAGTTCCTAGCAACCAAGCTTCTTCACCTGTTCCCCCTCTGAAAAGGAGGAGAATGGACCCTGGTACCAGTTCAGAGGCCCTGCACAGTTCTCCAGGCGACCTCTCTGGCTTTCTCTCCCCACGCACGTTACAGGGAATGAGTCTTGGGTCTCATGTTCACAAAACACTTTTTCACAAAAAAAGAAATAAAGTTTTTAAACTCGCATCCAGGCCAAGGGCTAAGGGTGAGTTATCAATCAAACCAAAAAATTCAATTAAGTTTGGATCATTCCCTTCGTTCGCCTCCAGAGGGAGCTCACGCTCCTTCTCAGGCAGAAGGCTCTGCTCCTCTCAGGGGAGTGACGTCACCAGGGATTCCCCTGGTGCAAGCCCCACTCTCTGTCAGAGCGGAGCAGTGGCGCGCATGCGCAGTCAATCCTTGGGTTCAATCCACTGTTTCTCGAGGTTACAGACTGCAGTTTGCTATGAAACCACCCTCCTTCAACGGAGTACTTGTTTCAGTGGCTTCAGGGGACGCAGCCCGTGTCTTACAGGACGAAATTACATCCCTGTTAAGCAAGCACGCTATCCGCATTGTACCAGAGAGCGAGTCTCAGCTGGGCTTCTACTCCCGCTACTTTCTGGTTCCAAAGAAGGGCTCTCTGTCACTGCGTCCCATTCTAGACCTCCGTGTTTTGAACACACATCTACGGAGATTCAGATTCAAAATGTTGACGCACAAAGCTCTGTGTCGTTCAATACGCAAAGGGGATTGGTTCACCACAATCAATCTTGCGGATGCATATTTCCACATCGAGGTGCATCCAGCGCACAGGAAATTTCTCCGCTTTGCTCACGGGGGAACAGCGTACGAGTACCAGGTCGTTCCCTTCGGTCTCACCCTAGCCCCACGGGTGTTCACCACTTGTGTGGAGGCAGCTCTGGCTCCTCTCCGGGCCAGGGGAATACGGATATTCTCTTATATAGACGATTATCTGATATGCGCCAGTTCACGGGGCGCCGCAGTGAGAGAGACTGCCACAGTGCTCAGTCACTTGACCAGCCTGGGTTTCAGAATAAACCATGCAAAGAGCCGGTTGGAACCCAGGCAGCAGACTCAATACCTGGGTTTATGCATAAACTCTGTTTCACATCGAGCCACACTGACAGACGAGAGACGGCTGTCTCTCACTCGCTGCTTGGCGTTTTTCAACCCGGGTGCGACAGTCACGTTCAGAACGTGCCTGCGCCTCGCTGGTCTCATGGCGTCAGTAATATCTGTCGTGCGCCTAGGGCTTTTAATGATGAGACCATTTCAACGTTGGATCACAGCGTTGCACTTGTGTCCCAAACGTCACCTTCACCGCAGAGTGAAGGTGGATTCCCAGTGTGTTATTGCACTACGTCCGTGGCGGGAGACTCATGTTCTTTCAGCCGGAGTCCCGCTGGGCGCCGTCTCGTCAAGGGTTACCCTGACAACCGACGCTTCCCTGTCAGGGTGGGGGGCCACTCTGTCGGGTCGGACGGTGAATGGGACCTGGGACCCACATTTAGCCCAGAGGCACATCAATGTGCTGGAACTTTGGGCGGTGTATCTAGCCCTGAAGCATTTTCTGCCTTTCCTTCAGGACCGTCACGTTCTGGTGAGAACAGACAATGCAACAGTTGTCTCGTACATAAATCGCCAGGGTGGTACCCGCTCTCTTCAGCTGCACAGGCTGGCACAGAGGGTGATTTTGTGGAGCGACACAAGGTTCCTATCTCTCCGAGCGACTTATGTTCCAGGCGTCCTCAACAAGGGGGCTGACCTGCTATCGAGGGGAAACCCCCTGTACGGAGAGTGGGTTCTCCACCCTCAGGTGGTGGAGCAGTTGTGGCGGAGATACGGTCGGGCTGCCGTAGATCTCTTCGCCTCGCGGGAAAACGCAAAGTGCCCACTGTTCTTCTCTCTGGGAGTTCTCCCCGTTGGTTGTCCAAGCCATGGATGGCGGAGATAGTGCAGCTTTTATGGGACAACCCATGGCCTCTTCCTCTGCGGAGGGACCTGTTGTGTCAGGCGGGCGGGGAGATTTTTCATCCTCACCCAGACCGGGTGGCTCTCTGGGCCTGGCCCGTGAAAGGTGGAACTTGAACGCCACGGGTCTTCCGGCGCCTGTTATAGATACTATACAGTGTGCTAGGGCCTCCTCCACTCGCTCTTTGTATAGCTGCAAGTGGCGGGTTTTTGAGGAATGGTGTGGGGCTAGACAGATCATCCCGTTCCAATGCTCCGTGTCTGACGTCTTATGTTTTTTGCAACATTTATTAGAAGAGCGTAAAGCTTTTTCTACTATAAAGGTCTATTTGGCTGCCATATCGGCGTGCCACGTGGGTATCGGTGACAAAACTGTGGGACAGCACCCTCTAGTTTGTCGCTTCATGAGGGGTGCACGACGTAAACTTCCAGTGGTTAAGTCCCTGGTTCCCTTGTGGGATTTGTCGGTCGTGCTTGATGCCCTCTGTCATCACCCTTTTGAGCCCTTAGGGGCTGTGGCCTTGAAGTATGTTGCGTATAAGAGAGTTCTTGCTCTGACGTCTGCAAAGCGCGTGAGCGAACTACAGGCTTTTTCTGTCAGCCCCTCGTTTGCGCCAGGGTTATCTAAGGTGCGCTTGCGCGCTAACCCGGCTTTTGTACCAAAGGTGGATTCTGCATATAGCTGCCCTACACTGGAGCTTAATGCCTTCCATCCTCCGCCTTTCTCCTCTGAGGAGGAGCGGCTACTGCACTCTTTGTGCCCAGTGCGCGCGCTGCGGGTATATGTTGACAGGACAGCTGGTTTAAGGAAAGCCGACCAGTTGTTTGTGTCCTGGGCTTCTTCCCATTTGGGAAACCCGGTGTCCAGTCAGAGGATCTCTCACTGGATTGTAGAGGCAATTTCTCTGGCCTATACCTGCAGGGGTATAGTTCCACCGCAGGGGTTGAGGGCACACTCCACCAGGGGTGTTGCCACTTCTTGGGCCCTGTTCCGAGGTGTGTCTGTCCAGGATATATGTGCGGCGGCCAGCTGGTCATCGCCGCATACCTTTGTTCGGTTTTATCGACTGGATGTCTCTGGCTCCTCTTTGGCTCAGGTAGTCTTGGAACCAAGTGCTTCGGGTACTGTTTGAGGTCACCGTCTGGCGCCTCGGTGCTCCTTTTGCTTCAGGAGCAGTTCTTGCAATACGGGAGTTGTCCATATCTCCCATAGTGAAACACCGAACAAAGTTAGAAAAAGAACTTAAGGTTACTTAACGTAACCCTTGTTCTTTGATAACAGAGTGAGGTGTTTCACCTTCATTACCCTCCTTGCAAAGCGGTCAGAAAGCGCTTTTGAATGATTCCAAAAGGAGGAGGTTGACTGTACCAGGGTAGGTGGGCGGTGCTAGGTACTGTCAACCTGTCTGTCAAAAGACAGACGTGGTGCCATTGGAGCTTCCATGGATGGTCACGCCCAAGGCGATTCCCATAGTGAAACACCTCACTCTGTTATCAAAGAACCGGGGTTAAGTTAAGTAACCTTAAGTTATAGCGCCAGCCAGTAGGGGCCACGACACACACAACCCCCAGTAGTATATCACTTCCTCAACAACATCCTCCTCAGGGCGACGCAAAGATGTGAAAGAACCAACATCATTCTGCATTTAACTAGCTGTGAAAATGGAAACTGAAACAAGAACTTTTCATGGTTTTCTTTGGACGAAGGAGTAGAATTCTCCTCCGTGTAGCGTCGTTTGTTCTCGGCTACTGCGCATGTCCAAATGTATGTGCGGGAAATGCTGAGGTACATTTTTCTTCACGCAGCCCCTGCTGAGCATCGTATCTGTTCTGTTCCACTCTGGAGGCTGTTTCTTAACGCTTACGTTTTCACCTGAAACACCGTCTTGATGTAAGCGAAAGGCTGAACCAATGCCAACTCTAAAGTTTTACTGTTGCAGCGTCCTTGTGTAAAAAGAACCTACTTTATTTATAAAAATGAAGTGTGAATCAAGTTTTTTTTCATTTATAATATGAATAGAGCATTAAGGCACAAGGACCAAACAGTTGACTTAAAGAAGACACGATAAAGCAAAAACCTTGTCCTTGCCATTTCTATTGACTGGATCCATTCATTGTGTTATATTTTCCACGGTGTAAGAATTCCAGGTTTAACTCATGGACAATGGCAGTTTGTTCCAACGTTTTTCAAAGCACCTCCCTGCTGATAGTCCCACTTTGAATTACCACCGAGTCTTTAGGAAGTATTTTCTTGTTAACGCTGTAATGAGGTCCGACTTAAGAGGGGAGTAGAAGGCCCATCTTTGCTGCGTCACATCTTTTATATGAGATAAGTGACTGAGCGGCTGCCTAATGAATCTTTTCTTCATGTTGTTGGCCACTCTACTCCGTCTTTCCTTCCCTGGACGGCTCGTCATGTTGTCACGTTGGAAAGACATCCAGGCAAATTGCACTAGCCTCCTCTCCCTACCTTGGCCATTATCCCTGATGATGTCTGCTGGTATTTTGAAAGTGTGCTTTTAGCCTGACGTTGAAAAGCCATCTGACAGAGAAGTGCTGGAGCATCACACAATCTCAGGCTCTTTCTGACTGCTGCAAATGGGAGTATGGTGAATGACAAATGTTTGACACCAGTGAAGAGCCGGTATCCTAAAGCATGGGTCTCCAAACTATCGCTCAGGAGTTTGAAATAAAAATGGCTACTCTGTGCGTTGATTATTAGGATTGATTGTTTTATGGGTATAACACTACACAACAATAATTTGGCTAAATTTACTAGAGAACATTTTGACGGTCTTAAAACAAGATTTACCAACGGAACACTTAAAAAAGTTGTCTGTGATGGAAATAAGACTAAAGTTAGTTGTTCCATTGTTTTAAGAAATGTTTTCAAATCAAGATAAAACTGACTTAATCCATTGTGCCACAGCATTATGTCGAGTATATGTTTAAAAATAAAAAATAAAAACTTGAATGGGGGCATGAATAAAATTCCTACTTAAAGACAAACTCAAAAAATTCCAAACGGGACTTAGGAACCATAGGCAATGGACCAGCAACCAATGGGTATTATCTTTCCATTTCCAGTTATTCTCTGACCTGTGTGGGCAAATTGACAAAGTCCTCCAACAAAACTACTGCTGTGATTTAGGGCTATATGAAAATAAATGGAATTGAATTGAATTTGGAGAATGACATAAATATATTACTTTAAATTGGTAAATACTAAAGCTTCTGCTCTCTTGATATCTCTGTCATGACATCGGACGGTATGGCAAAAAATTACATTAAACGTAACAAAGAGTAAATATTTACTTGCACAGAAGTTAGAAAAGCCTTTTTGTTATCCCTCATCAAAATCAAAACTTTTTCTATAACTTCTTGTTTTTTCGTCGTGTTTGTTGTTGAGGTTGATTGCTGGCACTGAGGCAGGTTCGTCTCTCCTCTCTCCCTCCTGAGCTTTCCCCCTGAATCCAGCATCAGACGTAGCTTGTGGGGAAACTCTGAGGAAGCAATGATTACACCAGGAAAATCTGAAGAGTGAATATTCATGCTGTTTGAAGCCATTCTCATCTGCGTCTCTGTTTGTGCTCCTCATGTTCGCAGATGAAAAGACGTGTGGACCTCATGAATTCCGCTGCGAGAATAACAACTGCATCCCGGACCACTGGAGGTGCGACAGCCAGAACGACTGCGGAGACAACTCGGATGAACGCAACTGCAGTGAGTTACGGATCCAGGGTTTTAAGCTTTTCACTCATAACAGGTCTGAGGTCTGTGGTTTTTAGCCTGAGCTGCAAGGGGAGAAGGAGAAAGCTTTGAACACGGCTCTAAAGATGAGATATCAGACTTCAGTGTTGGATTTGCATGTGCTAAATTACATTAAAGGTATATAGGATGATTTTCCCAAATTTTAGGAAAGAACCGCCCTCTCCACTTTTTGAACAAAACTCTTTGGTCTTATTTGTCGAGCACGTATCACCAGAATGATTGAGAATTGTGATGACTAAATTCACATGGGCTACCCTGACAAATGTGCCATAGAACTCAATGTAAACTAAAACAACTCGACCTCAGCAAACAGAGAACCTGACAGAGAACCTACAGCTTTCATAAAGGTGGTATTCTGTGGGGATTTTAGTGTACCTTGTCGTCCTGAACTTTTTTTCCGGTTTTCTATAATTCTTAACCGCTCTTGCTCCGCTCTGATCAGCAGTTCTGATTGGTCATCACGCGGCCGAGCCCCTCTGTGCACATGCATGAGAGCCACACAGGCATATTTGGCGTGAAGCATCATGGGAGCTCGTCCGCTGCACAGAACCGGGAGGACCAGACAATGCCCAAATATTGCCAAGTTCTGCAAATCTTTCACCCCCCTTGGCTGTCCCATGCGCCATTGATTTGAATAGAGCGCCATCTTGGATCACCGGCGCTTGGGTGAAACACATCAGGGTGGGGTAGCCAAACCATTAGGGGAACAGGACAGGTCAGCTCCGGTCCTGACCAAGCCGCGCATCAACATCTGGAGATGGGTTCCCGGGCGCTGTACTACGGTGACCACGGCTCCTGACGTAAGCCTTAGTGGCATCAAGATGGGTCAAATGCAACAAATTTCCCTACGGGGACAATAAAATGCACATTTACATTTATTTAGGAAACCACCGAGAACAGTAGTCAAGATAAAACACCATGACAGTTTAAGTTTGCCGCTGCTGCTGTGTGGCTATTTGCTGTTGGCTCATTGTTAAAGGCAACACTTGTAATTGGATCTTCAGAAAGTTGTGAGAGAGCTTATAAACTTATATAGATGTCTGAAAGGTGAGATAATAAAATATGCTTAGGCTGCTGCCAATGCTTTGAAATAATCTGGGGTTTTCACAGTATTGCCAAAGTGGAGCATGCCCCTAAACTCCCACTCCACACACTCACTGTCCAAGCTTCACTCATTCCACCTGACGTCACAGATCCTCTCCTTTTTACGTCCGATAACACTGTATTTGTCCGAACCCATTCTGTGTTTATGCTGAACATGCAACCCCTGAAGTGATTTATTCGCTGCTTATTCCACATGCCATTAATGTCACTTAAAATGCAAATAAAAGCCAGTCAACTGTTGGGTGCAATAGAATTATGCAGGTGGACCAAAAGACAGCGGCAGAGGCAGCAAATCTTATTTTGCCTTCTCTGCCCGCTGGGAGCCCGCATCTCCGAGCACAACTCATAACACAGGCTAGGAGACGCTAACGGCCCGGGATAACAAGGCACGGATCTGAGGCAGAGGTGGTAGAGGAGCCAAACATGGAAAAAAAAAATCCCTGAACAATATTATGTCAGCATGTATAAACGTTTGTGTTTGTTGGTCTGGTTTCATAGAAAAGCTACAGAAGAGGGAATTCCTGAAGATTGAAATTCCTATCAATATTTATCTGTAAAGCATATTTAAAACACAGCTTCAGTTTTTGAAATTACTGCACAGACACAGTGGGAAGATTTCAGTTTGATGCATACACAATATATATGATATTCACATATACATCAAGGCAAGCAGCGAACTTCAGCGCTCTTTATAGGCAAAGAGGGTTACATGTCTTGCCCAAGGACACAACAACAGCAGAAATCAGTGGAGTTAGTCCACTTAGTTAGTAGTTAGGTCTCGAAGTGGGCTCGAACCCACAATCGTCTAGCCTGACTCTCGCCAGACCCATGTAGTTCGCTGCACTTCACACATGAGTCTGGTACTGAGCCATAGCGGTTGGATTTCAGAAGGCAGGGCCTTGTAAAAAAAATCCTTGTATGTGTTTGGATAGACCACTTGTCCGTTATCTTGAATGAAGTCTGCTTTCAACCACTCACATCGTAGCACACGGTTCCCATAGGTTGCCAAATCCCAGCAAAATTTTCCAACCCAAAATCCGTGAGAATACCCACAAAAAAAAACACTCAGAATGATTTTTTGGCTAAAAACGTAATATAATCAACTTGGGCTATCATGATTCTGTTTATTGTCTTTCTGTTTATTTAATACCTACAAGTCTCTTGGAAAAAAATATGCGGGAACCACCAAACCTGGCAACCCTGCTGCATAGTGTGTAAACAGGAACACTGAACCAGTGCTTCAACCAAACTTTACAGGAACATTTGACTCTTAAAACACACATATATCAACATAGATCCATCAACATCTCGCCTCAAATTGCATTAAAAGTGACCTCCGTGTCTTAATTCGATCGTATTTACTCTTTTAAAAAGATTCGCAGACTTTATGTCCGCCATCTTGGATTCCTCTCGCTGCTGCATGAGAGAAGCTTGAGAAGGCAGTGCAAACCCCACGTAACACCGGCAATCCTGATTGGTCGATTAAAAAATAATCTGGGGAAGGCGTTCGCTATGGCGTCGATACCAGACCCATGTGGTTCAGCCAAACGCCTCTGGTGGAGCATGGCGGAACTACAAGGGTCTGGCAGAGCTTGTAGGATCGTCAGGCTTAAAGGCCAATGCTCTACCAACTGAGCTACTGTCGCCCAAAAAAAAGATTTAAAGAATTAAAATGAGATGATTTGACTCCGGCCCATACTAATAATAATGCATCGGTTTTATATAGCGCTTTTTTGGACACTCAAAGACGCTTCACATGTGTCATTATTCATTCACTCCATACACGGTGGTGATAAGCTACTACTGTAGCCACAGCTGCCCTGGGGCACACTGACAGAAGCGAGGCAACCAGTATGTGCCATCGGCCCCTCCGACCACCACCAACCATTCACACACACACCAGACTCATTCTAGGCAATGGGGGTGAAGTGTCTTGCCTAAGGACACAACGGCAGTTTGGCACTTTACAGCTGCAGCCGCCCCACTGTGGCTGGTGTTCCCAGAGGTTAAGTGTCTTGCCAAGGACACAACGACAGTAGTCAGTGGGAGTCGATGGTGAAAGTCTTGAGCGGGGCTTGAACCCACGACCTTCTGGCTCAAAGGCCAACGCTCTACCAACTGAGCTACTGCCGCCTCACTACACATAAATAAACGGTGCACTTAAAGGCAAGGCAAGGCAAGGTAAGTTTATATGTATAGCACCATTCATACACAAGGCAACTCAAAATGCTGAACAAAACAAGATAGAGACAGTCACACAAGGCATTAAAATCTGAAATGCAACCTCCCTATGTTTCAATACAATACAAGAATACAGCATTACAATAATGCACACAGAACATAATGATCTGGGAAAACATATGTATATTTAAAAACAGAGTTGATAAAAAAAGTATGAGAGGATTTTACTTTGACATTATTTAGTATGTTAACCAATGGCCCTGTGGTTCTGAAGGACAGACCTGTACTAAACTGTAGAGTCTTTTGGCTTTTGCCGGCTGTGCCCCCTGTGCCAAATCCATTGTGAGAGCAGAAATGCAGCCGTCTGCTCTGCCAGCCTCTCCTCTCCTGAAACAAAATGTGTCTAATTAACCCAAACAGGGGGCTGCCAAGGTATTAGTGTGTGAATCTAAACACACATTATTCTGGCGCGGTCACATTATCTGGGGGTGTTCATGTTTCTGTCTGTGGTTTCATCGTGGAGAAGTCATGAGATTGCACTTGTTTGAAACTGTTTTGTGTGTTTTTTATTCAGAGCCAGTCACGTGTAACCACAAGGACTTCGCCTGCGCCAACGGAGACTGCATCTCGTCCAGGTTTAGGTGTGATGGGGACTACGACTGTCTGGACAATTCAGATGAGGTTTGTCCGGTGATGGATGCTGCATTTATTAACCAGGCATTTATAAACCAGGCTTTTATAAACCAGGCATTTTATTAACCAGGCATTTATAAACTAGGCTTTTATTATCCAGGTATTTATAAACCAGGCATTTATAAACTAGGCTTTTATTAACCAGGCATTTTAGTAGGAATCAAAAAGCATGTAAATTGTGTGAAAGTAAAATAACTATGTAGTATTCAATTATATCATTAGGGGATTCTCTCTTCTAGGGGATTAGAAGAAAGCGATATTTATTTTGAGGACAAGGATACATTGTAACAGACAGAAAGTTAAATCTTGCGTTTGCGGTGACAGTGTTTCAGAACCATACAGTAAACACTGAGCATGGGTTATTTTTGGTCATGTGTAAGACGCAGACATGTCACAAAAAAGAAGCTCTCCATGGGTAAAATTTTGGAGAACCCTGACCTACATCCAGATCCAGACTATTATCTGGCTCGAGACTTTTTTTGAGGATTGGAACCGCACCTTTTGTTGCATGATTGTGGTCTACGAGTGCTTTTCTAGTTTTGTAATGTAATCTATTTATACAAAAAATACACTGTACAGATAATATATAATTATTATACATTGTCTGTGGTGGTGAATTATATATAAATGAACTCTCCGCTGCGTGCCCATCATCAGCACAGTTGGAGGAAATGAAATTGCTTTCCCACAAAAAATAATCCCATTAAAGGCATAATTTATGAACATGATCAAAAGCGCGGCACAAACTTCTATTGTTTGACATAATACAGTTAAAGTATATTAGTGCATGAAATGTTCTATTTTCAGTCGCTGTGGGACTCCTATAATCCCCTTTGCCATTTTAGTGAAACAAAAACTGTTTGTATTTAATCCAAATATGACTGGATGTCTTAATTTTTCATTTGCACTTATCATTTGTAATATATTTTCCCACTCTAATAGAATACATTGCTGCCTTCCTTGGAATTCTATGGCGTAAAGAGATTTCTTGGAGAATACCCATCAGTGGTAATGATGCAGTGTGATGCATAATTCAAGGGCAAAGGCTTGTTATTAGGATTCATTATTCCTGGTTAATTTATAGTGTGCTATTCAACATTTTATGTGTAATTTCTCACCATGACCATTATTAACCTAGTATTACAGCTCCCACACTGCGGCCTTTCTGGGTCAGAGCAGTCACTGCTATAGTTCATTACAAACGTGTTAATACTGATTATTGCCTCTCCAAACCACTGGCATTTTGTTTAAGGACATTTTCTCGATGTGTGCTTTATTTATTACTCACTATGTCACTACATTTTACAGTCTAGCTTTAAAAATAAAATCAATTTCCTTCATAGTTTGGCTCAGGTAACACAGAAATGTGCAAAATTCCACGGCTATTGTCAAATGCTCACACACAATAATTGTATCCATAGCAACTTAAAAGTTATATTTTTTGCAGTAGTTCAAAAGCCTATGTTTCCAATAGAATTCTGTTTAAACTCCTCAATATCCACAAGTTGAAGTTGTACAAGAAACCTTTACAACATGTTCAAGAGCATACCTCAGCCACCCATACACTGTATCCTTCATAACATTATCATCTGTTTCTTTTTGTTACATTTGCAGAAAGGATGTGAGGCGCATTGTGCTGAGGACCAGTTTCAATGCCTCAACAACCTGTGCATCTCACAGAAGTGGGTCTGCGATGGACAGGAAGACTGCAAAATGGGAGAAGACGAAAAGAACTGCCAGGGAACCGGTAAAAACAAATATATTTTAGGAGAGAATACGGAAGAAGGGGACGTGAGGTGGTGCTTAGTGCAATTATTGCTTTTTCAATGCCTTTCTCGTGACCATTTATAGACTTGTAGCAAAAAGCATGCGCAATTTTCACGATATAAAGCCTGACTCTTTTGTCCACTTGCTCCCGTCAGCCGCCATTATGTTCTTGACAATGGAACTACTTGCTTTAGATATTTTGATTTCTTCACTTATTTCATACTTTCATGCAAATTGCAGGTCCTGGAAAAAAGGCCCCCGGGTTCAAAATAAGTGTTCATTTTGCATAGAAGTACTTTTCTCCTGTAAGGTTGGATTGAGTTGAAGTTGAAATTTACGTATGGCCTTAGTTCACTCGTGGGTGTCTACAAATGTGCATTTCAATATACATTAATTACTTACTTAATAAGCAAATTACAAGAAAAAACATATGAATTGTGATAATTTCAAGTTGTATTAATGCCATAATGTCATACTGCCATAAGCATGTATTAAAGTCATATATTTTTGAACAATGAATCACATTTGATGTTTGAATGTATTAATTTAGCAAGTCCGTAATGTATGTTCTGTGTTTCAGCCCCATCATGCTCTGTAAACGAGTATGTGTGTGCGAGTGGGGGCTGTGTGTCGGCCAGCCTCAGATGTGACGGACACGACAACTGTCTGGACGGATCTGATGAGGTCAGTTCACCTCACGTTTTGCTTCATCTTTATTCAATTCAATTCAATGTATTTCTGTGTATCCCTAAATCACAACAGCAGTGATCTCAGAGGACTTAACAAAACCATTGAATTCACCAACACAAATCAGGGAATCAAACAGTTCAAACATAATGTTAGAACTGAAATGCAATGAGAATAAAATCACATAGGTCACATTGGTCCATAAGGGGCAAATGACCAATGTTGATAAATGCATCAACAAGGAAAACTCTAAAACCCCAATTTGAGAAAAGTGAGAAATCTCATTGAGGCCCACATTAGGGAGGGATCTGCTCCCACGGACGCACGGCTGTATCACCTCTATATTCATCTAACTTTTCATGATGAACAAAGGCACGGCAAATAATACTATAAAGACATTCATTCCAGAAACTAGATTAGTTGAAATTGCAACTTGTAATAATTGCTTGAATTGGGTGTTTTATGTCTTAAAACAAGATTTGCCAATGGGACAAAGCTATTTAGTCTTCCTTCAAGAACTCTTGGTTTATTTTCTTATTCCAAGGGAGACAATTTGTGTATCTTTTAAAAAAACAAGATCATTTTGCTTTGTCCCCAATGGAAAATCTTGTTTGCCATTGATACATTTCTGACTTGTTTGTATCACTTTTTGCGATGCAGACCGGGAGAACATGCAAACTCCAATCAGAAAGGCCTAGAAAGACTAGTGTTTGTCTTGATCCACCATTTTAAAGTGTCTTAACATTCCTTTTACAAGCACCAAGCACCAATCATGAGCCTCCCGGGCCTCTTGCAGTTTTGCTTTCACATGATTGCGGTGAACAGGGTACTTTGTTGATGTGAGCTTGTTGTTATTGTTGTTGTTGACAGATTGGCTGTGTGAAGGAGTGCAGAGAAGATGAGTTTCTGTGTCTGAACCGTGCTCACTGTATCCCGCGGCGATGGCGCTGTGATGATGTCTTCGACTGCATGGACCACAGCGATGAGGAGAACTGCAGCCAAGGTACAAGACACACACCGCCTCATGCCCTGTGTGTGTGTCTGCCAGATAAACACTGGTACTAACATTGTGTTCTGATTTGGCCTCTAACACTGTGCAAACTCTCAGGCTTTAGTATGTCTCTTTGCTTGTGTATGTGTGTGTGTGTGTATCTTAATTTGAGCACATTTTGACTGCCTTAAAGCAAGATTGGCCAATGGGACAAAGCAAAATTATCATCTTTTATTCCTGTCTGCTCTCAGAGACTCCACTAGAGTCTTCCGTAATGTAAATTAGCACCTGTGCTCTAACACTTACAGCAATGCATCTGGTTCATCCAATATCATTGTTATGTCCATATTAAATAGGTAGAATAGAAAACATCCCCCTTGGAAGGTTGATCATAAATAGGACCAAATATATTGGTAAATCTTGTTAACTCAAATTAACATACAAACAATTTTGTACCATTTTATCACTTTTTGTAGTGTATGAACTTAGTGCATCACAACATCAAAAGATGAAGCCACAAAAACATATCACACAGAAACATATCACTATAGAAAATACATCTGTGTGGAATATCAAAAACATTGCAGAGTACTGAAAGAACTGAAAGAAGTTGAGAAAGTCCATTTGAGCTAAGATGGTCTGTCATTATCGGTGCTTTAGTCAAATCTGTGTCTCAGACTGTTTCGATGAGCTGTGTGTAATTGCAGGAGCATTTTTCTGCCGCGCTGATGAGTTCATCTGTAACAACACTCTGTGTAAACTGCACACTTGGGTGTGCGACGGAAAAGACCACTGTGGAGACAATTCTGACGAGGACTCAGACATGTGTGGTGAGTTTTCACTCTCAGGCTTTTCTGTGAAAGCTGCTGATGCATATTTAAAAGGCTCTGGCAGTTTTCCATTGTCTTTTTGATGTGCTTTGAAAGACATATCTATTAATGTGTCTTGCCTCTTTGTCTGTAGCTAAACTTCCCTGCCCTCCCACTCGGCCGTTCCGCTGCAGGAACGATCAGGTCTGTCTGCGCTCGGATCAAGTCTGCAACAAAGTGGACGACTGCGGAGACGGATCTGACGAGGAGGAGTGTGGTGAGGAGCGTTTACATTCACAACCTCTGTGTGTGTGTGTGTGTGAGCCACATTGGCATCGAGTGTGTATGCAAGAGATTCTGTTTCTCTGTATTGACTTTATAGGAGATAGTTTCATTCATTCGTTAACATCCTCTTTACGAAAAAGAGTTGTCAATCAGAGCCGCCAACCCAATGATCATAGCATCAGCCCTCACTGATCCTCCTGCAGGTGGTAGGTCCATGGTCCTTCCTTCATATCAACAACTCCAGGCACAAACATAACCCTAACCCTTCTGTCTAAACGCTTGTTTCTCATGCGTTCATGTGATCTTAGAAAGTCGGAAGTTCCTACTTCCAACTAGAAGTAATGAAAAGGAATCCTGCTTAACTCTGAGATTTAGGTCCCCAAGTTTTTGTCAGAGACAGATTGTTGTTGGATTAGAAAATAGAGACACACTGAGAGGGATGGTCTTATTTCACAAAATAAACAAATAATTCAGATTTTTTGCTGATGATTTGCCATTTGCAGTTAAACCCAATTGGAATACATTTGCAAAGTCCCCTGTGTGCACCAGACAGGCAAATGAATAAAACAAGATAAAAAGATCAGGAATAAAAGTAAGGTAAAACAAATACAGGAAACTGTTGTTGCTGTGAAATCGAACAACAAAAAACAGTTTCAATACAAGTGCAGATCATTGTGGTGCTTCAAAGTGATAACAAATTGTGGAAAGAAGCTCAATAGTTTGACATCATTGTTTTACTATTTATCATTTTGAATGGCCCACAATAATGTATAACAATTGTTCTTCAATACTTGTGTTACCTTTAAAACAAGTACTGTTTTTCAATGACAAAATAAAATTGTGTTTTGCAAAACCTTGAATCAAAATATTGAATGTTGAAGTTAGTAATGTGGAACCTCACCTTCACAGGGCAGACATCTTCAATTATTTGATAACTGCTCTGCCCAGATGCCTTTGGCGTGCACAGGTCCAACTGTTTCTTTTTAATGTAAAAACTCTTATCTTTGAATAATAATGTTGAAACATTTTTTTCCAAAACAACAATGGGGGAATCTTTTTATACAGTGAATAATGTGTGTGACAAAAGCTCCTATGATTTATACAACAATTTACAAAAAGAGAGAGAAAAAATGATAACGTCCACCTGATCTCTGACTAATAATAAACAACTCAGTGACTTACATTTTATTATTCTGCAATGTAAAATAATAAATATATTATTATTTTGTACAGTCTTGCATGTATATTTATCCATCCATCCATCCATTTTCTTCACCTTTATCCATTTCTGGGTGGGGGGGTAGCAGTCAAAGTTGCACCTATTTCACCGATCACCAGCCCCTCACTGATCCTCCTGGTCTGGTATTGATGACAGCCTTGGTCTTTCAGCGGGGGCTTCAGACAAAGAGGGATTAAGTGTCTTGCCCAAGGACACAACAACAGCAGACATCAGTGGGAGTCGATGGAGAAGGTCTCGTGGTGGGATCGAACCCACAACCTTAAGGCTCAAAGGCATCATTGTTGTAAATTTGATCCTGCATTCACGGACAGATGCTTAAACTGAATATCCTTGCATTGTTCTGACATTGTAATGACAACATGAAATTGAATCTAATCTGATCTAATCTAATCTAATTACAAAAACTAGAACATGCATTGTTCAAGATCAACGCACTGCAGTAGCTACTTGTGTCTGCTACAACACTGTCAATACAGGTATAGTAATTGTGGTGTAAAATTACAAAAAAATATATTTGTAACATAAGAAATGGTACAAATACTGATAAGACACCAGGTTTGTTTGGAGGAGAGGTCATAAATTAGATAAAAACTTGCACCCTCATTGCCACCCTTCTTCCTCCTTTCACCCCTTCCTCAGACTGTGGCTTTGTTCTGTTCTCTGTAGAGTTTAGCATCCTCCTCAGAGGTTTGGCTGAGTGCTTCTCCACCACTTAGATTCACTTTTTTTCAATCGTCATGTATTTCATTACTTTAATAAATCACACAAAGACACTTCTTTGTCTTGGATCATCCTAAATTTGGCTAATGATCGGAATAATAATTGAAAAAACACTTTTTTTAAAATAGATATATTTGCTTAACTATATGGACGTTTGAATTTCTCACAAAAGCCTCCAAGCAGCGTCAATATAGACCAAAGGATATACTTTTTGACATATTGGTAAACTGTCTTACAATATTTACAACCATAATCATTGTCACCCTTGTATTTATTATGCCAGTATTTTGCCAAGTTGCAGCAGCAGCAGCAGTGAGACGGACAGACCATTCATCTTTTCCTCTCTCAGTCTTCTTATTGAAACATCCATCCATCTCTCCCTTACTCCATTACCCCCCTACATTGTCCCGCTCCTCCTTCAATCTTCCCCCTCAATCTCTGCTTAATCCCACTCTTCTCCAGCCATCTCCCCTGCACTTAATTTGCTCTCTATTATTGCTTCATTCAGTTCGACTCCAGCTGGGTGACTCCCCCCCCCCCCCCCCCCCCCCCCCCCCCCACACAAACACACACCCATTTTTGTCTTTATGTAATTCCATATCAAGATCAATAGCAATCCTATATACAGTACTTGGTTTGACTCAACAAATCGTTTTTTAGCACACCACTACAAATGTTTCTGTTTTCAGTCAATATGATGGTCTATAACGTAAGATGTGAGCGTACTGTAGCGTTGCCTTCGTAAATTGCTTTGAACACCTGTGTGATTCCGTCTTGTGGCATTTGCAATAGGAACACTCTTACATCTGGGGGAAGAGGAGAAATAAAACAATAGGAGGATTTTTAGAGAAATAACAAACATTACACCCACTAAAACGCTTAGCAATATCTATATTATTGTTTCTAGATGTTGATAGCTCTTTTTGCTAATGAAACCTATAGATTTTTACTGGTTCAAAAACAAGTAGTTTCAAAAGCAAAGGCAAGTATTTTCTCACCACAAACCTTTGCTTGAGTGAAAGGTATTGTGTTGAAAATACTCAATATGTTGACGCATTTAGTTTTACTACATTTAAACAAAACAGTATTAAAATAATTTAAAATATTTTCACATAGTGCGACTCAGGACAATATAAAAATTATGTGACCGACCCTAAACCCAGCAGAAAGTCAGCCATATTGAATTAATCCTGATGATTATAAATTCAAATACTGAAGTTAAAACTGGGGACAAAGGACAACACCATGGGTAGCTGTGGACTTCAGAATGCACTCGTTAAATGAATTGGGCTAGTGCGGCTAATCCATGCACAAATGCGTTCACTTTTTCCTACCTCGCGGCCATTTTGAAAAAGCCCACAGAAGGTAAAAAGATTGGTACATTCGTTTCATGTCTGTTAATATTTAGAGGCTATGGTGATGATGGGCAACATGGGTCTCCGGCCTGGATTCAAGAAATAACTCGTCACCCTGAATAATTCACCTTTCTGTCATTCCACCTCTAAATTGATAGAGACCTATACATATTTTCATTAATGCAGGAAGGAGACCCCTGATGTATGTACATTATAAGGCGGTATCTTTTACATTGACTCATGTCAGACAATCAGTTAAGACGTGCCACATAGGCCTTACAATGTGATGGGACATAACAGATCAAAAGCACAGGAATATATTATTTATTATTTATCTATTATTTTATAGTGTGTACGTAGTATAACAGAAAATGCATATTCTGTTATTCATACTGCCCATGAACTTTCACAAAAAGTAAATTGTATATGTTTTTTACAGAAGTGGTTATTGGTCGACCTCGTCCTTGTGGTAAAACTGAATTCTCCTGCAGCAACCGTCGCTGCATCCCGCTCCAGCTGCAGTGTGACCTCTTCAACGACTGCGGAGACGGCGGTTCAGATGAGCAGGACTGCAAAGCCTGTGCGTACAACCTCCCATTGACTTAAGACTAGTACTTCAAAGCCCAGATATAAAAGCACACCATGTCACAGCAGCTACACCTGTCTTTGTAATCCTATTGTACGTCTGATGTGCTGTTTTTCTAATGCTTATTCATGGACGCCCGTATTTGAGGTGTGCTTGGTAGTGCATGGTAAAGAGCATGTTGCCCTCCTAGCTTGACACATCAAAAGCACAAGCACAGCGGGTGAGCGGTAAGATCGCGAGCTGCAAGTCCCTAATCAAAGTGCGTGTCTATATTTGTAGTTTCCAGTGGAGATGTTTGTGGGAAGAAAACAAATCCTTGTGGTGAGGATGCCACATGTAACCAGACCAATGCTAATGCGATCTGCCAGTGCAAACCGGGCTTCAAGAGGAACCAGGAGACAGGACAGTGTGAAGGTAATGGTTGGATGGTTGGTATTGGTTGGATTTGGTATTACAAGCGATTGCTAGATAGATGGATAGAGGGATGGATGAATACTCTGTTTATACCAAAGGGGGGAATTAAAGTAGCCATCTGTAGCCATTGTAAAAACTGACAGCAACAGAGATTAAATGTATTCAATAACGATGAAATGCTTTAAGACTTTAATGTACTGTGATTATTTATGATTTCAATGCCATCTTGTTTGCAATATAAATAAACTTGCCTTGTCTTGTTGATTGGCCAACAGCAGAGTAGAAAACCGAACAATTAGAACACATGAGAAATATGTAAAACATTAAAACATCTATGAGTTATTGTTCCATTGGGTTCCTCTGCCCATAGACCCTCCTGGATCAACAAGGAATAATGTAAATGCTGTGAAACACACGTGTTATTTCTTGTCATTTCCATCAAACAGTTTATGGTGCATCAAAATAAGAGTTTGCAGGTTGCTTATTACAAAAGAGATTGAAAACATAATTTACTCACTGTGCATTATATTAGAAAGTCTGAACCATTCACACAGTGCAGTATGAACGGTAATGATTTTCAATTTCCTCTTTGCAGAAACAAATGAATGCCTTCAGTTTGATGCGTGTCCACATTACTGCACTAACACAAAGGGAGCCTTCAAATGCACCTGCGACAGAAATTACAAAGACATCAATGGAAACTGTGTCGCTAAAGGTATGATATTGTGGCTTCTTGTGATTTTAATATTATGAACTTTTGTGTGGAGTTAAAGGACATTGTATAAAGCAAAATGGTCTTTTTTTTTTTTAAGTTTTGGACATTGTTATAGTTTTATTCCTTCAACAATAACTTATCTGGAATTGCTTTTGGCATCTGATTCCCGCATTTAAAAATCCTTGCAAATCCTGCTCACCCACAAGAGAACACATCACCCCTGTGCTCAAACATCTCAACTGGCCCCCTGTCCCATACCGCACACAATATAATGTCCTCCTCATCTCCGGCAAGTCCCTTCATAACCTGGCCCCCTCATATCCCCCCACCCAACCCTGTTACTGTTATTATCTCCCTATTGGTTAAAACTTACCAATCTATTTCTAAATCCCTTCTCCCCTCTGCCTAGAACATCTTCCTCATCATCAATGGCCACTCTGTCACTTCGTCCCCCCCTGTGTGCAACCTTGGCTTTGTACTGGACTCCACCCTTAAGCCTAGTGTATACTTGCGCGGCGTGGCTTACGTTAGCGGTTGCGGTGGACCTACGTAAGCACAATTGATGTTCTACTGGCGCGTTCCCCTTACGGAGTTTTGAGGAGAATGTTGTAATCCCACAACAAACCACATGAGGGCGATCACACAGGAGCGGTCCCATTTACGCTGCTACTTTGTCCTCTTCAGAACAACAATAGCAAACAAAGCTGTTTGAGCTCATTACACGTGTTTCTACTGTAGGTTTATGTGATAGTTTTATGGATTCATTTCAAGTCATTTCAACTGTGATGCTGTGAATAAAGACACAGTTCTTGTTGAAAACATAGTTATTATTAAATAGTTTTCAGCACAAACAGCAAAACAATAATAGTGGTAAATATCTGAGACAAACGACTGCACAGTTAATAAGTTATATATATGTTAGATATAAGTTATATATATGTTAGATATAAGTTATATATATTTTAGATAGTCCACTGTCTCCTGTATATCAGGCTCTGAGCCCAAACTGCTTTTCCTTCGAAGCACAAAGCTCTCTGCTCCATAGTGCCTCGTTCATGTCCCTGCTGCAGCTGCTTCATGCTTCCTTCCAATACAAACACACGGACCAATCACAGCGGAGCTTCCTTGCGGCGACCCTTACGTAGTTAGAAAATTTCGATGCTGCGCGGCAGGCGACGTAAGGGCCTTGCGGTGACCAACGCGTTGCGCAAGTGACGTCACGTCACCTCCGTAAGCTCCGCGCCGCGCGAGTATAAACTAGGCTTTACATTCAAACCACACATAAACTATATCACCAAAACAAACCTTTTTCCTCCTTTGCAACATCGCCCGTCTCTGTCCCTCCCTCACACAATCCACTGCAGAAATCCTCATCCACGCCTTCATCACCTCCAGACTCGATCACTGCAATAGCCTCCTCTACGGTCTCCCTTCCACTCATCTCCAAAAACTGCAATACATCCAGAACTCTGCCGCTCGCCTGCTCACCCACACCCACTCCAGAGGCCATATCACCCCATCACGTACAAGTCCCTTCAAAATCTGGCCCCCTCTTACCTCACTGACCTCCTCCATCATCATTGTCCCACCCGCCGCCTCAGATCCACAGACTCCACCCTCCTCGCTCCCATCAGAACAAAGTGCCAAACCGTGGGGGACCGAGCCTTTGCTGCAGCTGCCCCCACTCTCTGGAACTCACTCCCACCTCACATTAGGAACTCTGACTCGCTATAGAACTTCAAATCACTTCTCAAAAGCTACCTTTTCAAAGCTGCCTACACTTAGCTGTTACATTTTTTGCTTTTTATTTTCTGTTTCTTTTTTTTCTTCTGTAAAGCGTTTTTGAGTGTCCAAAAAAGCGTCATATAAGTATGATATATTATTATTATTATTATTATTATTATCATTATTATTATATACATATTTACAATACGGTTGCACTTGTTCCACACACATGCACGCACACAGAATTTTAGACTAAAAGTATGTTTTCTCTATCCAGTATACATGTTTGTCCAGATCAAGTACTAAATCTCTGACTTTATTCACTGAATTCCCCAGTCTGAAGTATTCCCTGCCGTTTACATAATTGTGACTTATTACCCATACTTACTTTCCACTCCCTGGTTTTTCAGGACCGGAGGAACGAGTGCTGTACATCTCCAATGACACTGAAATCAGGAGTTTTGTTTACCCCTTTAACCAAAGCCAAGGACACAAGCTGCTCACCCGCATTGAGGAGAACGCTCGCATCATCGGCATGGACGTTTTATTTCATCAACAAAAGTTTATCTGGGCAACGCAATTCAACCCCGGTGGAATTTTCTACAAAGAGTCTCAAGACAGGAGCCAGGCAAAGAGCAATGTCAGGAATATTGTAAGTATTGTTCCATCACAAAAAAGAAGTGCCTAGTTAATGATGTTGTGTTGTTATCCCGAGACATGTTGCAGTGAGGTAGCTACAGGCGAGGTCATTTCAAGGACTTTGATTTACTGTGGTATGAGACATGTCTCCCCATCCACCCAAATTACCAGTGCAACAATACAATGTACAACAGAGGAGGATTCTCAATGTTACGACCTTTATTCACTCTAATATTTTGTCCGTAATTGTATTTACTTGGAAATGTTTTGTGTTTCTGTGAAGTAAATGCTTCTGAACAAATCAGACCACAACATGTATTTATGTTATTAAGAAAGTGGGTAATTGGGCAAAATTGGATGGGATAGCACTCTAGCTTCTCTTCAAGAAAGGTCGGAACAGGGCCTTTCTGACTAGAGTTTGCATGTTAAAAACATGCAGGTCTGGCATGCGCCTCCTGCACTGGCGACCTCGCCCACATCTTTGTGGAGAGTGAGAGACTAATGCCTACAACAATTGTAAAGTGCTTTGTGACTCTGGTCTGTGAAAGGTGCTATATAGATCAAGATGTTTTGTTTTTATATAGCGTATAAGCTTTTCCTCTTGTGCGTACTTGTGAATCACTAGTTGACGTTCAATAGGCTCAGAGGTGGTTGGCAATTCTCTTTTTTACATTTTTCTGTCTGAAGAATTTGATATAAACATGTGACAAGAGGCCTAAATATATACAATATATGAAAAAATGTGTTGTCGTTAGATGGATTCTAAGTAAGTAAGTAAATAATTTGTATTATTTATATAGCGCCTTTCGTAGACTCAAAAAGGGCTTTACAATTGTTCTGGGCATGTGTCTCTCACTCCACACAGAGATGGGAAAGTGGTTGCCATACACCACCTATAGTACATGTTTTTTTAGTGATGAGGGAAACCGGAGCACCTGAATGAAACCCATGCAGTCACGGGGAGAACATGCAAACCCCATGCAAAAATTTTTTACATCCATTGTTGTGGTTTGAAAGTGAAAAATCCCCCATGTACAATGTTTTAGTTCAACAATAGCATTTCGTCAATGCATCTTTAAAGAAGAAAATATACTTTATTGACCTCCTAATGGAGAAATTCGGTATTAAGGATCAGTTTTATATCCAGGAATGAATTACTTACGTACAATTAATAGTATTTTGTTTGTGCCTTTTAATTCCTGACAGATCTCTTCTGGTTCAGTTTTTTTTTAGGTTTGACACCAATGTCTATGTACAATATTTGTCGATGTGGCAGTCGGCTCCTCCATAAATGTTCTGTAGAAAGTGATATTTATGCGTGAATGAGGTAGTCCAGGATAGCGGATAGCGAAGAAGACATGTTTATTGGTGGTACACAAACAACACAATAACATTTTAAGGCGTACACATGGGCAAAAGTGCCACTCCGGATTTATTAGGTCTGCACGGGGGATTGTCCGGCGCCTCTGACAATCAATCCTTGGAGTATTTTGTGGAATGTAGACCCTGCCAAGCTGACCCGATTGTCTATTAAGTAGTTTGCCGTCCAATATTGTGGTGTTAAAATTCTTATAAATTTACATTACCAGATACAAAACAAAAGGAATGAGGAGATGAAAATGAAATCTCTAATTTTAGCATGGAAAAGAAACAAGTATAACATATACCTTTAGCGTAATAAGGAAGCAAATCTAAAATCGTTAGCATGATGAAGAAGCAATAATTAAGTATAAAATCTCTGACTTTAGCATAGTAAGATGAAGATTAAGATCCTTTATTCGTCCCACAGTGGGGAAATTTCCTTGTTGCATCACCATTTACAGAACAGTAGGAATGAGGAGCACACAGCACAAGATAAATGAACAAAAACTCTATATTAAAATAAAAAATAAAATAAAATCTCTAACTTTAGCTTCAAAGTAACACATATACAAATCTCTATACATAAAGAAGTAAGTATAGCATGTCTAACTTTGACATTAAAAAGACGCAAGTATAATTTACTGTTTATTCTAATACAAGTAATAGTTGTGTTTACATCTGTACATGCTAACAGTACGTTATTGAAGTATTATTGTACAGATGAGTAAAGTTAAGTGACACAAAGTGGTGATACATGGTGCGTTTGTTGGCATAGCGACTACACCAGACAACTTACCTCTCTTTTCTTTATGCAGTGTTCAGACTTCCGCCGACCTCGAGACATCTCTGCAGACTGGGTCACGGGGAACATTTACTGGACCGATCACTCGAGGATGCACTGGTTCAGCTATTACACAGCCCACTGGACAAAGTTACGCTACTCCATAAATGTGGGCCAGCTAAAGGGCCCCAACTGCACACGCTTAATCACTGACATCGCCGGAGAGCCCTATGCTATCGTGGTTAACCCAGCCAGAGGGTAAGTTATGGTACTTCTCCTCTTGACATAATGCATCTGGTCCTGTACATGGCTTGCAGTATATAGTGATACAGTACTCCTCAGCTCCTCAGTGCAAAAAAAAAAGGATAAAATATGAGGTAATAATAGCTTGAATCAAGTGTTTTTATCCTAATTTGAGTACACTCTGACTGTCTTAAGACAAGATTTGCCAATGGGACAATGTCATTTAGTTTTATTTCAAGTATTGAAATGTTCTTATTCCAATGCAGACATTTCTTGCATCTTTTTAGGTTAATCATGCTTATCCCATGGGCAAATCTTGTTTTAAGGCAGTCAAAATGTGACTAGAAAAGAACGATACATAAAGTGCATCTATACAGTAGATTCAATGAGGATGTTTTACTCTCACAATGTAATAACAAACCAGTGTACCATGATATTGAAAGTGTCAGGATGGACAGTATTGATAGAGCTCCTTTATTTCAGTAGTTTTGGAAAGAAAAACAGAAATCTATTGATGCTTCTACAATGTGTCTTTGCCTGGAAGTGTCTATACAGTTGTGATGGACTTCAAGAAGAAATTTTTTGTCAAATTTATTTTATTTTAACTAATACAACTACTGTACGTTCCCTCATCAAAAAATACCTGGAGTTGTTTTGTACTGTCACAAATATGTAGTAATAAGCAACTGTCACCCAATGACATCAATCTCAGATCAGTATTTTGCCTTTTACATGGAATTTAGTGTCCCACATTCGTTCTGGCAATGTTTCAGATGAAATTAAAGTTCTATATAATATTCTACTGCTGTGTATGCATCCAGTAAATAACTTTTATCCTTGATATGCTTTTCTGCATAGTTTCTACTTAAGAAATGATTTCACCTTCTCAACCATGACAAAGTAAACATTTTCATTGCCATTACTTTTAATGTTAAAAAATAATAGATAATATTTATTCTTTTACAAATGGGAACAACTTCTTCCATCATACAACAACACAATGGTATTTGTGTAGTCTTGGTCAGTAAAAAGAGGACTGGCCAGAGTGCAAGGACTGGAGAGAGTGGGAGGACTGGAAAGAGTGTGTGGACTGGTCAGAGAGCGAGGACTGGTCAGAGAGCGAGGACTGGTCAGAGAGCGAGGACTGGTCAGAGAGCGAGGACTGGTCAGAGAGCGAGGACTGGTCAGAGAGCGAGGACTGGTCAGAGAGCGAAGACTGGTCAGAGAGCGAAGACTGGTCAGAGTGCGAGGACTGAGAGAGTGTGTGGACTGGCCAGAATCAGGGCATTTAGATTGAGGAGCGTAACCACCTCCAGGACAAAGGCATTCTCTCTGCTCCGTGAGTTTCTGCCTTAACAGTGTAGCTGACGTCTCGACAAGAGCCTGGTGAATTTTGTGAGCATACTGTGACAGGTCTTGGGGAAGTATTTATGTGCATATGAATAGTATAAACCAGTGTTTTTCAACCACTGTGCCGCGGCACACTAGTGTGCCGTATGATATTGTCTGGTGTGCCGTGAGAAATTCGTCTACTTTGTCTAAAAATAACTGCATTCGCTGTTGACGAGCGGTGACTTGTTTTGAACTGTGGAGTAACCATGTAATACTTTTTCAAATCAGTAGATGGCAGCAGATAGCTAAGTACTTTGAAACTGAAAAATTGGATGCGACCACTGGCTACAGGTCAGCATTGTGGCGAGAAAGGTAAAATTGGATGCGACCAACAAATGTGGGAGGGAGCGAGACAAGAGCTTTGTGGCGAGTGAGAAGTGAAAGTGATAGAGACGTTTTTGAAAATGAATTATGCCATTTCTGAACAGGATTAACATCCTCCGCTCTGCCCCGGGGCAGCTGTGGCCGCGTTGTAGTGGTTTAACTATGAAATGTACAATTTTTGTACAACAGCTCTCGCGAACGCACTTCTGAACTGGGTACCGAGCGCAGACCATAGTCGAGTGGACAGAACCATAGACATGCGGACCGGACAGAACCATGGACTCGCGTTCAGGACCTCCCGTGTCCCTCATCCAAAACTCCTGAATTTAAAGCTCGGATACCTAAATTTTTCCCATGCACTAACAATGCATGTTCTTTGTGTGAGTTATTATTTGACTATTTGGGCAGAGAGTGGATTTTCTTATTTTTTTTCCACACAGTTAGTGCCACTTTATTCCCAAACTCTTGTTAATTGTATCGAGAAATATTAAATAAAGCTAAATGTCAAGGCCTGGACTTAAGCATTTTGATGAGAAAAACTGTATATTGTGAATATAGGCTACAGAGTATACTGTATACATTATAAGATAAGATACGATATACTTTATATATCACACAGAGTATGTACAGTATATATTTTTTTACATTAGTACTGTATACATTTTTACATTTTCTCCTGGAGGTGTGCCGCAAGATTTTTTCAGTGAAAAAAGTGTGCCTTGGCTCAAAAAAGGTTGAAAAACACTGGTATAAACCACCTAATCCTCCACTCTCTGACATGCCTTGCTGGAATATGCCCTCTATTCTACCCAATGGCTCTAATGGTCCTCACAGTAATCACCATGGCAACAGAAGATCTAACAAAAGACCATTGCCATTTCTATATTTTTTTCCAAATTCAGCAGGGTGAGTTCCAATGTAAAAAATGTGTAGTTTTTTGTTATTAGGGCTTGACATTCTCAGTTTGACCTAAGGGAAAATACAATCCTTTATCATATAAACTGTTGTTGTACCGTTTTGCAGTGAAATTGCAATACGTAAAATAAGTTTTCTATCATTGTAAAGCGCTCTGGGTGACCTTGGTCTGTAAAAATGCGCTGTGTAAATAAACATTACTTATTTACTTACACACATACAAATATAACCAGATTGATACTAAATATGACAAAGGTTTTATGGAGGAAAAATAGGATGCATTGTAACTGCATTGTGCAGTATGGGTAAAAGAACTACTTTATGAACTGTAGTTGTACCATTTTGCAGTGAAAAATTTAAATGCGTAAAAGAACAAGTTGAGTTTTCTATCATATCCCAAGCTCAATTTCTTGTCAAGGTTGAAAGCTATAGTTTGTTTTTCTTCAGGATGATGTACTGGAGTGTAATTGGCGACCACTCTCACATCGAGGAGTCGGCCATGGACGGATCCCTGCGCAGAGTTCTGCTGGAGAAGAATCTACGGAGACCAACAGGTGTGTGACCTCTGCCCGCCCGGGGAACCTCCCTCATTCAGGTCTCCATGTTCTAAGGACAATATGGTATTTTAGGAGCTTGTATGAATACTGGCTATGTAAATACAAAGAGGAAAGTGTGTATTAGTGCGTATGAATGAACATGTATTGCAAGGAAAACTGACGGTGCTAAATGTGTCCTTTTTTTCACACTTTTGCACTTGGAGTGGTTGTATTTTTATTGTATTTCTAACATATTTTTGTAGTAGTCAGTTGTCGTCTTGGAGGACTTTGCGAAGGTGTATATTTGCCAACACATCATAGATCACGATCATAGAATCAAACAGTTTGAAATGCAATGGTAGGGAGCGAATGACCAATGTCCAAAAATGTCAGTACAAAAACATCATAACATAAACTTAATTTAACAGGATGAAAACAAACCAACAAACACCTTTCTGAGTGGAGTTTGTATGTTCTCCCCGTGTCTGTGTACGTTTCTCCTACCACTAAAAACATGTGCAATAGGTCTGAATGGAATGAGTGAGTGATTGTAAGGTGTTGGTTGGAGGCATTGATGTACCATTGTGTTCGCCGTGTGTGGAGAAAATGAAAAATATCTGAACTCTGAACATTGTAGAGCGCTTTGGGTGACCTTGGTCTGTAAAAATGCGCTGTCTAAATAAACATTACTTATTTACTTACTTACAATCCAACATAAGCAGATTGATACTAGTTATGACAATGGTTTTATGGAGGAAAAATAGTATCCATTGTAACTTATGGGCAAAAGAACTACTTCAAAGTAAACTCAAGGTGGGATAGAATTGCCTTGGACCACATAATCATTCAAATGTCCCATAAGAAAACATGCTTTTATACCATGTGACCTTAAGTGAGAAGAGCTAACCTTACTACAGTGCCATTATGTTGTGCCTGAGCCTGTAGGGAGATATTTGCTCCTGAACTACTTTAGTGGATCGGGTTTGGCCTGCTTTAGTTCAAGGGACAAATGTGGCGCTTCAGTCGCTCGCTGCAAGAAATATTCATCATCTGAGGAAAAACGCAAACTTATTTAAACGCCGCAGCCAGGTGCTCAATAACCAGGACTTTAGGGAGAAAGGAAAAATCCAGGCTTCAGATTATACTCGCACAGGGCAAAAGACAACATCTCTCGGTGCAAGAGTGCAGATGTGTGTTATTTTCAAATAAGAGGAACCTTGACTTTTGCTGGTGAATATATTTGAATGTAAATAGCCAGAAGGAAATGGAAGAAAGCAATACATCCTGTTAAAATGAAATGTAACCACTTTCGCTGCTGGGTTTTGTGCCAATCTTGGTGTAATTTGAAGTAAATCTCCATTCCACTGCAGGGCTGGCCATTGATTTCTTCAATCAGCGGCTGTACTGGGCCGATCCGGAGATGTCTCATATTGGGAGTGTGAGGTTTGATGGATCTGATCCTTTGGTCACAATCAGTGATAGACACGGTAAGGCCAAGAGGAGAATATAGAGATATTCTTTTTCTGCATGTTCTCTGAAGATTGTATTTGCTGCTGTTTGACCATTCTTTTTCCATTCTTATTCTCGTTCTTTGGGGGCTTCCACGAACACCTCTGTTTTAAATTTTCTGTGAAAGCCTGGTTCCATACAGCTTAAACATTGCATAATTAATTCAATATTCAAGAATGTATTTGCCCTCTGCAGTAAAACCACATTGGAAAAACTTTGCAAGACTATGGCGTCATGCCATAGTTGTGGTTCAGTGTGCAATAAAATAATAAATGCAATTTAAATACATTTGCAACCAGATTCATTACTTAGACTTAAGAGATTCTGATGAGGTAGACTTGTATCTGCAGCTTAGTCTTAAAACAGGCATGTTATGTAGAGCAGATGCACAAATGAAATATTCATAAATCCATCAATCATTGTAATTATGCCACTGAGGGACTAAAAAAGGTACAGTACCTGTATTATTGAAATAATACAGGTACTGTACTGTGAATTAACTATATGAATACATAACATTTATTATTGAAATAATAAATGTACTGTATTCTTCATATAGTCAATGCACTGCACTCACTCTTGTGTAACTAAAAAATGCATATGTATTAGGCCAAATGCTACTTTGTCTTCTTAAATTGAAAGGTTTTACTTCATTATATTAAGTTCTGCAAAGTATCTTATAAGTCAGTAGCCAATCCTAAACAAAAGCATTACTTCAAGATTCTCTTTAGTCATCTATAAGAGAAGTAACATGTGTATATTTTTTTCTACAGGCATTTCACAGCCATACAGAATAGACCTGTTTGAAGACTACATCTATGGGACTCGGCTCACACATGAAGTTTTCAAAATCCACAAATTTGGCAAACAGTCAGTGGAGTTTCTAAGTTTGGGTGTGGACAAACCCACTAATGTGTTGATCTCCCATCGATTCAAGCAGCAAGACGGTAGGTCCTCCAGGCACTCACCACTGTTACTGGACCACAGAGGCAACACAAAATCAACACAAATATTTTCCCATTGCACCTGGTATTTGGAAAATAACTCTAAGTCTTTTTCCAATCACACACACACATGGAGGCTGATTCCCATGCTGTTTGCATGTTCCTGCTCGTGCCTGGGTGGGTTTTCTCCAAGTTATCCCCACCCAACAAAACAATGGGTAAAATTATGCAGCAAAGGTCCTGACCAAGCCCAGTGTCTGGGGATGGGTCTCACGAGGTATCCCCTTCACCATGACTAAGACTACTAGCCTTGAAGTACAAGCGCTAACCTAAAATCAGCACTAGATTTATCTTCATAAACTATGTACAGTGCCTCGTAAAGCTACGGTACAGTATGTTAAAGGTACTGTATATGGGAAGATACTCTTTTCATCTAAACTATTGGTTTCATTGTCAATCATTCTGGTGATATGCGAGACATTTGAATTGACGTTCCCTCTGAGAAGGGTGTTTTTTTCCAGAATTCTGGAAAATCCTCATATACCTTTAACCCAACCAATCGTTGAACAAAAGTATGGTGTTCTCTTTGTCACGTGGATGATATTATGTGGAGGGAAATTACTCTTTTTATGTTGTTTTACTATATTAAAATAACTACAGTAACTTCTAATGCAACAACACATCATCAGTTGAGTAAAACTCTCCTGTTTCAACGATCTATTGAACTAGACGTATTTGTCTTCAACACATCTGACGTTATACTTTAAATTAGGAGTGGGGATTTTTTGTTCCAGAGCTTACTTTGCTGAAATAGTAAAGGAAAAATAACTGCTTTTAAACACTTCTTTGTATAGACACAACTTATTTTTTTGGTTTTTCTCTGGAACAGACATTATTTTTACAATGGGTTTTTTTGTTTTTTAAAAATGTGTTGTTCAGTCTGCACACAAACTTTACCACTTCACCAAACCTTTTATCCCTTGAAGTTTGTTCCTCCAAAAACCATCTTGTTTCCACACCCTCCTTAGTCTCACTCTGAAACTAAAGCGCTGTATAGATTACTGTACATCTTGTAAACACGTAATGGCCCATAGCCGTCAGCGCCCGGTCCATTTGAAGCGACTCTCCAAACATTACAGCGTGCTCACAGCAAAAAAAAAAAAAGCCTGTACATCTTTCCCTTACGCTGGACGAGGGCCGATCGATGCCGCTGCCTTCCTCCCACATGCAGTAAACCAACTTTAGTTATTTGTTACATGGCTGCTTTTAATGGCGCTCAGAGCTTCAGACTGGCTCGCTCTTGGTCCGTTTTTTTTTTACTTAAAGGGCAGCTGTTTCTGTTCCTCCGAGACTCATTAGGGCCCGGCCATGTTGTGTGTGTGTGTGTGTGTGTGTGTGTGTGTTTTTTTTTAGTTTGTGGGCAGAGCGATGTGCACGGCTTGCAAAACGCCCTGACACAGGGTTTTGATGTCTTCAGCACTACCATCCAATTCATTTACATGTGAAGTTATTGTGCAGACCAAGATTACATGTATCTTACTCTATATATTTATTTTAAATAAGCAGTTTTTCTATAGATTTAGCAGCAGCAGCAGCAGCCGTAACAGTAGTAGTTGTGGGTAAATCAATGATCACGCAAATATAGCATGAGCTGGAGGAATCTTTGATCTGATATTCAATATATTATTTTATGAAAACATGACATTGCTACAATATTGTTCTTATTATACATTTGACAAATTATTTTCAGAGTAAAAATCTGTGTGTATATGAAGTTTAGGCAGGTAGTGGTAGTCGTCATGTATCGCCAACTTAGTAGTAGTAGTAGTAGTAGTAGTAGTAGTGATCATGAAATGTTTACAGTTAATGTATAATAATACTGTGATATTATCTACATTTCTTTTTTCTATAAACTCTGTCTTGACAATGATTATCATAACATGAAAACTATGATTTCCAATGATTTCCAATCAAGACAAAGCCCAGTTTTACACCATTCATCCAATTTCAAGACACTTCTGCTTTATAATTCCATGCTCTGGGCCATGAGCAATTTCCACACTTCAAACGCCTAAACGAAACCACTTGATGTTATAAATAAATAATCCTGGGAACACCTTTTGAAGACAAATGTGTTGTTTACTCGTTTGGGGCCAGGATGACGGATTGTTCACTATGATCTTTGTTTTACAGCATCTAACCCGTGTCTGAGGATGTCCTGTGATTTCATGTGTTTGCTGAACCCGACCGGAGCCAGATGCACCTGCCCCGAGGGGAAGGTACTGGTCAACGGCACCTGCGCAGACAACAGCCTATCAGGTAACAGGGCCAGGACCTTTACCAACCACATCAAGAGCAAGGGAGGCTGCATTTGGATTGTCAAAGAAAGTGTTTTGAGTGTCAGCTGTTCTTTTTAACCTCAAGAGAAAGATAGCATATTTTTCATCATTCAAAATCAGCATAAGAGTTTACTCAGTACTTGATTTGATTTTCCTAATGTTGTGACTGATTTTCCCCGTTGAGATTGTTAAACAAGAGGTAAGTCATATTTATTGTATATGCCCATATTGAAGTATTATTGCCCTTGTGGACACTCAAAAGATGTTCATTCAGATTTAGATTTATTTTTATTTGCCATTTGCAGTAAAACCACCTTGGAATACATGTGCAAAAGTACCCCAGTGTACACCAGACAAGTACTTAAAGGAAACAAGCTAAGAAAAAAGTACAGGAATATAACAAGCTTAAAAGTAAATGTTATTGTCTATTACTATTGCTTAGTATAGAAAAACCAAATACTTTTATTTCTACTAAGAAGACAAGAACTAGTACAAGAATAAAACAAGCTAAAAAATAAAGTTCAGGAAATGATAGTCGCTTTAAAACCAATCAACAAATACAGCTTCAATAAGAAGTGCAAGATCCTTAGAGTGATCAAATGTTGGGAGTCCGACGCTGGAGCTGGCGGTGCCCAGAGTGCGACACTTCACTCCGACCATTTAGCCACTCCTGATAAAGACCTATATACTGTAAAGGCACAGAAATCCCTTCATCCTATTGTGCATTCGCCACAGAATCCAGTCTTGTATTAGTGGCCTGTACACGGTCCAGTGAAGTAAACGGTTTGGTCTTTGGGTGTGAAGGTGAACTGTGTCGTCCCCCGTGTGAGAACGGAGGCCGCTGTCTGACCAATGAGAAGGGAGACTGGAGGTGCTACTGCTGGCCAGACTTTTCCGGAGAGCGCTGTGAGGTCAACCACTGCTCGGACTACTGCCTGAACGGGGGCACGTGCACGGGCTCGCCACTGGGTATGTGCACTTACCATGATTTTTTTCTTTACATATTAAGAGATGGTACTTTGGTTTTCTGTGGAAGGCAAATGTCATACACTGAGTATTCAAGAACAATATATGCATGAAATATATTTGCACCAGAATATTGACATGATGAAAACACTGTATTAGCATGAGGTAGCTACAAAGAAAGTTAACCTTTGAAATATAGATTCTGGGGATACTAAAATAGGCTTGTTCTTAAGACAATTCATCTGTGAAATGTCAGTCAAAAGCAAAGTTCACATACACATGAACAAAAAACAAACTTTTGGATGGATGGATGGATAGCTGTATTACAGACTCGTTGTCCAGAACAAAAAATAGACAAGACACAACACACTAGAAACAGACGACATAAAACAATAAAAGTCCCCAAATCTCTTTAGAGGAGGCAGTCGTCCTAGTGTTTCCACAGTGCAGAAGTACTGTATAACCAACATCACGGTTCGCTCTGCTCGTCATCAATAAAATCCTCATATTCGCACTAGTGTTCAGGCGACACACAAACTTGTCCATTAGGTTCCATAAGGTGCCTGCAGTGTGTTCACTTGAAAGGACGCGAAGAGCTCAGAGGCGCTGCTCCATCTTTGCCTTTTTAGTGACAGTCTGAAGGCATCGTTGTAGGCCACGTTCAGTTTCTGTAGGCTGGATTTTTAAATAGTTCACCCACAGATGAGTGGTGTAAAGCCGGGTGCAGTACGCCCGAAACAAAGCCACTTTTACTCGATTAGAGCAGGAGGATTCATATTTCCGCGACAGAACATTAGCCTGGGCGTGCAGCATATGGCACTGTCCAGAAATATCCTCGAGATATATCACATGGTTTTCATCCAAGTTTTCCACAAATCCTATTGTTTCATACAAATACTTATTTAAAACTTAAATTATCCTGACCAAGCAATTCCATGTACTTGGTCAGGTGGATCAATTCATGATTCTAATAGAAGGAAATTAGGATTTATTTCAACTTTATTCATAATGTGGCCACATCTGAGAGTCATTGGTTTACATACAAATGGTTTTAGCGTTCCACAAGATAGTGACATAAAATTGGAAGAAGTTTGACCCACTTCTGAGAGAACTTATTTGACCGAGTCTGGTTTGCTTACCTTCTTGCCTGGATTTTTTCAGCTCCGTCCACAACATTCAATCAGGCTGAGGTCGGGGTTGTAGAGGCCACTCTTACACCTCGACCTTGTTGTCCTTGAGGCATTTGGACGATTGCCTCAAGGACCGTACTTTCAGATTAATTGGTGCATGGTTCATTTTATCCCCTCCGATAAATATCAGGAATTGTGAAAGACAAGATAAACCTTTATTTGTCTCTCCGTGGGGAAATGTCATGTCATTTTCTACCCCTTTATTAATCCATTTCTGCATTGGGGGGGGTGGCAATCAGAGCTGCCACCCAAATATCATAGCACCAGTCCCTCGCTAATCCTTTTGCAGATGGTCAGTCCACAGGAAGATGGCTTATCCGTCATCGATTAGATGGCATTGGTCTTTCAGTGGGGTTTTGGGCAATGTGGGGTTTAGTGTCTTGCCCAGGGACACAATGACACCAGACATCAGTAGGAGCAGGTGACATGGGCCCTGGTGGGCTCGAACCCACAACCATTAGGTCCAAAGACCACCATTTCACCATGGTGAAATAAGACTTGTCTGCAGCAGAAAATCTGGGTTGAAGCTTGGAAAACAGTACGATACATTGATAACAAAATACAGCCGCAGATATTTGCTTTTCCTGTTTTTTGTAATAGTTTGATGATGTTCACATATAAAACTCCACGCCGCTGATCAAAATGTGTTTTCTTCTCTGTGTACTCTTTGCTCTTTCTTAACAACCAAAAAGCCTCCAAACATTATTACAAATATCTGCAAAGTGCCTCTACCATCAAAAAGCACAGAGTAAACAACAATAGCCGAATGATTAAAAGTATCTGAATGTTTTTGCAGAGCCGCAACAACAGAATCTGATGGAAGACACAACACATTTTTGGTTTTCTGAAGTTGTTGGGAAAGATTCTATTTACAACATAAAGATACGTTTATTATTGTTCAACTGCGAAAATAAACCAACCAGGGGATGATTCATAAAAAGATCGTGGAGTATGGTACTAAAGAAGAATAAGAGCCTTTATTGTTATTATTGTGTGTCTTCAGATATTTTATATTTGTGTTGTTATGGAATCACAATCACTGCTGAAATGTAACGAGTAGTTTGTTTAATACCACAAAGCCAGAGAGCAATTTACCTCTTTGGGACTTGTCACTTGGTTTTAGCCACTTTTACCATCAAACTGCATCTCAACAATTTGGTAAAAGCCTATTATAAAAAAAGTAATAATTATTTTTGTAGTTTGATTTTTAATAGTACATTTTTCCCCCTCTATTTATCAATTCACTCTGAAATATAAAGGCTTCATTGTAAAAGAGATTGCAAATATTGGCTGCAGTATCTCAGTCTGTCTATTGTCCAGTGGGAACGTGGCATGTTTCAATGTCACCCTTATTTTATTATTTAGATTTGAATGATTTAATACTATATTTCGAGCCATGGCAAACAAGAACAAGGAACAAAACAACAACAAATAGAAAACGAAACAATACATGATAGAAATATACATTATGTTTTGTTTTATTAACAAAAATCCAGCTCAAAAAAGAGTGGGAAGAAGTTAAGACTATGAAACTCCCAACTCCCCATTTAATTATTCTAATATAACTTAAATGTATAGGGGGATAATCTACTTCCATGTGACCATTGGTTCTCCCAATTGTCAATAATGCTGGTGATACATGCTCGTCAATTAAGACCAGAGAGTTTTGTTCATAAAGTGGAAAGGGCGGTTCTCTCCTAAAATCTTGGAAATATCCTCCTCTATACCTTTAACTTATATATTATGTGGTTGCTACAATTTAACTTAATCAGAGACATGTTTACAGTTATGGATCAGTTTAGTTGTACCAGTTAAATAATGTGGTTTTGTCTCTATATTATCAGTAGAATAAAGTATGATTGACCTTACCGGACTTTCTCTCCATGGTCTCAGTTTAGCACAGAGAGTGCCATCACATAACCATTTGTTTTTGACTCGTATACTCCTCTGGCAATTCTCAAAAGTTTGCATTTCTTCGGGCCCTTTTCTCCCACTAAATATCCGCATCCACTTAACTCCAAAGCCTCCTGCCATCTGCCACTCCAGCGGTTTTGTCACGGCTGCGTGTGTCAAACAAGCCTCAAAATCTGCTTCTCACCTTTCCCAGAGTCAAGGTGCTCTTTCATGCTCTGCTCCTCCACGAGACAATCACATGAGCCGCTATAGGCCAAGCGTGAATATGTGCAGATGTGTCGGCGGCGGTGGAATTGAAAGAGGACGTACCGCTCTATTAAAATGGAGAGGTTTGATTTACGAGCCTGTACATCAACACAATCACGAGCAACGTCTCTATCCCACTGGCTGCAAAAGGAGGACAATCATAGTTATAGCTGCATATGTTATGAATATCAATGTACCGTGAAAATGCACTTTGTGTCAATTATGTTTAATGTACAGCCGTTTGTTTGTCCTGTGGAATCACGACGAGTTGATTGTGGATTGTCAGATAAGTCCAAAAGCTGTAAACAAACACAATGTTAAATTGGGAAGCGTTGAGTTTAGCCTGGATCGTAAATTCTGTATTTCCAAAAGAACACACACACAGATATTTGTTAAATTATCAAGATAACCTTTAGTTCAGTGGTGAAATTTCATTGTTGCATCACCAGTTACAGAACAGTTGGAATAAGGAGCGCCAATAAAAAAATCTCCAACTTTAGCATAATAAAGTAGTAAGTATGACATCTCTAGCATTAGCATAATAAAGAAGCACGTCTAAAATCTCCAACTTTAGCATGATAAATAAGTCAGTTTAAATAACTTCATCATTCTTTTTATTAATCTATTTCTGGGTCAGAAAAAATATAAAACATGATATTAACAATGAAAATGAGAAAATGTTTATAAAAAACATAGAATAAAAAAAACATAAAAAACCAGACAGTCAGAATGCACTCTAAGACAAAAACCACTAGAATCAAGGAATTATTACCTCATATTTTTTGCAGTTCAGGTGTCTTGGGCGGTCAAACCCAAGACCATTGGGCCCTGAATACAAATACTCTTTTAATGACTTGCAGTTTCCACTCCTCTTTCACATTATGTAATCAGGACAGACTGAAATTTGGCATTTGTCTAATCCCCCAGACTGTCCTCGATCATTTCAAAAACACATGCCTCTCTGTAAATATACCTCTCTCATAACCGAGAAAAATAAGCGCTCGAGGAAACGGCAAGAAACCATTGGGAAACACTGTGTGCGTCATAAAAAAGTGTAATTCTCTCTGCAGCTAGAAATGAGAGCGCAGATGTAAAATCGGGACAAGGAGAGATTTAACCATGGGCCAGCAGCTCTGTCTTACTCATACCTGGCATTTTTATGTGAGCAGCAGCTTTAGTGCATCAGGCAATGTCCTCCAGGCAAAGAAACTGTCTGGGAATATGGAGTGAAGATTAGCAACAAAAATACTTTCAAATATGAGTGTCCTAGCAGCGGAAAGAAGGCAATTTTAAAACTTTACTAATGCTAGACAATATAACAGCAGTTTGGGGAGTTGTGCAGAATAACCACAAAGGGGCAGCTGCATGACTCATTTATGAGATATCTTCATATTGTTGATTAAGCCTGCCACAAACATGTTGCAAGAAACAATGATATTTAGACTAATTTAGGGCATTGATAGCCTGGTCTTACCATACCATTGTATCCATTTAATTTGGTACTAATTTTAACACCGACCTACAACACCCGCCTCCCCCGCTCACTGATTGGTCGAAGGGGATTCAACCGAGGAAACTGCAGCCGCTAGGATCAGACCCAGACGTACATGTGAAGGAGGCAGAATGAAAAATAAACTCGAAGATTTGTATTGGCTCCCAATTCAGGCATGGATAAAACAATCCCTCTAGCCACATTCTTCAACATGTTTTTTCAGTGACAGTACATTTGAAAGGATTTGCTCACAAAGGGTTCAAACTTTCTTTTATGGTTCTAAAATAATTGTCTCTACAAAAAACTGCTTTTCAATTTATTTATTTTAATTTCTCTTACATTTAATTCAATTTCTGCTCAACTAACACTCCTAACTCATAATGATGGCTTCTGATTGTAAACAAAATCTATAATTTTAGTTCATTACATCAACGCATGGCGTTGACAAACGGTCTAATATAATTACATTTTGTCTCGGCCGTGAATTGTGTGAGGCGGGTTTTTGTGAAGATTTTTAGAAACAAGGCAAAGAAATTCTGTCGTAATCCAACAATTGTTAACTAAATGTATCTTTGGTATAAACAAATGGAAGGAGCTAACTGTTATAGCCTTAATAAAGTCACAAAATACTACTACAAAATACTTGAGTACATTCCTTTAGCATTCACAGAAGTATACACAGTGTCCTAGTAATAACATAACTTTACTTCCTACCGCTGTAAAACTTTCAAAGTACGAATCGCAAATGTAAGCCAGGCATATGTCGTCTAGGAAAAGAAAAAAAAAACTTGGAAATATGGATCAAAAAGATTAGCAGCAAAGAAATGACTCTCAAATGGGTTTGCGTGTCCCAGCGGCTGTGATTAAAGCAGGCAGAACAGAACCTCGTCATCAATTAGACTCTGGAGTTTTTCCAGTTTTATCTATAAAATTACAAGGTGTCATTGCAGAGCGCGCTGTTGTCCGAGTGACCGCTTTATCTGGGCCCTAATGGAACTGTTGGCAGCTGCAGTCCTGTACTTCAAACACATATTTTTCTCATTTTGCTCATTAGCAGATGAAATATGAAAAGTAAATACTCTCCAAAGAGAACGGGTGGTGTTTCTAAAGTTTGGTGGTGGAAACTAAAGATAAAACTAGGATCTAATCGTGTTTGTATTAAAGATATTTCTAGTGTTCAAGGTATTAGTAAATAAGTGATTCATTTTTATTTATATAGAGCTTTTCACAGACACACAAAGCTCTTTACTATTTCAATGGTTTTGTTAAGTCCTCTGAGATGACTTCTGTTGTGACCTAGGGCTATACAAGAATAAATTGTATTGTAAATTGTATTGTTACAAGTTTGAAGTCTCGATACGTTTCCATTCTCTCCTCACACAAAGGCTCATGGACGACCGTGATTATCAAAATCCATTCATCCATTCTTGTATTACTTTCATTGCTTGGCAAGTTTTCAGAGGTAGGAGAAACCAGAGCACCTGGAAGAAACCTATGTAGACACAGGGAGAACATGCAAACGCCACACAGAAATTCCTGTCTGGAGGTGGAATCCATATTGTGCAAATAATACACTCTGGTGATTCATTAACTTTTAAATACTATTGTAAGAAGAATGTAATACAATGTTGGAACTATCTGTTGCACTAGAACATTTGTCTTTATAAACAACAAATTTAAACATGTAGGTTTAAATTTAGCATGTATAACTCTTCCCCTGCAACTTTGTCTCAAACTGGTGGAATTAACCTTGGTCACAATCTACGGTTTTACACTTTTGTACATCGGCAGCTGGGTTGAAAATGTGTGAAAAAAATAGCCCAGAAATGATAAGTATCATTATGTTTATTATTATGACTATACATAAAGAAAGACCGATAATGCCACATATCCTTCCTCAGCACAAGGTTCATTGAAATGTTCCTCTTCCTGCTACAGTTTGTAGTAAAAATGGCATGGCGCTGGCACGGCTACTCCTCCTCCATCCATCATTTATTGAATAAAATATGTGCATCAAAACTTCTCCGGCCACGGCTTTATGGACTGTGTGGAAATAACCACAAAAATAATCTGACCTACATGAGAGACCTGTATCCATAGCAACGTAATAATCAGCATCATCATCATCATCCATGGAACCCTGTGACGATTGAAGGTGCCAGATCCTCGGTGTCCATTAGGCACCAAACCGTCATGCGCTCATGCTTCTGACGCAGGCCTCACATTTTAACCAGAGAACATTTTCTCCTCTGTCGCAGACATGAAGTACAATCTGTGATAATGGTCTGTTACTTTGATATTCAACACAGCCAAGAGGTCAGTGTGTTACTACTAAAGGCCTGTGTGTACTCGGCTGTCACTGTGTGTGTTAGCGTTTGCAGCCACAGTTGTTCTTACACTCGAGCATGTTGTAATCCCACACCACAACCACATGATGGCGCTCTCGCAGGACTTGCCTGGGACACCAAAGGGGTGCCATTATAAAGTCCCGCTAGCTGCTTTCTCCTCTTCAGAACAAAAACAATGGTGAACTAAGCTGGTTAGGATTGATCCAAATCTCATTAGATATGTATCCAACCATACGTTTATGTGAAAGTTTTATAGACTCGTTGTTTCATAACTAGTTTTATCTGTGATGTTGTGAATAAAGACACAGTTCTTGTTGGAAACAGATGGTTATTGTTAAAGTGTATTTGTGCACAAACAGGAAAACAATGAGTGGTAAAAATCTGAGACCAAACTATTTAGAAAAGCAGGATGAATGCAACAAGCTGAGGATCCGATGATTCTGTACAAGTGCGGACTCAAACAAAGACTCAAGAAATGTTCGATATGCAACGATATGCAACACAACTCTAGTTCACAGCCGCCGCGTGTACAGTATATCAGGTTCTTAGCCATGAGCCCAAACTGATTTTCCTTTGAAGCGCCGAAGCAATCTGCTCCCAAGTGCCTGGTCCATGTTGTGCTACCGCAGCCGCTCTGTTTCCATCCAAAAAGTCATCACACACGGATCAGTCACAATGGACCGTCTCTGCTGACGGATCTGTAGTTAGAAAAATCTGAGGGTGCACGGGTGGTAGTGCCAGGGTCTCGCGGTGATCCTTGCGTTGGTCATGTGATATCAGGTGACGTCACAAGAGCCACCGTAAACTCAGCGCCGCGCAAGTGTACCTAGGCCTTTGATGAGCCAAAGCAAAAAAATAGATCATATCAATAACTAGCAATCTGTTTTTATATGATGAATTATAAAAAAAAAATCATGTTCCAGTTTTGTCCCAAAAGAAAGAGCCTTGTTTAATTGTGTGAACAAATCAGACAATATGCAGTCTGCTTGCATTAGAAAACATTTTATCTCTGATATACTGATCTAAATATGCGGCCGAGGGCAAAAAACTACATACCCGTGAAATTAAGAGACAGAACCGAACTAGTTGAAATGTGGATTGCGGATTACAGTCCATTAAAAGATGTTGAACTATTATGATATAAGATAAGATAAGATAAGCTTTATTTATCTCACAGAGGAGAAATGTACATGTCACATTTGGCATGGATAGAGACACTCAGATTGTGCAAAAGGAGGAAATGTGCAAACATGTTACATGCAGGAGATATATGTACAATAAAAGTGACAATAATTATGTACAACAAAAGTGACAAGTATCAATTGGAAACAGTGTCAATAGTAGTGCAGGTTTTCACACAGTGATCATTTAAAGTGACTTATTGTACAGTCTGACAATAGTTTTCATGTTTATGTGTACATATTTCATTCAATGATTGAAAGCCTTTGAGTGGAGTTGTATTCATATAATTACAATAGAATAGCCATAGAATTTCCTTCAGAAAATTTTAAGATGAAGAGGACCATTTCAATGGATCATGTGCTGAGGAAGGACATAATAATACTTCAGGGTTTGTTTGTGTTTTCAAAGTTAGTTCCTCCAGCTTTAAGGCAATAAATTTACCCATTATGTGAGCCATGTTACTCCCTCAATGTGGCAACAACAAAACATGTTGCAAAGTAAAATAATGTCCAGGCAGTGTATAAAAAGAAGACCAAAATCATTAGAAATGGATAAGCAGCATTTGAGATTCATGCAGCTAAAATATGGAACAGTCTTCCTGAAAATGTGTGACAGGCTTCTTCTCTGACAATGTTCAACTGAGGGATTTTATCTTTCCTCTTTTTAATGTATTGTAATTACTGTTGTGACCATATGTATCTGTTTTGTTAAGAACTTTGAGTTGCCTTGTGTATGAATTGTTCTATACAAATAAACTAGAATGTTGTGTTGTGGTGTAATGACAGGGCCATTGTTGCTGTTGCAGGTAAACCCACGTGTCGCTGCCCCCTCGGCTTCTCCGGGCCGTTCTGTGAGCGCCGCATCTGTGACAACTTCTGTATGAACGGTGGAACGTGCGATGTAACCCAGGGCAACCAGCCGGTGTGCCGCTGCATGGCCGAGTACACCGGGGAACGCTGCCTTTACCGTAAGCGTCTCTCAGCACTGCATCACACACAAAACAAAGGTGTGAAAGTATTTGATACATTATTTTTTGGACATTCCAATTTGTTTTACCTGTTGTTATTCTTTCACTCCATACACAGTGATGATAAACTTTAGCCACAACTGCCCTGGGGCACACAGATCAGAGATCCCTCTGACCACCACCAACAATTCACACACACACCAGGCTCATTCTTTGCAATGTGGGATAAAGTGTCTTGCCTAAGGACACAGCGACAGTTTGGATCTTTACAGCCACCCCACTGTGGCACCTGGTGTTCCCAGAGGTCTTCCATCACAGTACTTACCAGGCCCTGTTCTATGCAGCTTCATAGATCTGACAGGATCTGGATTCCACATGCAGTTATGGTCCTAAGTAGATAGCAGTACAATGTAATAGAAGCGGCTGTAGTTAAACGTATTACTTTTACTGTATTATGAGGCATTTCCATGTCACTTATCACTACATAACGTGTGCTCTTACTACTGTCCTGTATGTGCGTGGCAACTAGGGATGGGAAGCTAAGGGTATCTCACGATACGATACGATACACGATACAAAGCTCACAATAACGATATTATCACAATAACAATATCACGATAACGATTTTATAACGATAAGACGATTATCGATATACTGGTCAGAAATATACAATATGCCAATTTATGGCATAAATAAAAGAAAAAATACACTTTATTTCATGATAAATGGAATGTAGATGCGTAATGTAGCCATATATTAAAGTATTGATACCAATTATTTAAAAAAATCATTTGTAAAAAAAATAATATATATATATATATATTTTTTTTTTTTTCAAAATCGATATTGATACTTGGCAAATGCATATCGATAATGGAATTGCGGGAGAAAGTATTGCGATATATCGAAAAATCGATATATCATCACACCCCTAGTGGATACACTGACATTTCTTTAGTGTGGGATGAATAAAGGTCCTCTTATCTTATAGATCAAGTTTATATGAATTACATGTCTGTTGATTATCACTTAAAAGGCAACTGTATCATCACCGATATATGCGCTTTCCTCCGTAAAGTAAACATTCCAGGCATTACGAAATTGTAGTTATTGTATCACATTTTCCCCTTGGGGACAATAAATGTTTTGAGTTGAGTTGAAATACTTCAATATCGATATTCATTTTGTCCTGTTTTGTTCTTTCCCTTTGTCCAACCCTGTAAAAGTCGTGTCATGTAAAGTTTAAAACCCCCTGTTGTCTCTCGTTGCTTGCAGACATTTGCCACCACTACTGCGTGAACTCCAAGGCCTGCACGTTGTCCAGCAGCGGCTACGTGGAGTGTGTGTGTCCCGCCCGCTTCGAGGGAAACAAGTGCGAGGTGGACAAATGCTTGCGCTGTCACGGAGCTCCCTGCCTCATCAACGAAGACACCGGCGATGTGGTGTGCAAGTGAGACAACTCCTCCAACTCGCATGTTCTTGTAGTCCATGCAGATCACTGTACACTGGCACTCTCCAAAAAAACAAAAAAAAAGATAATTCTCCATGAAAACCTACTTTTTCGGGCCAAATGGAAAACAGCTTTTCCTTCAAACCCATTAACCTTGTACTATATAGTGGCATGCCTATGCCTTTTGAGAATTGAACTTGCTAATCTTAGTTCCATTTATTGTGCACAAACTTAATTCACAATAGTTTTAGGCATGGGTAAGATGACATTTTTAATATTGGGGTGATTCTTTGTCTTTTCTTAACCCTTTGGCGAGCTTTTGGCGAGTTATTGATAGCTCCCAAGCTATAGGTTGGAGACCCATGCTGTACACGTTAACATTTTTGCCATTATAAGGAGGATATTTTAGTTTCAGATACAGCTGTAAATTATATTTCATCCTTATATGTGCGGGTGGTTGGATGATGCCTGTCTCTCTGTCTGTCTGTCGGTCTATGGATGACCAATTCTCACAAGATGACAATATGAGACTTTGATATATACACACGGTAAAACGATGTGTATTGTAAAATCAAAACCTTTTAAATGTTTAATGTTTAATACTTCTACTCTCAGGAAATATGCAATCTCCATCCGTAATTATAGCAGTAGGTATATAGGTTCTATAGGTATAAAGCCATCACTGTTCAATGGACTGTCAAAACCATTCCAGTCCATGTATATAGTCCATGTTAGACCAAATGTACCGCTGTGTCTTTGTTGCTCCTTGTATTAAAGTCTCGACTTGTCACCAGAACCATTATTTCTTCACCTTTGCAGCTGCACAAACGGCAGAATCGCACCCAGCTGTCAACTCTGTGACGGATATTGCTACAATGGCGGCACCTGTCACCTGGACCCTGACACCAACCTGCCTTTCTGTCAGTAAGTCACCGCTTAATGGCTCAAGCGAGATGGGTGAGAAGAAAAAAAGAAAAAACTTCATTCTGTTGTTATTCAGTCAAATTGCTGGTACAGTTTCAACCCAGAAAAGTCAAGTCACAAATCTACACGGGGTACCATTTCCAGCGCAGCACTCGCTAGATAGATGTCTTCCTTGAGAGAGAGAGAGAGAAATCCCCCAGTAGAAAAGCAGTTTGAAGTCGCTCGGAGGAGGCCAGGGCACAGCAGGAGCTTGAGGAGCACTACACCATGTTATGCTGCGTGACACCTCCATGCGGCTTAAGCTTTTTAGGCAGATATCAGAAAATAGAGAGCGCTTTCAAAAGTCTGCCATTTTGAGAGTTACATACTGTTCCTTCTCGCTGTTAAGACGCCAGTCGTGCGAGAGGTTTTGTAGTTTGCGGGAAGGAATGAGCCGAAAGGGAGATGGGTGTCAAGGTACTGTGCATGTAACTTAATTTGTAACTCCAAGATAGTGTTATGTAAGGGGATGTCAGCGTTTAAAAATTTAGAGTCAGGAAAAAATAATACGGAAAGGTTCAAGGTTGTTTGCGCTTATTGAAATTTTAGCAAACACTTTAAGATTTTCTTTCATTTCAGTTGTCTACAATTTCTCAACTATTGGGTCAACTCTTTTATATCAAAGAACAGTAAAAAAACAGCTTTTAATTTGCTTCTATAATCGTGATTTTCAACTAGAAAAAAATATTCCTAATTTTGTTCTCAGAAGTAGTACTACAGACAATGCCTGATTTCTTTAAGAAAAAATATTTTGTATTTAGTATAATGTAGTAATTTCTGAAGCCTTTTTTTTTGTGATTCCTATTTATGATCCTACGATCATAACTGTCAAAATAGTTGTTAGTTTGGGTTATTTTCATTTCCTCTGTTATTATGAACATTTAGATCAATTTAGGTCAAAAACATGTGCTAAATGTTCCTGATTGAATAAATTAATCAATGAATAGAAAAACAAATCTCCACATTTATGGGAAATAAATATTCAGATATCACTCTAAATTCTGGCAATAGATTAAGACAGACAAATATTTTGAAAAATCTGTGTTAAGAAAGTAAAAACCACCTTATTATTGTCTGTCTTATATTGTTTTTATATATTGTTTTAATCCTTCATTCATTTATTTATGTAATATGGATAATTTAAGACAAAAATAGATTTTCAGTAAGATATTCGATAGGCTGTTAAGCTGTCCAACTTCCTAAATGTTAGCCTTTGCAGAAGTTCATGTAACCCATTGAAAGTCCGTGTGTGTTCCAGACAAAAGGTTGACTGGCAGACACGGGATATAATTGTGAAAGAGCAAACGACACAGATTAATACGATCTCAGGCCGTAATCACACGCAGCGTCGTTCAAAACCTCCCCCAGTGCGGAAATTGGAAATCCATTTCTAAAGCCAACTCGTGCCTTCTCTGCACTGCCCATTGTCCACTGTAGTTAAATTGAAACTTGCAGTCATCACTCACAAATTCCCTGGGATAGAATCAATTTCTATGCAAATGATCCAATCTTTTTCGATGAGGTTAACAGATCCCTGATAATACGCTTTATTATTTGCAGCAAAGACCCGAGATTATGAGAGATGAGGGATACGTCTGTGCCAAGGAATCATACGGTTTGCCTTCAAAAGCTCAGAGTAAATATATATTTTATCCGGCTTCACCAACTCAAAGACGCATCAGGGACACAGGTTTTGGTCAAAATAGTGAGGATTATTGAGCGGTGAAGGTAAACTCTGCCAGGGGTTCCCAAACGTTTCAGTCCGCAACCCACAATGTAAATGGCTCACTTCACACTAAACTCTACCAATGCATTACAGTTGGGACTATGACACTGAAAAGTCCAGAAATGTCCGCACCCGCTAGGGCGCACTACTTGAACAGCAATTATTTCATGCCGTACTACTAACAGCTCAAGACGTTTTGACGTTACAACCAGTGGACCCGATGGTTTACATCCAAAACACCCAGTTTCCTGTAGTTTTTGAATCATAAGCAACATAACATGTAACATAATCTCAATTATCTCTCGCACTGCCAACAAAAGGTTACCATAAAATCATCTAATCTAATCTATGATTAAAGACAATTGATAATAGATAATATACAAGGAACATGCTAGAATAATCCTAATTTGCTGAATTTAGAAATTAGTGGTGTGAGCAGGATATAGAAGTACTTTGAGTTTGTTTGTGGCTCCAGGAGAAGTCTATCATTTATCCTTTTTGTTTGAGTTTCTTGCGATCCAAACCGACATCTGGGCTCCATTAGATCCTTGTTTTGGCAATCTTTTCATTCTTTGGAGACTGCAAACAAAAGAAATATTTTGCTATTTCACCAAAACAAAAACACAATTGAAGATGCCGTATTTCTGTCATTGTTTCATTCTGTCATTCCTTCAATTCATTTTATTTTTTCGAGTCCACCCATTTTCTGCTGCTGTTGTCAAAACCGGCAAAGCAATTACACGGACATGTATTCAGCCGTGTTCTTCTTTATATGTGTATGTTTCCTTTAATTGTTGTGATGTCACGTCCCAGGTACAAATTCCACCACCGAGTTCAACTTTGATATTTGGAAACAGAATGTCAAAAGTAGCTCTCACACAAATACTTTTCTTCAGATGTTGCACTTTAAACACACTCGCTCTCCAAGGTAATTTTAACAGTGGCAGTACATGTTGTAGCTGAAATTAGTACTTACTTATATAGGAATGCACCATGCTAAACTGCTAGCTCTTTGAAGCCTAATAGGGAAGTGCTCATAGATGATTGTTTGTCTTCCTTGATTTTACTTCCATTAACTTATGTTGAAAGCTAAATTCATAAAGTAATTATTTATGTATTAGCGCATTTCACAGACCAAGGTCAAAGAAAGTGCTTTCGAAGTTTTGTTTACTAGTCATTTCACTTCTCTCCACACACATGATTGTTGACATGATTGATCAATACATTATCTATCTATCCATCTATGATCAAATCTTTGTCAGTCCAAATATGACTCCAGTTCCTTCTGTCCCCAATCTCGGCTTTGGATAGGCCAGTGCCGCTCCGGATTGGCTCTGTATCGCTAAGCTGTTGCTACCCATGAATTTGGCTCTAGGTTCCTGTTCTTAGAGCCTGTTAGACTTCGCTCTGATCAGCTTCATTTGTGACTGGTTAGCACCTGGCTAATCCAATCTCTGTAAATCACTCTTTGATGATAAAATGACTGGCCTTATGTACTCCATTTATACAATAGCTGGGCTTTCTGCAGATTCATTTGTTACAGAAAAAATACACTGCAAAAAATGACACAATATGAGCTAATAATTACTTGAATTGTGTAGTTTTTATCTGTATCTATTTATTTGAGAACATTCTTTCATCCATCCATCCATTTTCTACCCTTTAATCCATTTCTGGGTCAGGGGGGTGGCAATCAGAGATGCCACCAAAGTCTCATAGCACCAGCCCCTCACTGACCCTCTGCAGGTGGTGAGTCCACAGGAGGACGGCTGCTCTCTGAGTGTGAGCATAGCCTTGAAGGTGTAGAGGTGGGAATTGAACCCACGACCTTCAGGCCTGAAGGCCAATGCTCTACCAACTGAGCTACTGTCGCCCTATTCTTTCAATAACTAGTTAATTATTTTCTCATTCCATGGAAGGTATTTCTGGTATCTATTTAAAACAAGATCATTTTTCTTGTCCCATTGGCAAATCTTGCTTAAATTCATTAATTAATTTAGCAAAATTTGTGCAATTTTGGACTCATTTTATCATCACTTTTCGCAGTGTTTTTTGTCTATTAAGGAAATATGTTATTGCAGTTTGTCACATTTTGTTGCTACCAATAAAATGGCTTTTACTTATTGGGAATTCTAATAACATGTAAAAAAATAAATAATAATAATCCTTATATGCACATTTACAAGATTGTCACATGGCATTTGTTTTGGGTGACATTTGTCAGAAACTATATTTGTTTGTAATGTCTGTCACATTAGCACACTGTTTTTCCCTACTCTGTTCACCAATCATGCAAAAAGGGTCCCAATCGTTTTCCGTGGGCTTTCTCATCACTCCCTACACTGTTTTTGCAGCTGTACATCAGGGTTCAAGAATCAGCGTTGTGACGAGCTGGCCAACCCCTGCGATTACTTCTGTCAAAACGAGGGAATTTGCACATTAACCGCGCTTAACAAACCTCGCTGCAAGTAGGTTCCCCGGGCCTGGAGCTCACATCACCTCAATCCATCCTGGTGCCATCTCCGCCTCCGCCCAGTGCTGCTGTGTTCAAACCTATCATGTAATAAGTGCTTAGTTAAAACAAGGGGAGGTTCAAAAACGGTTTGAAAAAATTCTATCAAATAATATGTGAGCTGTTTGAATGTACTGTGATTATAGATTGTGAAATTCTATAAATATCTCCACATACAGTATATATAGACAGTTTTTGAGCCCGTTCACACTTGTTGGTCTAGTTTAACTGGACCCATTCTGTTTCACTGCTTTATTTATGAAAAAACACCAAACAAATAAACATGTTTTCTCTTACCGCGTAATACTAGAACTCTCAAAGCAGGCATTTTGACAATCTATTGAGTTTTTTTTTTTTTTTTTTTACTTTGAAAAAGCTCTAAAACTTGAAATATAGCTAAAGCTGTCTGTTGACAGGCTAAATGCTGCAATAAAACAGTGTGTTGCCATAACTAGCATCTTCTCTTCTTCAAGCTTAGCTCAGGCTGACACTGTGTTAGTTGCTAGGCGACAAAAACATGGCTACATTTGAACTTTAAATTGAAAAAAATGTATGGAGTAGTATTTTTTTCTGTATTTAGAAATAGATACTGACAAAGTCACAAAGTTATGAAGACTAAAAAAGTTCTTAGGCTGAATCCTTACACTTCCCAAATTTACCTCTTATTGAACTGTAGTTTAATGTATTTTAGTAACTTGCACTTCTAGCTATCTGTATGCTAATATGCAAGTTTTATGATTGTATTTAAGGATTACAGATGGTGATTAGCATGGTACTAAATCTTTTTAATGCAACTGCACATTGGTATTAATAAATTAAACATTAAAAGCCGTCAAATTGTCTGCTCTGCCAATTCTAGTGTTAAACCAGTTTGCATCTTTTGATACAGATAAGTGAATCCTGTTTACCCCAAAGTGAACGAGACCAACAAGAAGTAAACGCGACCTTATTATCTCTCTACATGTTTCGATTGTTACATCTCAAAATGTGTTGAGTAAGAAGACTATTTATAATATTATCATTATTATTTGCTTGATTTTTATTCTTGAAATGTTGACCTTAAGACTTTTACAGCTATCTTACTAAATGATGCGATTTCACATTGATTTATTTGTTTTCATAGTTTTCTGTGACCGGGAAAATGCGTAAAATAAAAACAAACAAAAGGCAGGCTCAACACCTTCTTATTGTTTTGTCTTTTCAGTTTTTTCCATCACTCGCTTTATTCCTTCTGCATCCTTTCTGCTTGCATTCATTTGTTTCCTGCTCTTTCCTTTTAGCCTTTTAGTAATTGCTCTCACCCCACTTCCAATACACTTTCTCATTCTGCCTAATTCCCTCTGCCTCTATCATTCTCAGATAGGATCTTGTTTGAAAAGAGCCTCGCCGCCACCGCTAATATTTGCAGAAGGAGCGTTGTAGCTGCATGGAAACAAGTATTTGATGGCATTTTAATGAGGGATTAGCTGCCGCGGCACTTATTACATTATGGGTTACTGCACGGCTACACGCGCTGCCCATCTCCACACACTGGGACATAATAAAACGTGACTTGCTTTCTGTGCTGTGATCATCAATCTCCGCCTATCAAACCCAGGTGCATGATGGGAGTTCAATATCTTGCGTATTGACCAGCCATTTTTACTCCACTACATGTTTCTTTAATGTGTCTGACACAGGTAACGATCATGAGGGGTTTTATGGTTAAGGATTACCACCGAGGGAGCCTCTCTTGTGTCGGGGGCTGACATTTAAATTCATGACATGGGGAAATGGTTCACTTTTGCTTCTGTGGGATAACGGGGGAGCATTTCACTTAACAAAAAAAATAAGGTTGAAAGATGTTATCATGATTGAAGTACATGTTGTTTGTTGTATATTAATGTAAATTTCAATTTTCATTTTTTTTAAAGTAATATATAAAATCTTTCAAATAGTCCCTCCTCATGGCAAAACCATGATCTGTCATATTTTCTGGAGGAGAATAGTTTAACCAATGGCAAGGATTTTAATTGATATCGTCCAATCAGGATGGTGTGAGGCTGAGCATGGGCGGGTCCAACCAATGCTTGTATCTGGCTTTTTCTCTTCCTCTTCACAATTTGAAAAGTATCTCACATTCACTTTAAATGTCTGTGTACTTAAACCTGGGGTGTCTCTCTGTTCCAGTAAGGAACGCAATACTCAGAACTTTAAAAAACATGAACTAGCATTTTGTTCCTAAACTGGACGGCACTTTGAGAGTGCTGATTGGCTGAAGGCTCTTTTTCTCAGTGGGACAACAAGATTTTTTGAGGCAGATGTGGTGTTTCTGCTGCTCTGCTAAAATAAAACTAGAAAGTGGTTTAATTAATAATGCATTGTGTTCTGACAGAATGAGTCAGGTAGAAGTAAAATGTAGTGAACAAATCAGACCCCGTAATGCTGTCTTTATCTTCATATAAAACACATTCTCTTTTGCATACTTGTAAGAAAGAGCCTTTTGAGTCACTATTTGATGCTTTGGGCTGAAAGCAACCTGGCTGACTGAGAAATTGGGACAACGATTGTCTCAAGAAGCCAGTGACATAGGCCAAAAGTGTTTTGAGAGCAAAGAACCATAATGTTAGGTACCCCAGCTTTATAATAGGGGGCAAAAAATCCAGATTTATTTTTTGCTTGTGGAGCTTCTTTATTGTACTTCATTGGTGTGTACCTGACAATGACAAGTAAACTGATTCTGTTTTTTTCTCACTGGAAATGCCGACAATAACAACAATGCTGCTGACCTTGAAACCATTTTTGCTTTTTCAACTTCAAACCATATACAACAGACAAAATATACTTTTTCCAAATGTGAGATGTGTCCTGGAAAAGATGAAAAGAGAAGCCCTTTCTGCTCCATTACAGTTACCATGCTTTGACTGTTGCAATTCTCTATAATAGGATTGTACTGATAAAATTACTGAAAGTGTGTCTCCAAGTAATTTCCCTTTTGGACCAATACGGTGTGTGCTTTATCCACCTAAACCAAGTCATCAGTACTAAGCTGAGAGATCTCACCACCACAATTGGAATGTTCCTTTCATTGTATCATACACTGAGAAATTCACTTCAAGAAGCAGTACAATAGTAAAGCTAATGAATAGGCTCCTTTTCTGTACTTTCTGGGAACATCGATAAGAAAATGTGTATAATATTTGAAAAGTTAATATGCAAAAAACAGATAAGTGTCTTTAAAAAAAATAAGAAAGATATACTGTACTTTTTTTTTTTTTTTCAAATTCAGGTCTATTTTAACGCCATTAGTCCCCCCTTATTGAGCAAATACTTTTAAATTTACTGCCAATAACAAAACCTGTGGAAGGTTGTGCAGAGAGCATTGCAAATATTATAAATATGACTTAACAATAGCTTGAATCAAGTGATTTTTATCTTAATTTAAGTGCATTCTGACGTTTTTGAAACAGGATTTGCCAATGGGACAAAGCCATTTAGTCTTATTTACAGAACTGTTGCTTTTTCTTGTATACACATTTCTTGTATATTTTCAAAACAAGATCATTTTGCTTTGTCCCATCGGCAAGTATGTTCAAATGAACATACAGTTTGTCAAATGTGAGTAATTTTAGCTATTTATCATCACTTTTTGCAGTGAGGAATGTCACCCCTTGACAAGATATCTGTCTTTTGCGAATTAATTCTTCTTCTAATCCATCATAAGTCTTGTAGACCTGCTGTGTATTGTGCAAATATAACAAAGCATTTCTCATTTCCCACTTCTAACTCCGACTCCATCCATTACACACACACAGAAAGTCAAAATATTTCCATGTTGTATGATCATGAATGCCCATTTTTCCTAATTCTGAATTTGCAACATGTAATTTTGTGCGCACACCTGCCTGGGCATTGTATCCATGCAGCTGCTGGTTCATGTTGGATTTTCTTTTGTGTTTGGATCAAAGCTCTCCATGGCGACAGTGAGCCATAATGTGTACCATGTCACGCCGTGAACTTGTTGGATTCCCAATTGTTATTGTGTTCTTTACCCAGCGTGTTTTCTCGCTCCCGAAGCAGCAGTGGTCCTTCAACTGTGTTCTCCCCACACCACTTCAGATTAGCATTTCATTTGAGTTATTTGAGAATTACTGGAGTGGCGAGGATTAAACCACAGCCAGTGATTATGGTTATATGCAGCGGTAGAGTTTAAGGATTTCGTCATGCATAGCATAGCGTACAAGGTTTCAGGAACCAAAGAGGGTCTATGGAACGTACCAGGCCACAAATCTACCAATTAGAATCTTTTTAAAGGACAGTACATATATTATAGTATGATTTGTATATATATATTAACAGGACAAAAACATGACATTTATTTTAGTGTACCTATTACAGAGTGTAGTCTATATATTTGTCTCAGCTATCTGAATTAATTATGAAGTATTTTTAATTTGTTTATTTAGATATTGCTCATAAATCATAAATAATCACAGTGTATTTAAAAAGAGTGACGCTACAATCCTTCAGTTGTATGCATAGAGAAACTGAATTGTGTTCAACCTGGATTGGAACAAGTAAACTTGTCTCACATTTTTTTTAGGAAGACTGTTCCAGAATTTAGATCCATCAATCTGAAATGCTTATACCCCTTGTTCATGTCCTGACTCTGGGCACCAGTAGGAGGCCAGTCCTTATGGCGGCCTCCTGATAGTGTGATTGTGGCTTTATACAAATGCAAAATTAGGTTATAGAGTAGATTGTAAAATGAATTAAATGGATAAAAAGTTTGTTCATTTACACCAAAATATGTGTTTTCTGTCCTGTATTTAGAACTCTACAGACTGATCCTTAAATTCAGCACCTTTTGCATTTTCTTTCTGAAGTGACCCGATAGCGTCAGACCTATACGACACCACGGTTGATCTAAAAAGCCACATGTACCTGAAACAGTTGGAGGTCACTGCTGCTGCTTCTTCTTCTGTGAAAACCTCATTTACACTTTCTCTTGACCTCTTCAGATGCTCCGCTAACTGGGCCGGGACGCAGTGTGAGAGACCTGCCCCCAAAAGCAGCAAATCAGACAACACCAGCGGAGGTATAGTCATTTTAAATACTCTACTAATTCACCAATTTATTCTGTTTGGAGTTCACCACACAGCTTTCAACTGCAGCTGTTCATAAAAGTCGGGCCATAATAAGGAAAAATGAATCAATAAATCCTAATGGGAGTTTGAATAATGGATAATTGAACCTCATTCAACTCAGCGGATTAAAGTAGCCCATTTTATAAGCTGTATTTGAGTCATAATTTATGAGAGGAGACAAGGAGTTTCTGTAATTATTTTATTATTTAGCCTATTTGTGAAGGATTTCCAAAAGTTTCCCTAAAGAATATAATACTGGTTCTCCTCACATTTACCTCGATGGCAACATTTTGCCAAAACAAATTTCTAGATTTTGAATGTTTTTGTCTGAAATGACAATACAATGCCATGCTAAAACTCTTCACGCTGCCCAAAGGATCCTCACAGTGACGCGGCTCCAGTCAAAACACATGATTGTGCTGATCTGCGAGACGCTCTCCGCTCCTGAGAAGAGGCGCTCCTCACTCGCTGCTCTTACCATGTGCACTGCGGCCTCTATGGTTCGAGTCAGGAGGAGATATGAAAAGGCGCAAAATAATGACAAAAAACAACGCAGAAAGTAGAGAAGGCGGCATTAGCAATCACCATCACTGACATGCAGATACGCACAGGATTAGAAATATCACTGACCTTTGCTTGCCCAGGATTGGAATATTAATGGTTTATAATAGAGAAGGTCATTTGCGGCGGAATTATAACTTTACAAATTACAGACATGGCGCATTCGCACAGGACCTCAGACGTGCTCCGGGATTATCACAAATTACCAGAGGTCCACAGGTATTACTAAATCTGTATGAATATTCCTGAAATGTTTCTTTGGTTCCCACCAGAGAAGAAGCTGTATGTGTTACCATAGCAACACACTGTTTAATGCCAGCAGTTAGCGTTGAGCTATTGCTGCATTTCAGTTATATTCACTTGTCCTTTTAAGTAAAAAAATAACATAATAAATGAATTACTTTAGCTCAACTTGGTAGTAACTTGGTTTAGGAGCAGACAAAATGACGGCTTTAGGAGTCCTTGTACTTTCATAATTTGAATAGTAAATATACTAGGATTAGCATATTTACTATTCAAGCTAATACTAATTATGATACTATGTCCATACAACATACATTCCATTCATTTAAAAGCTTTTACATTTGACTATGTAGGTGATTCTTATAGTCACTGTCCTCCATATATGATTTAAAAAACAAAATTCCAGTTCCTTTTTCACAACCATAAATGACTCCCTGCTGAATCCACATCAAATGCAGCTGCCTTTCTAATCTATAAACTGAACGCACTGCACAGTTCTATGTAAATGTACTTTGCCGTCAGCCATTTTCTGTTAACAGTATACTTTCTGCTCTTCGTCTGAAAGTGTGTTTTTTGCTTTGAAGCTTTTGTAACACCACTGACTGCATACAATATGGGCCTATTTGAGTCCATCTGAGCTGCTTTCAATTGAATCTTGCCTCATCTGTGCGCACCATCTCTCTCTCTGTGTGTGTGTGTGTGTGTGTTTGTTGGCTGCAGGGAGCATAGCTATCATCGTGCCGCTGGTGCTGCTCGTCATCCTGATTGTGATGGTGGTCGCCGGCGTCTACGTGTGCAAGCAGAGGCAAAGGTAACAATCTCTGGCTGGATAAAATCCCTTTAATGGTATCCTCTGCCATTTGGTGGATCACTTTTTGAGTCACTATATCATATAATCGAAGCTTTGAACTGAAATCTACCTCATCGGTTCATCTCTATCACTTAGTTTTAGTCACTTATACCATCAAACTGCATTGCAAATATTTGCCAAAGGCGTATATTTAAAAAAAAACTAGGGGTTCCACAAAAGATACAGTTCAAGACATCTTAAAATAAACAAGGAATGAATAAAGGAGTGAAAATGTAAGGCTTAAAGGGGACATGCTATGGATTTGTTTTTGTTTATTTTCATTACTTTTTGCTGCCTAGTTATGGCAGTGCGCCTTCGACATTACCTCAAACAAGTTTCCATTTAAATTGATTTGTGCATATTTGAGTAATCCTGTATTGTTTGGCATTTGGGACATAAAAGACAGTGCAGCAGTACATGATTCTGCTGCTTGTTCCAGGAGAAAGTTGTTTCAATAACACTCATTGTTTTCTTTATTATAAAACATTTTATCTTGCTGATTGACTCAGTGACACAGGCCAAAAGTACTCGCATTTGAAAACTAATTATTGAACAAAACTGATGCGCAAATGCACAATCATAGCTCAAACTTGTGCGCCCCACCACCCTTCCCTACATAAAAATACATGCACACAGTCACACAGCCCCCATTATACAGAAATAGAAGATATGCCCTACAAAAAATAACAAAATGTCTGGACTTTACGTTTTAGTTTTAGTAGCTAAAGGACACTCGTTTATTGTCATGAAAGCTAAAAGTTCAGAAAAGCATCACAGAACGTTAAAACATCTCATCAATAAAATAAGCAGTTGAAGCAAGTCTTTTGCTCCATAAGCTAAATGAAAACCTGTGGCTTATATTCTAGTACGGCCTATATGCAGACAAAATGTACTCTATTTTTTTATTTAGCTGGTGTGGTTTTTATACAGACGTGCTAAACAGTCAAGAAAATAACTTAAAAATCCCTCCGCCCCATTGTCCAAGTATCAATGGTATTTCATTGCAAACAATTGTGGTCACAGATGATTATGGCAAACTTTGAACGTGTCGTATACATCCGTCTTCAGAGGGGGGTGTGGCCTCCGCTCTGCCTGCATGGTTCCTCCCCAGAGAGCATCAAAGCACATATAACATAAACCATATCTTGCATATTTATGGCATCATGAAAAGGTGACTTTGGTTGCTGAGTGATAGCCGCACCGTACAATCAGAAGTGTGTTTGGTTGTTCTTCAGAGATCAGTGGTTCCTGTGAGCTGAGTGATGTCACAGAGCCATGAGTACAGAGCATTTGTATGATAATGACATGTGTGCGCCCCCAGGGGAAAGAGAGTCCAGAGGCAGCCCATGACCAACGGAGGCATCAACGTGGAGATCGGAAACCCCTCGTACAACATGTATGAGGTGGACCACGACAACCACGCGGACGCCGGCAGTCTGCTGAGACCAAACTTCACGCTGGACCCTCACAAGGTGAACAGGGCGAGTATTAAGAGAAGCATAGGGCTCACATAACAATGATGACATGAAATCACAGAACGTTTAGAGAAATATGGAAATGACAAAAAGATCCTAGAACATCTCTGTGCCTTTAAAATTACTCTAAGAGAAATGTCTAATGTTTATGTAAGTTTTGACTGTGAGTCTAATTGAATCATTTAAAATTCTGTAAAAGAAAGAAAACATAAAAAGGTTTGGAAACATACATTTTAGTTCTACCTTCTCCTTTTTTAATTGTGTTTATATCTATTTTTGGTGTTTTTCTACCGTTTTGTAAAAAGAATAATGAATTTTAAAAAAAAGACTACAACAGCAATGTTGAGCTAAAGGCAGGAAAGGTACAGAGAGTTTTATAATGAATATGTGTCTTTATCGTCTTTAAATGACTGACATTTAGAAATGTAGGTGCATTCAGGTAAGTTGTACTGTTTTTTTCAATCATGTGCTGCCATCAGAGCTGTCGAATGTTTACCCCTTTACACTAAGACCTCTAGAATACAATACAATACAATAAAAGAAATTCTTGTATAGCCCTAAATCACAACAGAAGTAATCTGAGAGGGCTTAACAAAACCATTGAAATTACCAACACAGATCGGAGAATCAACAGTTAAAACACAAAAAGAATAAAGAACACATAAATGTCCATACATGTTGTAGAATGTTAAAGTGTCCTGGATCATCACCACAGTCCTTCTAGTTGGACACTAACTGCCCAACAGACCCTCCTGCATCGGCAAGGAAAAACTAACAAAAACCCAGTGGGAAAAAAGTGTGAAACTTCGGGGAGACCCATATATTGAGAAAGGGATCCGCTCTAGAATTCTGAAACAACTATGTAGGTCATGTTGACTGCTCCCATTTAAACCAATGGAATTCTGAAAATTGTGGCAATTTTTGTTTTTGTTTTCTGCCAGTTGTGTTTAAAGTAAATAATGTATACTTAGTACTTCTTTTTACCTTAACTTACTTTGCTAGCTCCTACTGACTGAAGTGCTATAACTAGTAAATATAACTTGAAATATAAAAACTGAAAAGCTAAACTGCTGGAAGTCACTCTGCTCTACTCTCATTATCTAAAAGATAAATGACAAAGACATATACTGCAAACAGATACAGAACAAGTCACAAAGGTAGGAAGAGAGCAAACAGGCACATATACCTAAGAATTACAAATCCAAAACTCAAATTGACTGCTCTGGGAGTTCTAGTGTAAAAAAACACCAAATCTGGAGTTCTAAAAACTTAACTAAAACTGAAGTAAAAGAATTCCAACATAAGTACTGAGTATAGACCGAGCTGTACCTATGACCCTTCCTGTTTGTCACTTCTGCCTGTTGGGCTTCTGTGCGATTTCTAAGATTATAAAGGCTTTTTCATCACTGCTATTGAAAAGGAATGAGTGATATTCACCCTTGAGCCAAGTTTCTATTGAATGTGTCCGAAACCAATTACAACTGACACAAGTTATCAGACAAGATGATTCAAAGAGAAAAATAAAAGAATGCATTGTTTGGCTGCAACGGCTGGGTTAGAGAAATCCACAACTTTCCTTTTTCATCAAACTGTAATTTAAAAATGCTCAGTACACATTACAGGAAACTGAATGGGGAAATTGTATAGAACAAACATTATTAGAATTCTATAAATCAGGGATGGCTGATCGCTTTCTACTGTTTAAATACTCAGTATAAGCCACACTGCAATTTGCTGTTGCTGTTTGTAATTTTGTATTTATTTTTTTAAGTCAAAACAAATTCACACAAAATATGATTTTATACAATCTGGTAACCTGTGTGTCTGGAGTAAAGGATTAATGCATCTTTGATTGTCCAAAAAAGCACTAAATAAACTGAATACTTCTTTGTTTATGCCACCCAAAACAGTAGTAGGCAAGGCAAGTTTATTTGGATAGCACAATTCATGCACAAGGCAACTCAAAGTGCTGAACCAAACAAGATGGAATCAAAATCATAAATAATCACAGTACATTAAAAAGAAAGATACAATTTAAAAAAAAAAATCTCTCAGTTTTCTGCACAGATTAACATAATAGTTTTTTAACCTGGATTTAAACATTCAGAGAATAAGCCTGTCTCACACTTTCAGGAAGACTGTTCCAGATTTTAGCAGTATGAATCTGAAATGCAGCCTCTCCATGTTTAGTTCTGACTCCTGGCACTAGCTGGAGGCCAGTCCCTGCATGTGCTCCTCAGAGACCCAGCTTTGGTCCAGTCCCTGTGCTCCTCAGAGTCCCAGCAGGAGGCCACTACCTGTGCTCCTCAGTGTCCCAGTTGATTCATATGGGACTAACATGTCACAGATGCAGTACTATCTATAATAAATAGATATAAAACCTATTTAAATCATCAGTTTGTCAGTAATCCAGAATTGATCATACAGACGTTTTAACTACTGTGTGATTCCAGGTCCATGTAACGTTTATTGGCTTTAAAACATTTCAAACATGCGAAAGGATCAAAGAATGAAATACAAAATCCAGAATATTGAGCTCCTGCAGCTTTTGTTTTAATAACTGAACTTGTCATTAGTATTTGACTGAAGCAGATGCACAGACTATCTCTCTCAGCTCAGCCCAGGGACTGTAAATAGGCCAATATTTTGTAAGTGCCACTAATTCATTTGGCCTTGATTAACTTCACCATTATGGCACTTAGTAATTATGAAACTGGGGTGCTGCAAAGTGTACCTCTTATCTGTGAGAACAACACACCATCCATCACACGGGGCCAAACTACAATCAGCCATTTCCCGATTATTTCAGACGCATTCAAGTGTTTACCACATACTTCTCTGAGAACTTCAAGCTTAAACGTCTATTCGTTAAGAGAAACAGAGATAGTCGTCGTTTCCTTGATAATATTGTTTGTTTTATATGAAACCATGGCAACATCGATAAAAGAAAATAAACAATATTATGTTCTGCTTTGTAAATTACAGAGAGTGATTTTTGTGGGTGTCAATACAAACACATGTAATACACATTAAGCAATAGTAAGCAAGAAATCAAATGTTTTAGATTTAAAGTTGGGGTACCTAACTTTCATATAATATCATAAATAATGCATGACGTTTGTCCCAACAGAAATAGTGAATTTTAACTAATAAGACTACAACCTTTTGTGCTTTATCTGTTTTTTAAATATTATTTTTTATTTTTTATTTTTTTACATTGGCATATATGTGTAAGAAAGAGCCCTATGAGTCACTATTTGACACTTTAGGCAGAGAGCTGACTGCCTGGGTGAGGGTGTCCTTTTCTATCTGTAAAAAGCTGCTCCAAGAATGTGACTGAGGCCAAAAATACAAAAAATATAAATATAAAACTATATATTTATATTTTTATATTAAACTAGAATTTAATTGTTTTATAGCCAGGAGCGAGTGACACACATGTTCTTACACCTTTACATTGTTGTGAAAATTAGGTACCCCAACTTTAAGTAGTAGTTAGCCATATATAACACGATAAAGATGTTTAATCTTGAATAATTTTTTAAGATCATTAAAGCCAAAACCCATTACGAGGTTTTTTTTTTTTTCTGTACATTAACTCAATACTAAATAAAATAGAATAAAATCTCTAACTTTAGCATAATTAAGAAGCCATATAACATATCTAGCTGTAGCATAATAAGGAAGAAAATCAAAAATCTTCAACTTTAGCATAATAAGGAAGAAAATCAAAAATCTTCAACTTTAGCATAATAAGGAAGAAAATCAAAAATCTTCAACTTTAATATAATAAGAAGGATAAAATCACTAATATTGGCACAATAAAAAAGAACAAAAGCGTTCATAGTAAAAAGTGGATTAAAAATAGTAAATAAATGAATCGAAAAAGTCTATAACATTGATAACCAACTGTTTTTGTGTGCTTTCCCATGACAAAGCCAAGAGTTATTCCCAAATGAACCACAGTATGTAAACAGCTGACTTTGACTTCATATAAATGTAATAGAGCTATTTGAATGAGTTTTTTGTTGTTGTAGTTTGGTAGTACTTTCATTGGTGCCCATAGAATCTGTTTCTAAAAGCAAACGCACAGACGAATGAGGCGGCCGGCTGATGTATCCAGTCTCTCCCGCCGCAGCTGCCAGCTCTGACATCTGCTTCTCGCTTCAATCTGGCTGCAGCTTCGTCTCTGGGCTCGGGCTGAATGTCAACGAGACGCTTTTCCTCTGCTTCCTCTGTCCATTATCACCTTCGCATATCTCTCTATTTCTATTATATATGAACACGCAGATCTGGCAACATATTAAAACATTATAGAGATTAATAGTGATCTTTATCCTTATTTTTTTGGAAATGAGTAAGATCAAAAGGGTGAATAAGTTGGAGACAGTAAACAAATTAAGCTATGTATTTATTTACTGAAGTCATTATTATTGAGTTGAAATGAAAATAATGTATTTCTAATTAATCCATTTTGGTTTCAGCGAATGTTTTGCAGAAGTTCTTGAGGGGCTTTCTTTTAGCTTTGTTTTGGTCAAATTAATGAAAAAAATCCTATAAATTCACTCTTTCCTAATCTTCGCAACTAATGTATTGATCGTATAATGGGCAGATTAATAGAAAATGTAGATAATAGATCATATAAAATACTTATATTATCTTATATTTATATTCTTTAACGTGACAATACATGTTTTTGTTTTATCAACAAAGAGTCTATTTAAATTAAAATGTTGTCCCCACTATGAGACGAATTCAAGATGTGTATTCTAATCTTAATCATATCAGAAAACATGTTATCTTCTGCAGACTGTGTGTCACTGTTTGACCCTTTGGGCTGAGAGCTGATTGGCTGACAGAAAGTGGTCCTCTCTTTTTCACTTTTGTCACAAAAAGCTGATCCTAACTCTGTGATCCAAAAAGTACATGTGAAAAACTAGTGATAGAACCAAGAGCTATATTTGTATTTGATTACATAGTGACATTTCTTGCGATAATAAAGTTGGGTACCCCAGCTTTAATTCATCCATTGAAAAGCCAATCCACTATATGTTAAACTAATACATTTTATTACTCACCTCTCTCAGGACCTAATAAGATATGAACCTTTTTCTTTGTTTTTCTAACTTTATTTAACCAGGAAAGTCCCACTGAGATTACAAACCTCTTTTTCAAGGGAGTCCTGGAGAAGCAGCAAAAGTTACACTCAAATAGAAAGAAATAAAGATTATAAAAACTGTCACACAAAATAAAATGAAATTACAGATTATAAAAAATAGCTGTAAAAACAGTTTCATGCAATTACAAAGAGATAAAGATAATACAAACATTTACACAAAATGTCATAAATTTACAGATTATAAAAACAGTTACACACAAATACAAAGAAATACAAATTACAAAATAATTTACACACAATGTCATGAATGTACAGATAATAAAAAAACCCTTTCACACAATTAAAAATAAAATTACAGATTATAAAAACTGTTTCACACACTTACAAAGAAATACAGATTATAAAAACATAAATTTACAGATTACATAAACAATTAAAAATAAAAAATAAATAAAAATAAAAATACAATTTTAAAATATAAAAACAGTTTTACACAATTACAACAAAATTACAGATTATAAAAACAGTTACACACAACTACAAATAAATACAGATTATAAAAAACAGTTAAACATAATGTCATACATTTACAGATTATAAAAAAATTACACACTATTTTCTTTTAATTTACAGATTATAAAAACAGTTAGATGCCAAAGAGGTTTTCTCAAAGGCTCTCAATCTTGTCTCAAAAGAATTTATTCATGTATAATAGAATAAATACCAAACATGTGGGTTTCACAAGGATGGGGCATGAACCAAAACTCAACATTCTATCTTTTGAATGAGAAATGGTCTTTTAAACGCCTGCTTGTGTGTGTCTCTGTGTGTGTGTGTCCTTCCTTTCCTCTGTGCATGTCCTCTGCAGGGCTGGTGTGTAAAGTCCAGTGACCCGCGAGCCTTGGGCATGAACAATGTGCCCAAGGAGGTAATCCCTGGACAGGTGAATTTACACTCTCTCCCAGTTTATCCGCAAAGTCAGAGAGCACTGGAACACATCAAGTGTAACAAGTGTATGTCCATATCAAATCTTTGGATAGTAGTCAGTAGATTGTAGTCAAATGATTAAAAAAAATGCATATTAGGATTTTCCCTAGTATGTATTTGTATTGTGGATGCATGTGTTGTGTTGTCATTACTTTCCATGCAGCATTTATGGTGTGTTTTGTTGAGGTGTTTGTGTATGGCTTAATGCTTGTTGGACTGTGTGTGTATTAATGCATGTTTTGTACAGTTTTAAAGCAAGGATGTGTAACTTTCTGGACGTGGTTTGCCGCCTGCATGATTTAATTACTGCATGGTAACCTCAAATCCATCCCACATACAAGCATTAATCACAAAGATAAGATTAGTTTAATTAAGTCGCACTATGCCACATTCCCACACAGAGGTTTAGATGTTCTCTGCTCCCAGTGAGAATTGAGTCGGTGCAAAAAACAGAAATGCTTATATTCTAGTCTGGCTTAAGGTTAGATACTTTGGAATTGGGAATGTCATTTTTCGGTTAAAGAATCAAGAAATAACATTGATCTTACTCTTTTGTTAATTTATCAATTTAGGATCCAGTTTGAAATATCAATATATCATTTGAAATAAAACGTATCTTATTTACATATTCTTAGTTGAAATATTTGTATTAATTATTATACAGTGGTCTAGCGATTATGTACAGTGTTAAAATTCACTTTCATAATTCTGGTGTTTAGTGCAAGAATCAACATTTTAACAATATTATCAATTTTAGGAATGAATTGTTGCTCATATTGGATTTTTCTGAGGCTAGAATCCATGGAAGACAATCACTGTCCACTCCCTACGAAAGGATATTAGGGGATGCAACAGTATTTTATAGAATGGCTCGATGCGGCCTCTTCGATTCAATACGACCTCTTCGATTCAATACGCCCTCTTCGATTCAATACGCCCTCTTCGATTCAATACGACCTCTTCGATTCAATACGCCCTCTTCGATGGAATACGGCCCCTTCGATGGAATACGGCCCCTTCGATTCAATACGACCCCTTCGATTCAATACGGCCTCTTCGATGCAATACGGCCTCTTCGATTCAATACGGCCTCTTCGATTCAATACGGCCTCTTCGATGCAATACGGCCTCTTTGATTCAATACGGCCTCTTTGATTCAATACGGCCTCTTCGATGCAATACGGCCTCTTCGATGCAATACGGCCACTTCGATTCAATACGGCCTCTTCGATTCAATACGGCCTCTTCGATGCAATACGGCCACTTCGATTCAATACGGCCACTTTGTTTCTCAAACTCTCTGAAGAGTGCTGTGACCAAAATGGCTACATTTAAACCCTACATTCAAATGAATGAAACAGTTAAAATGACTGTTATGGGTCGTGTTTGAGTTATAGATAGAACTCCACACATTTTAAAAATACATATGTAAAAAGAAAACGACATATAGATAAATAAAAGTCACAAAGTATTGAAGACATACAGAGTACATTAGCTTCCTAAATGAAAGGTTGTCAAATTGGCTGTTCTTGAAGTTTTCAGCACACTGAATGAATTTAATCTAGACCGTAACCCTCATGAAAACGCATATCCAACCGTGACTTGTTGGTTTCATCCTCATATTGTGAGCTTTAACATTCTGTTTATTTCTGGGTTTGTTCTTCTTCAACAAATACATGAAAATAGACTTGTCCTAGACGCTCTTCCTTTTATACCAAAATATGTTGTTCCCCACTGTGCCTAACTGCTCTTATTATCTTGACGTCACAGACCTCCAGTGGCTTCATATTCACATGCCATTTACACCAGACCCAGAATAGAGCTAAAAGCCTCGTAACTATGTTGCTTTTTTGTGGTGTCGACTGGAAATGGCTTTGGTTTGTGTCGTCCCCAGAGACTTTTACAAATCCTTTAATGCAGCGTTAAGACTGTCACGGGTTTAAAAGCAACGTATAAATAGATAAAGGCATGTAAATTAGTTTGCATTCTGTGGGAAAGTGTTATAATTTCAGACGTCAGATGTAATCCAATAATTGAGCATCATATAAGTGCAAGAACTCGGAGAAAATATACTTATCAAGCCGCAGTTGCTATAGTGACCTTCAAATGGAAAAATTGATTTTGTGAATGATTATAGAAAATTACTAAAATTGGAAGGGTCAGACTCTTTCTATGTTTTTGCTTCACTTCATTCCACATGAATCCCCTCTCTCCATGAAGCCTATTTATAGCTGAGAAAGAAAATATCTATTTTCATTGTAAAGAAAATAGATAAAATAAAATATCTCTTGTTAAAGTGGACTTATGTTTCTTTCTTATAGGTGAATTTTCAACCATACTCTCCATTTGAAGCGTTTTATTTCTTTTTTCTCAATTTTGCTTACTTTGAAGTCCTTTTTAGAACTGAATAAAAAGCCAAAAATACCTTTAAATATAGTTAAATTTATACAGAATTCAAGGAATCTCTTATATTTATCTTAAAGCAAGTTTAAGCAAGTAAGTACGTTCACTGATGAATTTGTTTTGGTTTCTATTCTCTAGATGCTCTCTGCTCACCGTTGCCATATTCATTCATGCAAGTAAAGCTGGGGTACCTAACTCTCAAACCACTTTAAAAAACAAGTTCCTAGCTCTCCAGTTTGCAAAAATGTAGATTATCGGGGATACAGAGAAGACCACTCTTCCTTTAGCCTCTTGACCTCAAATAGTGGCCTCTTTCTAAAAAGTCTTATGTCACAAGACTCTTTCTGTTGGAACAAACTAAATGTGTTATTGACTACACAATAAAGTTAGCTACCCCAGCTTTAAAGTTGCTTTTGACTTGAATTGCATGATTGTCCAGAAGTCTTCATTATAAACATCACTTCTATTTTAACCTGTATTTTGTTTTTTGTTTTTTGTCTCTCTGTCTTTTCCCACAGCCCTTGAACTACTCCAATCCAGTGTATGCAAAGATTTACCTGGACGGGCAAAACTGTCGAAAGCCAGTCCTCAGTATTGACGAGAGGAGAGAGCTACTCCCAAAGAAACTCGAGGGGACAATTCATGAAACCGCCGCATAGCCTAACTTTACACTTTATACTTCTTTTATACCACAGTGTACAATGTATATAGTGTACGTACAGAGGACAAGCAGAGTTTTCTATTCTCTACGAAGCTCTATATAGGTTTAACTTTAGCGTCGGCATCGTCTCAGTTGGTGTGCGGAGAGATCACTTTTGACTGTTGCTTTCTTCTATGTCCGTCCGTCATTTGCCACATAAGCTGCTGGTTCGCAAAGACAGTACTGTGCAAAAGTTATTGACAAATGAATGGAGTATTATTTTTTTACCGTTTTGTTTTGGGAAATAAAAACGCCGTAAACAAATGGTGATCAACAGGCCACGGACATGTGCAATTTTTATGTGCGTCTCTTGTATAACGACAGTCGAATATCGTGAGCCGTCTTTTTCACAATCTTGTAGCTGAACAAAGATTTCATATTAATCGGTGTCTTGAATCAGCATCAGTTGTTGTTGCTTTTAGGCCTGTTCTGAGTACAGTAAATACATACAGTTTGCGTTTCTGCTGTAGACTACCACTATACCGTACAAGTCTTTGTGGAGTAGGTCATGTTTCGTGGATAGACGGAAGGGCTCTGTGGCTTTACTTACCTTTACTAGACTATGCATTCAGGTTTGGTCACGGCCAGAAGGGGCAGATGGAGGTCCAATCACGGCGGGAAGGAGGCGGGCTGACCTCTTTGCATTCTGACGTGATGACTCTTAGCTCTGACTGCAGAAGCGGAAAACCTAGACTTTTCAAAATGTTAGAAATTGCTTTAGAGATTAGTTCAAAAGACTAAAGCAAAGGGCGAGTTCACACTTGTTGGTCTGAAATAGGCAAAAAAAAGTCTATGGATTTAAAAGCATCAAACAAGTGAGTATGATCACTCGTCATTTAAGTTAGTTGAAACAGATGTGGGAACACTTTCTCCTGAGTAACCCGGACTTGATCCTAAGTTTCCCATGAATTGTAAGTGCTTAGTGAAAGGATCCCCCAGAAAGTTGCATTAGCATTACTGTATAAGTCCATTATTGCGCAGTGGTTAGTGCTTAACAGCAACAAGGTCCTGGGTTTGATCCCACCTCCAGAACTTTCTGTGAGGAGTTTGGATGTTCTCCCTATGTCTGTGTAGGTTTGTGCCCGGTGCTCCAGGTTCCCCTACTACTAAAAAACATTAACAATTGGTCTGGAATGTGCCTCCTGTACGGCGACCTCGCTCAGATCTCGGTCTGGAGTGAGAGACAAATGGCCACAAGTGTAAAGCGCTTTGTGACTCTGGTTTGTGAAAGGCGCTATAAACCCTAAACCCTTCTACATAGAGTAAACCTGACCAACAAGTGGGAATGCGCCCATAAGACACATATTGTGGCTATTTTGTGCTATACATATAAACTAGGCAGGCAGTGAAAGCAATCTTTTTTCTTTTTTTTTCCAAGGCAGGGGCCACCCACGAGACATCCGAGATATCAGACCGGTAGTTTGAACGGGGAGAACTTTCCACATATTTTTACAGTTAATGGTCACAGAAGATTAATTAACGAGTGATTCATCCAGCGCCTTGGCCCGAGTCTCGCACACTTTACTCGGTTCATACAGCCTTTTCTTTTCCTTAAAACTTTTGCACAGTACTCCTACCCCCTGGAGTACAACAATAATCCACAAAGTACTCTGAAATACTATCTGCTCACACTTGTCCTTACATAGATTAACGACTTTGTAATGTGTTGTGGGTGATCGTAAGAAGACAGACTATAACTGAAGAATTGTAAGTATGTCATAGAGAAGACTCGAAGGCTTTTAGCATTAGTTTGTCCATTTCCATTGACGACTATAGACCTCAGTATAATAAGCACTTACGGTTTGGTATGACCCAAGCGGCGCACCGTGTTTCCACAAAAAAAGGCCATATCCATGATCGTTTGTCTCATGCTCTATGTAACTCCATCTCGGTCCTGAGTCTATTCCATTTGCGTCTTTTGCCTTTTCCCTGTTATGACAGTGATATAGCAAAGCAACTTATCTTTTGGTGAAGATATTAAGCCCACCTTGAATGTTCTCCGATCGGATGTCCCGGCCCCGTTCTGTACATTGAGGTGACAGATTCCGAAAAGCATATTTTTCTAGGTCTCATATGTCAGATGGAAATACAGAGGAGGAAGAGATTTAATCGCCGCCGCAAACGAAAGAGTATATGAAAACACATGTTACAGCAGAAGATGATAAATATAAGAAATTTTATAATTTTGTATTTGATTTGTATGTCGTTTGGCTGCTTGTATTTTGAAGAAATGTATTAAATGTAAGTAATTTTTATATAAAATGTAAATCAATATTGAATAAAGGGGGCTTATTTCGACTTTGCTTATTTATTTGAATGTCCATTTTGTCTTATTGTATTTTATATTCAGAGCCTTGATATTATTTAGATTATTTTGGCAATTTTCAACCAAGCTCACAGCTGCTTATGATAAAGGTCAGTGTTTTAATCTTAACGTGTCTCAAACCTTTAACAATACAATAATATACAATAATTATAATTTTACAGAAAATAAATGACGCTTTCCTCATCAGTGTCCATTAAAAACCATGTATTAATTACATGTACACTGTATTAATTTCATGGAACTATTTTACTTTCCTTCATGCGATTTTGTATAAAAGTATAGGGGAACAATTTTAAACACATAACGAATTGTGATTTTTCAGATTTCTAGTGAGATTTTAATTTGATTGACAATTTCTATTATAAAGCTATAGTAATGATGTTCAAAGTGAATGAGGGAATTTGAATTAGAAGGAAAACTGAAACCTGAAAAATAGTAGTGTAGCTGCCCACAGTGCTTCGCAGGCACAAAAGATGAATAAAAGCAAACCACATAAAATACATACAAATACATGTAAAAATGTGTCTTTAAATCTCAGTTTGAACACAGGAAATGCAATAATGACACACACACAGGGGCCAGCTGCCTATAAGGAGCGGAATGACCAATGTTCATAAATGTATCAGCAAGAAACGACTCAAAACAACTAGTGGGGAAAAAGTCGAAATCTCCACACACTGGTGCTTACATGGATTAATGGCGTCATAATGTGAATCGGATGGTATTGAAAGACTGAATATTGCTTGAAAATGTGAGTGTAAAAAAGGGAAGACTGAAAGCTTTACAAAGTTATCGATTCACCAACAGCAGATCAGAGGATCAAACGAACTCAAGAAATGCAACAATAAACACATGTAGGAGCCATGAGACCATAAGGAGCAGGATGATCAATGTCCTTTGATGTCCTGGATCCTCAGTGCACTTGGACCCTCCTGCACCGGAACGGAACGACTACAAAAAAGGACAAAGATAAAAATGACGGGAAGCCCACATTGAGAGAGAAAGATCCGCTCCCACCCACTCTTAGTACGGATTTTACCACTTTTCAGGCCAGTAGTTCTTAACCTTGTTGGAGAAACTGGACCCCAACAGTTACATAATGCACATCACTGAACCCCTCTTTGGTGAAAAATAAAATGTTTGAATACAAATAAATACATTTCAAGGGATGGACATATGAAGCCCCGTAACACACTCAGGTTTCAAATGTGTCGAAGCCTCTGAACTAGCTCAGACTTGCTTGTAACACTGGAATCTAGTGGAATTATACAATCAACAAAAACGTTACTAAGAGCCTTACGTTTTTTGACATTTGCAGTGATCCTTGTGTTTCTAAATCTTGAAACATGACCACGATTACATCTGAAGATGCTTTCATTCTTGGTGAATAGCCCAGGCCAGGAAGAGCTGAATCCAATGATCATAGTCAGATTTATATGATAACAATCATTTTCTGTGGATTTAAGTAAGTATAGTTTATTTGTATAGCACATTTCACAGACCAGGATCACAAAGCGCTTCACAAGTTAAAACACATAGAATACACAAACAAGTCAGACTTAAAAACAAAAACACATTAACAGAGGCCTATGAACAGTGAGGCGAGAAAGCCCGTCCAAACAAATAGGTCTTAAGTTGGGACTTAAAATTGTCGACAGTCAAGATGCGCGGAGACTGAGGAAGCTCATTCCAGAGGTGAGGAGCAACTGCCTGGAAGGATCTGTCTCCTCTGGTTTTAAAAGCGAGTGCGGGGGACCATCAACAGGTTCTGAGTGGAGGACCTCAGGCTCCTGTTGGAGACATAGGGATGGTTCAGGCCCTGGCTGTATTCAGGCGCCTGACCATGAAGAGCCCTGAATGTCAACACTAGAATCTTCAAATTAATTCTGTGTGAGACATGGAGCCAGTGTAAGGACTTCAAGATAGGAGTAATGTGGGCTCTCCTGTGGGTGCAGGTCAAAAGCCTCGCAGCAGAATTTTGAACAACGAGCCAGATCTTTTACTAAGACATGTAAGCTGTTACAACCGTCCAATCGTGAGGAAACAAAAGCGTGGACAATCATCTCCAGCTCCTGACCCGAGACCATATCTGAGCTTAAAGATTTAATTGAGATTTATTGTGACGACATGACGCCAAGTGACAAATGTTACTTTTGGTTTCGTTTGTATTTGCAGGAACAGTAGAACAGTCGTAGCTGAGCATTGGAGTAAAGTAAGTCCTCCATAAGTAAGTACTTTAGTTATACAGCACATTTTTATAGACCAAGGTCACCCAAAGCACTTTACAATGTTTAGAGTTCAGAAACTGTTCCATCCTCTACATCTGGATTTGAACCCAGGACCTTCTTGCCGAGAAGCGATGGTGCTAACTACTCAGCCACAGTGACGTAATTAAGTCATATTTACTAGTATAGCGCCTTTCTCAGGTACAGACGTCACACAAAGCGCTGTACAAAGATCACAGTTGGAAATTCAACATAAACATAAACCGGATTTGTCTGTGTTGCCAAATGGAAATAACATTTAGACGCTGCAGTTGAGAAATCGGAAATTTAGATTTATGTTGAAATGTGTTTACACCTGTTCGTTGATTGATTTTATGCCACAATAAATTAGATTACATCTTTCTTACA